TTCACGATATGTATATTTCTGTCCATACACCAATTCATTAGCATGTGTCAAGCAGTGCTGTACTGAAACTCAAGCACGCTGTGTATTTTTATTCGCCTAAATTATAAAGCTAATTTGCGAACTTTGAAGTGTTTTATTGTCGTTTTTTTTTTCAAGGGTAACTCGTGGTTTCTTATAACTCGGTGTATTGCATTTGTCTCCCTTAAATCATTGATAAGTTTTATATGCATGTATAGTTATTATTGTCAATGTTATTGTCATTATTATTAATAACATGTATTATTTATAAGTATTATAAGAATGATTACACAAAGGTGTTTGTATAATATTCTGTTATACCTTTGTGATGTAATATTGATTAATTGTACATGTATTTAACTTCTATATCTTGTTTTGAATAAGTCATTGAGGAAGACTTTATAGAATGTACTACTTAAAAATTATGAATGATGATGTATTGACATTAAAAGTGATAAAATTGTGGTTACAGGACTTACGAAAAATGTTACAGTAACTAATATGTCATTTTTTAAAGGTTTTATTATAAAGGTCAACATGACATACACGTATAGTGGGACATTGCAAAAAGTCCGATTCATTTTTTTCTTGACAAAAAAGAAAAAAAGATCGATCGCTTTTATATTTGTTTTTCTTGACAAAAAAGATTGATTTTTTTCTTTACACATTTTGGTTTAGAAGTTAAGTATTTCATTGAAGATACACGAATTTGTTTATCCGAACACGTGCAAAAATTTACTTAAAAACCGGAGACTCGTTTTACACGATGAAAAAAGGCGCTGATAACGTGGAAGAGAAATAGGTTTCGAACTTCGTGTTAAAGTAATTCAGTGATGTTTCACTTGAAACCATTTCATTTTACGAGAGAAAAAAAAGAAATTATAAATGTGATTATTTTTTTAATCATTATTCATTCAGCGAGGTAAAACAAATTAGTACAATGCCTGCAAGACAGAATAAATATTAACTTACGGTTATATTATTGACTTTTATATGTTATCTTATTGCTATAGGGTGTTTAAACTATTGGAAAACACAAATATATAATAAATACAACTGTTGTTTTGTCAACGTTAAATAATTAGGCGTATACATGTATATAAAATGTAAATCACAAATGCAAACTCAAAAGTAAATTATGTTAAAAGCAACATTCCTCCAGATTTATTTTAGCTTTTTGTTTTATGGAAATTTAGAAATTAATCAACTTTGTAAAAATCTGATCAGGTATATTTAAAGTTACTTAGGCTTTTGAAATGTTATTAATATGCGCATAAATAACATGTAACAAGTAAACCTAGAAATTATATATATAAAATTAGTTAGGCAATATATTAAGAGTATTACATATTTTAAAGAAATTTAATAAAATATGTTTACTCATCTAGTAGCCTGTAACTTGTTTCGATTAATATAGTTAGTACAATATGTAGAACATGTAGTGAAAGAAAAGCAGAAAATAAATCCCTTGTTCTGTCAGATGATCAAAACATGAAATACACTTTCTTCACAAGACAAAGTCAAAAAAGCCATTAGGAAACGCAAGATATATGGTTGCCAATATTACATATTAAAGAAGACTCATGATCAAAGCCGGTCTTTTAAAGCTACAGTCTGTCTGTTGTTTGCAAATGCGTATTAAGTTACGACAATAACTAATTAAAATCGTATTAACAAACTGACTTGAAAACTTTTGTTCGTACAAGGCTTCGCAACTCTTCTTCAGCATTCTTTTTAGTGTAAATAGTCAATGTATAAAAGTATTCAATCAATGTATGAAAGTATTCAATCATTGTATAAAAGTATTCAATCAATGTATGAAAGTATTCAATCATTGTATGAAAGTATTCAATCAATGTATAAAAGTATTCAATCAATGTATGAAAGTATTCAATCAATGTATGAAAGTATTCAATCACTGTATGAACGTTTTCAATCACTGAATGTAAGTATTTAATCATTGTATGAAAGTATTCAATCACTGTTTGAAAGTATTCAATCACTGTATGAACGTTTTCAATCACTGAATGTAAGTATTTAATCACTGAATGAAAGTATTCAATCACTCTATGAAAGTATTCAATCACTGTATGAGTGCATTGTGAGCCAATTGAAACATTATTATTAATAACATCGTACTTTATACGGATGAAAGTTGTTCTACCACGTGCTTTTAGATGTCAACAAAAACAGACAGTGTAATCTTTGATTATGTATATTTCACATACAAAGGAAAATAAAGTCTATTTCAATATTATTATGATAAAAATATGTCTGACATTCATAATCAAGTTAAAAATGCCCACGGATGTACAATTATAAACAAATCAAAATTAATGTAAACACTAAACAGGTAGACATTTTGTACTTCCGGTTACTAAGTATATAACTAGTGTGCTGTTTTATTTCATATTAATAAATTAACTTAATTTAGGTGGATTTTTAATCAAAATTAAAATGCTATTTGTTTCCATGTAAGTATAGGTACGTATTTGTCAGGCGCGGCGCGGCCGTGCGACCAATTTAATTTTGTAAATACGTACTAATAAACTTTAACCTGCTTAGTGTTTTAAATTATTTTTATAAACAGTCGATTTACTAGACTGATTTACAGTTTGCCGATTTACCAAAGTAAATGTCTTACGATTCATTTGAAATACTGCAATCCTATTGGACAAAAATAATTTCAAACACTAAAGTTTTCTTAGCGTAGGCCTTCTCCGAAGTTTGACGGAAAGGGAAGGGACGATGCGATTGATTTTGACCGTTATTTATTTAAAGTGTAAATAACTTTCTTTGTTCTCTTGAAAATATTTTACTTTTTAATATATTTTCAAATATTCATGAATCTGGAGACATGCATTGGGTTACCCTTATTTTACATGCGCTCTTTGTTCATTAGCAATCAATTTCGAGTCGTGAAAGAAACAATGACAAAAATCCTTTCCCCGATCCTTGAAAAATGATGCAACCAGCGCAGCGCTAGGTTATGTTGAGAATAGATAAAATCTCGAAGGTATAGAAACATAGGACAATGGAAAAACAAAGAACAGCACGTGGCCACGTGTGCAGTGATGTAAATACTTTATATAGCAAAGATATGTATCAAGAATTTTATTCAAATTATGCGATTTAACATCAAAATAACTACACATACCGGCTAGAAAATGGAATGTTATAGCGTACGTTAATGCAATGTACAACACATGGGTTGACAAAAACACACAAAACACTATTAAACCAGTATATAATATATTCATTGCTGAAGCTATCGGAAAAAAATACGTACTCGTCATCATTACAAGTTTTGAGAAATGAAATAACAACTTGTTTATCTTGCAAATGATTTAAACGTATATTTTTCAAATAGTGAACCTAACGTGTTACTTCCGTCAATCAGAGAAATACGTTTTGTAGGTTTATAAACATTGCATGCTGCATACGTATATGGTGTTAAACATATAATAAATATAATTTTGCAACATTATCATAAGTTGATGTGAAACTTCAGAAAGGATTAATAAATTAGAATCGCACGTGGACTGAAGCAAAAACAGATAGATAAGCTATGCATATGTGGTTAAAAGTAAGTCGTGCTTATTTTCAAGACGATTCTGGCGTCGTTTGCCACTTTCATTTTGACTTCACAAGTTCGGACAAATTTACTTACTGATCTAATCCTTTATCATAGATGATCGGGGGATGAGGGAAAATTTAACTCGGAAGAGACATACTGCCAGAGGAGTTTTCATCTTGGACACACAGCTCACATACGATTACTTTAACGAACTGTTCTGTTCACATGTGACTCAAAATGTAGCAATCGTTATGGCAAGCTGTGCAGGTTTTCGTTTTAAAAAATTTAGGAATATATATGAACGTGTTTTGATTTATCAACTCAAACATTGTTGGAAAGTTTCTCTTTTATCAAGATAAAATGGAAAAGAAGCAAGAAATTGAAACAAAAATGGAGAGTTGGAGAAATGAGTATATTAAAAAGGACAACCTGTGCAAGGCTTTTCTGAAAAAGAAAACGTGCAGACGGAAAAAACGCGAATCTAAATGCTCTTCCGAAATATTTGAAATTGTGATTGAAAATGCAGAAACATCAGAAATTAAATCGTTCCATGCAAATAAGCAAAATATAAACATTAATGCAAATACAAATATTGGAACGAAAAACCTTCATCCCGAGGGCGATTTGTCCTCGCAAAATTTGATGTCAGAAAATCAGGTTGTTGATAAAAATGTCGGTACAAATAGGTATGATGTAGAACTTGCAAGAAGTGCAAGAAATGCAAGTGTTGATGATGTTGACAATTCAAAAAGGACGGGTACTAATGGTCTATGTCTAATTACTAGTGCAGTTGATAAATACTTTGACAAAAATGGAAATGAAATAATGATTAAAACGGAGTCAAACGAACCTGGACAGCAAAATAATTCTCTGAATGTTGGCCATAGTGAAGTGAAAGAAAACACAAACCAGCCCAGTCAAAACAATGTGGATGATTATGAACAATCAGAATCAGTGTTGTGGTATATAGCAACAGGATATGACATTGACATTCCGAAAGACAAAGTGAAACATGAATTAGTACAATCAATGCAAACGGAAGAAATAAACCAGCCAGAGGAGGATCATGTATTTGATATTAGCCACATAAAGATAGAACACGAATCAGATCAAAGCGTTGATGGGTTGGATTCATTTGATAATGAAAATTTTGTTGATACAAACTACTGTACAGATCTTGACCCTGAATCTAGTGGATTACATGTGGGGAGCAGTAGCACTGTAAACAAAATCTCAAAGTTTGAAATGGTTGATGTGTCTGATGATACTGAAAACAAACCCAAAAATAAGATTAATACCATTGAAAGCAAAGTGGAACCTCCATATGGAAGACATGACAGTGTTAAAAAATCAACATGTCTAAAAACTGGTAATGTATTTCCAAATTTAACTTTTGCAATAAAAAATAATGTAGATAGTAATAAAACTGAAAAACACTTGTCATTAACATCAAGAGGGCTCTGTAATGTTTCATCAATATCTGATAATATGCTATGCAGTACGTCAGAAAATACAGAACCTGTTAAGGGAAATGTAAAAACAACTAGCAAAAGTACTAATGGAAATAAACAGTATTGCTCATGGCAGAAGCTTCAAGAATGTCCAGATAAAAGTAACAATGATATCAAGACACCTACTAAAGTAAAATTCACTTTAAAAAAGCAACATGTTGTGAAAAAATTTAATGCATTAAAAAGGGAAGACAAATGCTTATCAAAAAATATTAGTAACAATACATTAGAAAATGCATCAATAGCTGAAGGTCCATCAATAGTTCAACATGAAGGTGATAATGAAAAATCATTGAAATATCCTAGTCAATTATCAACATCTCATAGATGTGTTAATAAGCAACCAGAGATTGTAAAAGCTTCCAACAGTTCTGACCCTGCTGTTGTGGATAAAACAAGCTCATGGCTGTCTGTTTTTCATAATTTTTCTGCAAAGAAAAATAAAGGAAAGTCAGTTTCAAGTGACAATATAGGTAATGAACTTTCATTCACTGAAGAAGCAGAAAATTCATTTCAAAGTGAGTTAGATAAACCAGAAGATGTTGATTACAATTATGTCATGCTAGATGGGATTATGTCTTTGACTTTAACAGGAAAAGATGAATTAGAGAAAACCACACAGTTAGACAAATGTACTGTTGAAACTAATATGGATTTACCAGCAGCTGATCCTTGTGTTGGTACACATGACATGAGAGATTCTAATACAGTTGCTGCAAATGACAGTACATCACAGATAGATGTAATAGACTCTTACAAAACTAGAAGTGAAGTTGGTGTAAAGACTGACCAAAGTATTAAGCAGGAATTGGCAATAGAAGACAATTTTAACATTGAAAGTTTCAGAAATATCACTTTGGCGGATGATGTATTTAAGACAGAAAATCTTAAAATTAAGATTGAAAAGAATGAAGAGGTAACAAATAATGATGATAAGGTATTTCAAATGAATTCAAACTGTGCATCAAGTGAGGCTGCATGCAACATTTTGGGACAAGGTGAAATATCTCCTTCAGTATCAGAAATTGAGTCAGAAAATGAAAAGATGAGTTTGTTCAAGAACTTTGAAGAAAATTCTTTTAAAGATGAAGAAGAAAACTTTGGTTTTGGTTTAAAGTTACCTCTATCTTTACCAGATTCTGTAGAAGATGTATCATACCTGAGTAATGAAAACTCTACGTTTGAAACAATACAGCCATATGATAATGACATGTTTTATGTAAGTGATAATAGCACAAGTTTCAGTGTTGATAGTGATAATGAAGATGAGGAGTCCAAACCTGAAATATGTGAATCATACAAAATTATACAACGTTATGTATTTGACAGGTGCACAGGAAACAATTTACAAAAGATTCTTGTGGTAAGTCAATTGGAAAAGGTCTGCATATTGTGGGATAAGTGCAAAACAGTTGTTATTTATATGAAATAAAGAAGGAGGTAGGACTGTTTACCTTAACCCTTTCCCTCATGAGCATATTGTGAAAAATGGCCGTTTTCATTGAAAAGCCTCCTGTTTCAAGTTCAAACTGCTATGAAACTATGAAAAATGCTTCAATAACTAATCAAACTTAGCACAAATGTTGACTGGACCATTGCCTTTGTAAGACATGCTCAGTCTTAAATTTCCTGTTACCATGGCAACGCGGAGACATCTCAAAATTGCCAAAAGTCGCTATTTTGCATTGATTTTCAATGGATTGGGATAGAGTCAAAGGCTTTTCAGCGTTGGTTACACATTACCATATGATCGTCATTTTTAGCCTCTCACAAGTCCAAAATTTTCTTGGCGATGAGTGGGACTACCGCCCCCCTTCAGTGTTTGGGGCCTAAATAGGGTCATTTTTCACTCTTTGAGGCCTCAAAAGGGGGGTGAGGGTGGGGGTCGAAAAGCCGTCAAAACAGGTCTATATGAAGTAAAGGGTTAAGCATGTGATGTTCATTGTACTCAAACTCTGCTAATATATATTTTCACTTTCTCCTAAACTCTGTGTAAAGATCAGTATTTACAGAGGTCTTTGACTATTGATATTCTTCAGCATTGCAGTGCTTTTGATGATGATTAAACATAACCTTCCCTGCCTTCTGTATGTGGTTTTATAAATACTTCCTGTGAGTGCATGTGCCCAGTCTGAACCTGGTTTTTTTAACAAAAATTAAATATGTTCACTTCTCTGTCAAGGGTAATTAATCTGCAAGCCATTTCACTATATAAAATAAAAACACATATCAATACATACAGTCAATTTAAACACATAACATTACATACAGTCAATTAAAACACATAACATTACATACAGTCAATTTAAACACATAGCAATACATACAATCAATTTAAACACATATCATTTCATACAATCAATTAAACACATATCATTACATACAGCCAATTTAAACACATATCATTTCATACAATCAATTAAACACATATCAATACATACAGCCAATTTAAACACATATCATTTCATACAATCAATTAAACACATATCATTACATACAATCAATTTAAACACACATATCATTACATACAGTCAATTAAAACTTTAAACTTAAGAATGAAGTTCAAATCATTATTGAAGGTAATGACCCTATTTTAGAAGAGGAAAATGATACTAGTTTTTGATGGAAAAGGAATTATTTATTTATAAAGGTCACAGTTTATAAACAAAGTTTACTACCTGTTATCCCAAGAAGGTTTCATCTTAAAGTAATAAGGTACAGGGATCGGAAGTAACTCAGCTTTTTATCACACGACAGGGTACACATTGAAATGAATAGGCTCACAAAACAGGGTACAGGGAGTGTAAAGATAACGCTTAAACTTTACAATACTGAATTTATGCTACGGACATATGCTGGTTTGAATTTGGAACTGAAAGTTCTAAATTTCTGCTTTCATCGTTTTTTGCAACTGTCACAATGTAAAAATTATGTGAGATAATTTTTTTTCCTGAAATGGGTTTCTATAATTAAATAGTGACAGGATGATGGCGATGTGCAGATATAATAAAAACATAATAAAAGAAACCCCAGAATCATCTTAAAACCTTCTTACTAAACACTGATACATCTCTTATCAAATTATACGCATTTTCTGCTCTTGTGATTTCAAGATGGGGTGATTTTTATATTCGATAAATGACATATCATAACATTATCATATGATCAAAACTAATAACTTACATACAGCTGTTGGCTAAACTAATACATTTAATTAATATTTTGACATGTAATTATTTTTATAAATGAGAAAATTACAGAATGATTAACTTTTGTATGTATACGCATCTTGAATATGTTTTGTGGTAACTTTCTACAATAATATAAAGACACTTTTTTTTATAACAGAGGGTAATTGCCCCTTTTTTCATGCATAAATATCTGCAGAAGCATAAGGAAGCATCTATATCCTAAGCATGCAGGGCAAAGGATTAAATAAGTCTGCAGACTTTTGCAGATGTTAATGCACTAAAAAAGGTGTTTTTGTGGTATTCTGGCATAATAATATATATCAAAATCATTAATTCCCCATTACCAGTATTTCCTGTTAAGATTGATTGTACCATGCTTTCCAAGTGCTAATATGATGTTATTGACTGTTATGTTTTTGGTAATAAAGCTACAGGGGCCGTCATTGCTTAAAACTGTTTTTACATTGCACCCTGAGTCATGCATAGTAAAAAACATGCAACAAGGGCACATGGTCTTAAGAATTAACTGTTAACCATTAATGTATATTTGCATGCATGGTTTAATGCAAGAACTCATATGGTCTAAATGCTGTACCAATTCTGCATAATTCTAATTCTGTTTTTATAGGGTCATAAAAAATCCAAATTCTATATTTTCAGAGGGTGAAAGAAAGGAAGACTTATACTGATCATGAACTTGACGATGATGAAATTGAAGGGAAGAGATCGTACAAGATTGAAGATAAACTCAGATCTGACAAATACAGCAAAGATTATGTTAAAAGGCTTGCTGGAGAAGGTATAATGTCTCTTTTTAATCTCACTTTCCAAACATACCTTTTAATGTAAACTTTTGAACTTTGTTGTTATTTTAATGTCAATATATATAAGCAATGCTATGAGTACATTTTAAGAAAACAACGTAACAGTTTAAAGTAATTAATATTGCTTAAGGCTAGATATTTAATGTACTAGGTTAATTATAGAAAAAATGGGAATGTCACTTGAATATAAATTTTTAAAGCATAATTGGGAAAAATTGGAAATTGAACAGCAAAGTAATCTTTAAGATAACGTAATTATTTTAAATGCTTGATGCTCCCCTTGCAGAATAGAGATACATGTTGTAGTTTGATGTGATAAATCCAGCAAATACTGTTATTTTCTGTGACAAAATTATGTTCACACTATTTTTTTGGGTAAAAAAAACTAATTTGAAACAATTTGGAACTGTCAAACTAGATCATTAGAAGTCAGATATTTACATCAGTTACAACACAATTTTACCTTTTTAAAATCTGTTTTATGAGATTTCCTGTCAATATTAAACTCTGCAAATGCGGGTTTTCCCCATCTTTTCCCCAGGTACAAACAATCTTTTTATAGCTACATGGTGCACTATCGTTCACAATAGAGTGATAAAAACATTTTGTCCCTCTTAGATATACAATTACATGTACATGTATATTTACAAAGTTGCAACTGTAAGTTTGTATAGATGGGGAAAACCCCACATTTGATGTGTCCCATAGTATCTCTCGTCATACTAGTGTTTCTTAACACTAGCATAGACAGCAAGTTATTGCTTAAATTGTTTATTGTTTGAACTTTTTCAAATATTTGATAAATTTAAAGCTTAAGACTTACATAACACCACAACATCCCTACTTTCCCTATTTAGGCCAAAATATTTTTCGCTCTAGAAATTGAAGTCTTGTTAAAGATGTATTAAGCTTAGAGATGATTATAATTATAAAGGAGACATGCTTTTACTATTCATTACTTACAATTTTGAATTTGAAATACATGAACAAACTTGATTTTTTTATACACAGATGTTACATTGTCATTATTGGATACAGGATATGGCAATCACGCTTTTAAAAAAAAAATAGTAAAAAAAAGGTTTAGCTCTGAAGTAACAAGCTGAACAAGCTGCTAGTTGACACGTTTGCTTGTATATTTTTATTTCTCTTTCAACGTATGCTAACAATGATGTTTTTCTTGAATATACATGTACAAGATGATAAGGTAATCATTATGAACAGATGGGCATTATACATGTATATACAAAATCTACAATGTCATTTATGAGCATGTATGAATACGTGTTATAACATATGGTGTTAGACATCTAAAAACAATACTGATTCAACAGTAGCATTTCTAATTCATCTTAAAATGATTTTACACAACAGTACTTTAAGGGCATTTTTGAGAATGAAAATGGGCCCAAACCCTCTCTTCAAAAACTATGCTTTTCCCCCTACCTTTTGCCAGATTTCTCTTTAATTAAGAGAAAATTAAAAAAAGATAAAAGTTACTCAAAATGATATTAAACCACAACATCATAGTGTTATTATTATTACTCATAATGAGTTTTCATTAGAAATCAACTATATTGCTTCTGTTTGATATGATAGTAAATAGTCCTCCCCTAACCATGCCCCCTCCGGCTAAAAAAAAACAACAAAAAAACAACAGCAGAAACCCTAAAAAAAACCAAATGCTGAATAAAGAAATCACTATATAAATGTTATGCATATAATATAGAAATTTATTTAAATCTTAAACACAATCCTATGCATCATTTGGATAAATTTAGATTAACCATACCGGTAATTTAAAACTGCAAGCTGGTAGTTTTTTATGAATGCATGTTTCACTAATATACCATTACTTACACTGGTAATGTTCATTAATATTCAGGGCAAGTTTATAATTCAGACATTAAATTATTGTTGTCCCACTGTGAAAAAATGTATAGAAAACAAAATACAATATTTACAATGTATAAATGATTTTTAAAATTATTTGCTCTGAGATATGAAGGTGTGTTTAAAACATTTTCAACCAAATTGTTCACAAATGGGTATTTTATGCCCAAATAAGCTTCAGTCTTAAATTTGTCTTTTCACCTGAGTAAAATCATAGTTTTACAGTCTATTCAAGTGAGGAGGCAATTGCGTTAGCTTACATATAGGTGGTAAGTTGTACTTGGTTGCTCACTTGTGGCTAAAAAAATGAAGAGGCAGTTCTAGTTCTAACAGTTTAGATGCAATGCCCCCATATAACTTTTATTATAGTTATACATATAATACTTCATGTTTGTAACATGTGTGGTGACGTTTATGTAGTTTTATATACACAGCTTCTGTCAATTTGTGAAGAAGTTCTGAACAAAATTCATGTATTTGTTTTAAAGAAGGAAGTTTGCTGTATTATAAATTCACTATAAATATTCTTCACAGGTTATATGACCATATATAAATGTTTGTTTGAAATATAACTCTTGCCTAGTGGCTTGGGTTATATATTCAAACAACCATTTATATAGGGATATATATAACCTGTTAAAAATCTTTATAACTAATTATGTGTCAGTATCACCAATCTGACCTCCTAAATAAAACTTTAGAAGGTTTGAACTTCTGTCAAATTGCACTAACAACCTAACAGGAAGAGATATATAAAACATTCATGGAAAGTGATATGTTTATAGAAACTTAGCACCAGTTATAAAAATGCTGGGAACATTAAATACTTTAAATGGTGGAAATTCATTATACATTAAATTTTAGCAACTATGAGAAGGTAGGTGGTTCTACCCTGGTGATTTACTGGGGTCTTCTTTCTTCAACTACTAAAACCTGTGTTAATGAGATCTTAAAGCCAGCCTTACAACAAAGAAAAATCAATTTATGAAAAAAAAAAATAAATAAATAAAAAAATAACAACAATGCAAACTAAGTGCATTGTGGATAAAGATAAAATAACCTATTTTCTGTTTTTGCGTAAAAGGTACATGTTGAAATATAAAGGCTCCCAAGAAGGTTTGGGGATTCGAAGCAGCATGTTCTCGTAATTGGATGACATTATACAAATTGAATTGTATAGTCTTGCAAGACTTTGTGCAGTGATTTTGTTTATTCTACTTTGTATTGTGTAATATGATAAAGGTTTTGTTCCACACATGACTATAATAAAAAAACTAAATCTTGAATTTCAGACTTCACCCTGAGATACCTACAGGAAAATGGGTTGCAGTACCCCATTTTGTTTTCAGAGAAGACCGGACTAGGTCTGAGGTAACTAAAATATTTTGATAGCCTAGTACAATTATATATTATTTAAGCAACAAAATGTGGACTTTGATTCAGAAAGCTACATAATGTCATACAAGCTGTTTAATCTTCTGAATGGCTGGCAAGGTTTCTAGCTGTTATTTAATCTTTTATCTTCGCTCTACTATATGTATATACCGGTAATAGACTTTATCGAATTCTTGGAACTATTATTTTTAATGTAAAATTTTTCAAAATTAAGTGTTTTAGAATTGAGTGGTCATCAGAATAGATATGCTGAGAATGCTCTGTGCTTACTGATTGGCCCAAAAAGTATTTTAGAATTGAGCAGCTAATTGATTGGCCCAAAAAAGCTCATCACGTTAAGGAGAATATTAAATTTTGATCTCTTGACCATTGATTGGCTAGTTCAAGATGTTGGGCACAACACAGTCATGTTTTTTAACCAGGTTTTCCGAAGGAAAAAACTTGTTATTAGATTGAGGTATGTCGGCGGGGCGGGCGGGCGGATGGGCGGGCGGGCGGGCGTAAACAATTTCTTCTGTGCGCAACTCCTCCTACATTTCTCAACAGATTTTGACCAAACTTTCACAGAAGCTTTGTCATCAAGTGCCCTGGCGCATATTGTCGGGGTTTTGCGATTAGATAATATTTGACCTAATTATAGCCCTTTGTTTTTTTTCCTTATATAAAATATATAGTGAACAATTTCTTCTGTACGCAACTCCTCCTACATTTCTCAACGGATTTTGACCAAACTTTCTCAGAAGCTTTGTCATCAAGTGCCCTGACACATATTGCCAGGGTTTTGCAATTGGTATATATTTGACCTAATTATGGCCCTTTGTTTTTTTCCTTATATAGAATATATAGTGAACAAATTCGTCTGTGCACAACTTTCTCAACTCCTCCTACATTTCTCAACAGATTTTGACCAAACTTTCACAGAAGCTTTGTCATCAAGTGCCCTGGCGCATATTGTCGGGGTTTTGCGATTAGATAATATTTGACCTAATTATGGCCCTTTGTTTTTTTTCCTTATATAAAATATATAGTGAACAATTTCTTCTGTGCGCAACTCCTCCTACATTTCTCAACGGATTTTGACCAAACTTTCTCAGAAGCTTTGTCATCAAGTGCCCTGACACATATTGCCAGGGTTTTTTAATTGGTATATATTTGACCTAATTATGGCCCTTTGTTTTTTTCCTTATATAGAATATATAGTGAACAATTTCTTCTGTGCACAACTCCTCCTACATTTCTCAACGGATTTTGACCAAACTTTCTTATAAGCTTTGTTATCAAGTGCCCTGGCGCATGTTGTCGGGGTTTTGCGATTAGATAATATTTGACCTAATTATGGCCCTTTGTTTTTTTTCCTTATATAAAATATATAGTGAACAATTTCTTCTGTGCGCAACTCCTCCTACATTTCTCAACGGATTTTGACCAAGCTTTATCAGAAGCTTTGTCATCAAGTGCCCTGACACATATTGCCAGGGTTTTGCAATTGGTATATATTTGACCTAATTATGGCCCTTTGTTTTTTTTCCTTATATAGAATATATAGTGAACAATTTCTTCTGTGCACAACTCGTCCTACATTTCTCAACGGATTTTGACCAAACTTTCTTAGAAGCTTTGTTATCAAGTGCCTGGCACATATTGTCGGGGTTTTGTGATTGGATAATATTTGACCGCATTATGGCCCTTTGTATATTTTTTCCTTATACAGAATATATAGAGAACAATTTCTTCTGTGCTCAACTCCTCCTACATTTCTCAACGGAGTTTGACCAAACTTTCTTAGAAGCTTTGTTATCAAGTGCCTGGCACATATTGTCGGGGTTTTGTGATTGGATAATATTTGATCGAATTATGGCCCTTTGTATATTTTTTCCTTATACAGAATATATAGTGAACAATTTGTACAGTGCGCAACTTCTCCTACATTTCTCAATGGATTTTGACCAAACTTTCACAGAAGCTTTGTCATCAAGTGCCCTGGCGCTCACTAAATTCCCATGTTTCTACCAAGACATCATTCAAGTATTTTTTTAAAATTGTGAACATACTTTTCTTGATATCGCACAAAACACCACACGCCAATATTGTTGACAAAAGAAAATGACAAGAGACGCAAAAATGCAAAAATTAAGCAAAAATAAAGTACTGTTTACCTTTCTAAAACATTTGGGAAAAAAAGGCGAATAGACAACATAAAATTTCTCAATCATTTTTGTTTGAGGAATATTAAAGAAGCCATAATTCCTCCTAAAAGTTCAATTAAAAACAAATGCCCCTTCATGACAAAGCTTCTGTGAAATATTTTGCTGAAAACCTGGTTGCATCGCATTGCGATGTTCCTTGTTTTGTTGTAAAAAGATGAATTGAGAAACAGGGAAATTCGCTATACCTACTTTACCAAATATCTTAAATTGTTTGTCTATATTTCAATATTTACATCTATGGAAAATTAAAAAAACAACAGCAAAAAAGACAAGGTAATGATAAAAAACTAGGTAATGATATGTACTGATTGAACAGCAAATAGTGGAGACCATGATAAGATTGCTGATTTTGATTTTGCACTGCATGGTCACATGGTTATACGTAAGCTTAGGTTTAAAGAAATGCAACTGTCTATTTAAACTGTTGTGAACTGATACTGATACATCATATTGAGAGAAAAGTCAATAAGTACAGTTTTTTTATTAGCTCACCTGAGCTTGCTCAGGGTGAGCTATTAGGATCGGTGAATGTCCGTCGTCCGTCATCAGTCCACAATTGCTTGTGAACACTCTAGCGGTCACATTTTTGAACCAATCATCATCAAACTTGGTCAGAATGCTTGTCTAGTCAATTGCTTGGATGAGTTCGAACATGGGTCATGGGTCATCTCTGATGAAAAAGTAGGTCACAGGAGCTAAAAATAGAAAAACCTTGTGAACACTCTAGTGGTCACATTTTTGACCCAATCATCATCAAACTTGGTCAGGATGCTTCTCTAATTGATAGCTCGGATGAGTTCGAACATGGGTCATCTCGGATGAAAAAGTAGGTCACCGGAGCTAAAAATAGAAAAACCTTGTTAACACTCTAGCGGTCACATTTTTGCATCAATCATCATTAAACTTGGTCAAGATGCTTGTCTAGGTGATAACTCGGATGAGTTCGAACATGGGTCATCTTGGATGAAAAAGTAGGTCACCGGAGCTAAAAATAGAAAAACCTTGTTAACACTCTAGCGGTCACATTTTTGCATCAGTCATAATCAAACTTGCTCAAGATGCTTGTCTAGGTGAAAGTTTGGATGAGTTCGAACATGGGTCATCTCGAATGAAAAACTAGGTCACAGGAGCTAAAAATAGAAAAACCATGTTAACACTCTAGAGGTCACAATTTTGCCTCAATCATCATCAAACTTGGTCAGGATGCTTGTTTTTGTGATACCTCGAATGAGTTCGGAAATGGGTCATCTCAGATGAAAAAGTAGGTCACCGGAGCTAAAAATAGAAAAACCTTGTTAACACTCTAGCGGTCGCATTTTTGCCTCAATCATCATCAAACTTGATCAAGATGCTTGTCTTGGTGATAGCTCGGATGAGTTCGAACATGGGTCATCTCGGATGAAAAACTAGGTCACAGGAGCTAAGAATAGAAAAACCTTGTTAACACTAGTGGTCACAATTTTGACTCAATTGTCATCCAAACTTGGTCAGGAAACTTGTCTAGGTCATTGCTGGGAATAAATTGAACATGGGTCATCTCGGATGAAAAAGTAGGTCACCAGAGCTAAAAATAGAAAAAATCTTGTTAACACTCTAGTGGCTACTGTTGTGATCCAAATATTCTGTTAATTGGTCTGAAAGTTTGTTTTGATGATTTCTTAGTCAAGTTCGAACATGGGTCATCTTGGATGAAAAACTAGGTCACACCGCCCAATTATGGAAAAACCTTGTTAACATTCTAGTGGTCACATTTTCGACACAATTATCATCAAACTTGGTCAGGATGCTTGTCTAGGTAATTGCTTGGATGAGTTCGAAATCGCATGTGGAACTAGGTCACCGAAGCTAAAAATAGAAAAACCTTGTTAACACTCTAGCGGTCACATTTTTGCATCAGTCATAATCAAACTTGCTCAAGATGCTTGTCTAGGTGAAAGTTCGGATGAGTTCGAACATGGGTCATCTCGAATGAAAAACTAGGTCACAGGAGCTAAAAATAGAAAAACCATGTTAACACTCTAGAGGTCACAATTTTGCCTCAATCATCATCAAACTTGGTCAAGATGCTTGTCTAGGTGATAGCTCAGATGAGTTCGAACATGGGTCATCTCGGATGAAAAAGTAGGTCACCGGAGCTAAAAATAGAAAAACCTTGTTAACACTCTAGCGGTCACATTTTTGCATCAATCATCATCAAACTTGATCAAGATGCTTGTCTTGGTGATAGCCCGGATGAGTTCGAACATGGGTCATCTCGGATGAAAAACTAGGTCACAGGAGCTAAAAATAGAAAAACCTTGTTAACACTCTAGTGGTCACAATTTTGACTCAATTGTCATCAAACTTGGTCAGGAAACTTGTCTAGGTCATTGCTGGGAATAAATTGAACATGGGTCATCTCGGATGAAAAAGTAGGTCACCAGAGCTAAAAATAGAAAAAATCTTGTTAACACTCTAGTGGCTACTGTTGTGATCCAAATATTCTGTTAATTGGTCTGAAAGTTTGTTTTGATGATTTCTAAGTCAAGTTCGAACATGGGTCATCTTGGATGAAAAACTAGGTCACACCGCCCAAATATGGAAAAACCTTGTTAACATTCTAGTGGTCACATTTTCGACACAATTATCATCAAACTTGGTCAGGATGCTTGTCTAGGTAATTGCTTGGATGAGTTCAAAATCGCATGTGGAACTAGGTCACCGAAGCTAAAAATAGAAAAATCTTGTTAACACTCTAGTTGCTACTGTTTTGATCCAAGTATCCTGGAAATTGGTCTGAAAGTTTGTTTTGATGATTTCTAGGTCAAGTTTGAATATGTGTCACTTGGGTAAAAAACTAGGTCGCACTGCTAAAATATGGATAATCCTTGTTCACACTGTAGTGGTCACATTTTTGACTCACCTGTCATGAGACTTGGTCAGAATGCTTGTCTAGGTAATTGTTTGGATGAGTTTGATAAGTCAGGTGAGCGATCTAGGGCCATCATGGCCCTCTTGTATAATTAATTTGATCATGAGTTCACTAATTGTACTGTCAAATTAGTTTGTTTTCATGAATACATTAAAGCTGAATGAGGTTTTACTTTTGTGTTTTCATGCCTGCAGAGAAATTATTTGATGGTTGAATATTAATTACAATTAATGATGTATTATATATCTTGGTGGTTTCTCTCAGATGTTGTATTGAAACTGTCAAGTATATCTTTTGATATACCATAACTTGTTGCTTTACACCTAAAGACACTAGTCATTCAGTAGATAAACAAACATATTTCTATTTTAAATTTAGGGCTGTGCATTGCCATTTTTTTTGTCACGATACATATCACGATACTTGCATTTCCAAACGATGCGATTCACGATATGTATTGCATACTTGGATAAAATGCGATGCATATTGCGATTCTTATGTCTCGATGCAATACGTATCACAACATTGACTTTCAGACTTTATCTATATAAAAAACTTGGTCATTTGTTCACAGCATAATTACGAATGTAATATAAAACTATTACAATAACAAAAAAAAAAACTCTTCAACTTGTTATTATAGCTTATATTCAAGTTTTGATCTTTCAACAATTTACATTACTTATTACTTTAGGATTTTTACTTTTTACTTAAGGACTAAAGGCATTTTTCATTATACCATAACTATTAGTGTATTGCGATACTTTCCCGCTATATCGATGCATCGGGTGGTGAAATATCTATTGCATCCTGATATATTGGAATTTATAAATTCATTACGATGCATTCATCGAGGACAGGGCAGATCGCGATGTATCGATGCATCGATGAACCGTTACACCTCTATTTTAAATTGAATGTGGATTGCTAAAGGGGTTTTAGTATAAAAAAATCTTAAATTGTGCAGTTAAAAACGTATAGCTTGGTCACATGCTTTGTCACATTTCAAGTGTAAGATATTTGTGTGGTGGTCAAAAGTTAATAGCTTTGTCACATTTCAAGTGTTAGATATTTGTCTGGCAACTTTGTCACATTGCAAGTGTATGATTTGCATAACATTAAAAAAGTTAAGAGCTTTGTCACATTAATATTTGTGTGGCAGTTGGCATTTCTTTGATGCAGTATGCTAGACCTATTTCCAAAAGTTATTGCCAGGAGTCAGGCCATCATAGAGGTAGGCCAGTCTGTTCATCTGTGTAATCCAACCAGGCTCTGTATTAATGACTGTCCAACTTAATTTTTAAATTTGAATTAGTTTGGCATACAATAACTTTCATTTGAATCATAGTTTTGGGACCTTTCTGTTGAAAATGTACCAGAGTTAAATCGTATACATATACATGCACAGTGCGTTAACTGGAGTGCAGGTATTAGTTACCGCACTCCAGAGCATACCCATCGATTGGCTTATTTTTTTTCTGGGGTTTACTTATTGTGATGGCAGAGAAAGGGAAAGGGATAGAAATATCATATTCAGATGCTCGTTCATTGGTTACTTTTTTCTGGGGTGCCATATTGTGACAACAGAGAAAGTGTTTTTATTTTCAACTATGATACAAAAGAGAAAGAACATCGAAACACATGGCTATTTGATTTGTACGAGGGGGCGTAGCCCCTGATCAGATTGCCAAGTGTTTCTATTACCAAGTTTTGATATATAAAGAGTAACAACTTAATTAATATAATGTTAAATTAATATAATGTTATTTATTTCACAGAGTTCCAAGTGACAACTTTAAAGTCTGTGATGTCAAAGCATGTGTTGGTAAGTTATTATACATGTTGTAGGGCTACATAGTAATGATCCATTTTATATTGGATCATAAACATGTACATGTAGTAACATTATGTAATATATTATGTGGGATAACATAGTTGATTCACATTATATAGTGATTAAGTGTCTCATAGTATATTTATGATAAAGAATTCGTAAAATTGTAATATATATTATACAGGATCTTGATAATCATGAATATGTTAATTATATTGCATATGTTTATGTTCTAAAGGATGTATTTTTTTCCACATATCTGTCTTATATAGGATATAAATTTGTGATGTATATTATATAGGATCATGATTATCTAAATATATATTTTATATAGGATGTCAGTTTGTCCAAAGTTGAAACATATGTGTTATATAGGATGTCAACTTGGGATGTGTATTACATAGGATCTTGATAATCATAAATATGTTATATTTATAGAATGTAAATTTGTTCAAACATTTACCTGTGTTATATAGGATGTAAACTTGTAATATATATTATATATGGGATTATGATTTTCATAAATACATTATATAGGCAAAATAAGGCTGTAAATTTATGATGTATATTATCAGGATCATGATTATCATAAATATATAGAATTTATATAGGATGTTAAGTTGCCCAAACATATATGTTATATAGGATGTAAATTTGTAATGTATATCTACATGTATAGGATCATGGTTAATATTGGTTATCATAAATAAATGTTTATATAGGATGTAAATTTGTCCATACATATATCTGTGTTATATTATATATAGGATGTATATCATATAGGATCATATAATGTTATATTATATATAGGATGTATATTATAGGATCATATAATCATAATAATGTTATGTTATATAGGATCACGAAGAATGTTGGATGTGATGGATGTGAACACACAGAAAGGTCTTGAGATGACAATGAAAGAATGGACCAAGTATTATGAGACAACAGAGAGAGACCGTCTCCTTAATGTGATCAGTCTTGAGTTTAGTCACACAAAACTAGAAAACTATGTGGAGTCACCAAACCTGGTCAGTACAGTATTTCATTAGTTAAGTGATTAAGTAAATTATTCTGGATTAAGGTGACTGTATGCTTGTTATAATATTTTTATAATTGAAGCAATATATAAGAATTAAAAACTTGCCAATACTTTGGGTTTTTTTTAATTTGTAAAATGTCAAAAGGAAAAAATACTTTTAATTTTATATCTCTGATGATATCATGTATACCATATTAAAATTGAAAGATATATAGATTGATGTGACCCAGAACATTTACTTATGTAATGTATTATAAAAAAATCGTGTATAATTTTTAAGGTTGAAAAACATTGATTTTTGCAGCTGTTACTTTTTCTAAACTTTTGCTTTAAAGGAACTCCACTGAGGTCAAAAAGCTTTAAAACATAAAAATTGGACATGTTTACATAAATTAAGTGAAACACTTAAAAGGAAAAGTCTATAAACTAAATTGTAACTCAAGATTTTCCTTGTGCAATTCTTAGCCTGATTTGAAGGTTGCAATGCTTTCATTTTTGTCTCATTTTGCACAAATAAAATAATTATTCTGGGAAAAAGGGTTGAGGGAATGATCTGAAGTTATTGGTTCAGACCTGAAATCAAATGGTACACATATCTCGGAAAACATATTTCCAGTCCTGTCATGTCAACAAATTTCAGTGGAGTCCCTTTAATGATATTAATGATATATTGCCTTATGTAAGTATGTCAGTGTTTCAAGGCAAAAAACGAATCTTCTCACATGACATGATATATTTTATGTCTTTTTCGTGAAATTAAACAAATTTACATTCCAGGTATTAAACAGGTTTACTCTTGCTTTGAATTTTATGACAGTTTATGCATATAATGAAATATGTATTTAAACTATTAGTTTAAAGTGTCTGTTGGTCTATTTTGCCTGTGAAGTACCAGATTTTTTCTTCCTTCATTATCATTATTTTCAGCTATATTGGCCATTGTTTATGATTTCAATTGTATATTACAAAATGTATATCCTTCCTCCATCAGTGGATCTGTAATTAACCTTCCAACTGCTGAATTTGTGAAATGGTGGGTTTTATATGTGATGTGTTGAAACTGAATCGGCCCATATAAAAATTAAGGGATTGCCATATCAAAATACAAAACTTGAGCTACCAACAGTATAAGAGCCTTGTCATCAAGAATGAATGTACAGGCTGGCCTGGCTCTATACTGGTGGCAATGGTTAATCAAAACTGGTGGCAAAGGTTAATCAATACTAGTGGCAAAGGTTAATCAATACTAGTGGCAAAGGTTAATCAATACTGGTGGCAAAGGTTAATCAATACTGGTGGCAAAGGTTAATCAATACTGGTGGCAAAGGTTAATCAATACTAGTGGCAAAGGTTAATCAATACTGGTGGCAAAGGTTAATCAATACTGGTGGCAAAGGTTAATCAATACTGGTGGCAAAGGTTAATCAATACTGGTGGCAAAGGTTAATCAATACTGGTGGCAAAGGTTAATCAATACTGGTGGCAATGGTTAATCAATACTGGTGGCAAAGGTTAATCAATACTAGTGGCAAAGGTTAATCAATACTGGTGGCAAAGGTTTATAAATACTGGTGGCAAAGGTTAATCAATACTGGTGGCAAAGGTTAATCAATACTGGTGGCAAAGGTTAATCAATACTAGTGGCAAAGGTTAATCAATACTAGTGGCAAAGGTTAATCAATACTGGTGGCAATGGTTAATCAATACTGGTGGCAAAGGTTAATCAATACTGGTGGCAAAGGTTAATCAATACTGGTGGCAATGGTTAATCAATACTGGTGGCAATGGTTAATCAATACTGGTGGCAATGGTTAATCAATACTGGTGGCAATGGTTAATCAATACTGGTGGCAAAGGTTAATCAATACTGGTGGCAAAGGTTAATCAATACTGGTGGCAAAGGTTAATCAATACTGGTGGCAAAGGTTAATCAATACTGGTGGCAAAGGTTAATCAATACTGGTGGCAAAGGTTAATCGTATCCAGTTCCCAGCAGGTTAAGTGTTGAGAGGATTTTTCGGTCTATATAGTTGAATTATTGTGTTATCAGGTACGTGAAATAGATTGGGTTGACTCAGCTTGGCCTCAGCATTTGAAGGATTGCCAGACAGAATCAACGAATGCAATAGACAAAATGAAATACCCAAAAGTACAAAAGTAAGTATACTGATATATAAACTTAAACAGTCTTTCATATCTATGATCGGTTTTGTGAAAATACATGTATTTCCAAATAAAATTTTGTTTTGTTAAAGCTGAATTATTTCTGAAAATATGTGTTCTTTGTTTTAGACTGGTTTTACATATCATTTTTACTTTGTCATCTTTAATTGATTAATGATTAATTGGATGCTTGCCCAGGTTTGTTTGATTTTGTAGAAAGAAAATTTAGATAAAGCTCTAAATTAAAAGTGAAATAAGAATAAGAAAATAAAGTTTTTTAGTCAAAATAGTGAAGTATGAAATACAATGATAATAATATTTTAAGAAGTTGTTGTTTTATTTTTGTTAAGGTACTGTTTAATGAGTGTAGCAGGATGTTACACGGATTTTCATATTGACTTTGGTGGGACATCGGTGTGGTACCATATCTTACATGGTGAAAAGGTCAGTAAATAACAGGACATATGAGCCGCGTCACAACAAAACCAACATAATGGGTTTGCGACCAGCATGGATCCAGACCAGCCTGCGCATCTGCACAGTCTGATCAGGATCCATGCTGTTTGCTATCAGTTTCTCTACTTGTAATAGGGTTGGTAAGGGAACAGCATGGATTCTGATCAGACTGCGCGGATGCGCAGGCTGGTCTGGATCCATGCTGGTCGCAAACCCATTACGTTGGTTTTGTTGTGACGCGGCTCATATTCCTTACAGATATATCAATAACAGCATTTCTCACATAAACCCATTTAATAAAAACTATATTATGGTAGTGTAATAACATTTTGATGTGACATCATTTACATTATATACAAAGATAGCGTTAAAGCGCGCTTATGTTAGTGTTACACAATAGGTGCATCAATGAAATTTACTCTTTTTGACTGTAAACCGTTCTTATTTTAGATATGTGATAAATAGAATATTATATTTGTGTAGATTCAATTCTAAATTTATTGATCTCATTGCATTGAACAATATTATGCTTGCCAGAGGCTTGCATAACATGATTTTATTATATAACTTGTTCAATAAATTTAGAATTAAATCTACACTCATTCAGTATCCTCTATGTATGTATATTTCCCCGAGATTAATCATTGATGATGACTAGCCTACCGTATATACATTCTAGACATATTTATGTAAGATTTTTCAAAAAAAAAAGAAAGAAAAAAAAAAAGCTCATTCATTTGAAGTTTTAATTTCAATACAGGGAAAGCTAATCTCATAAAATTGTAATGGAGAGAATTAAAGTGATCTTCATGTAGGCTGTTTGTCACTTGTCATTATTTTTGTTTTCAGTTATGTTTATTATACAAGTTATATTAAATTTATTTTTTTCAGATATTTTGGTTAATTCCTCCAACTGATAAGAACCTTGCCAAGTATGAGAACTGGGTGTTGTCAGGGAAACAAGGTGATGCATTTTTGGCGGACTCCATTGAGGAATGTCAAATGATACAGCTTGTGGCAGGGAACACTTTCATCATTCCTTCTGGTTTGTTTCTTCTTGTTGTTTGTGTTGTGTTGTGTTTTTATCCATTTAACAGTGACTGTGAAAAATGATTTTTCTTGAATAGTGTGTCCTTCAATCTCAAAGTCATATCTAAATGGTTGAAATAGTAGCATAATAGTTTGTTTTGTATCATAATTTTACTGTTTATAAATTTATAAAAGTATTTTATTATATCTTCATTAATGAATATAGCTACCTGTATTACCTGGTAGAAAATGACTACATGAAGAATAAACAGGTTACCGTACACCTCTGATCTTGTCTGTTGATGTTGGGTTTTATAGCTAACATCTTAGCAGTAAACTAAGAGTAATGGCCCTTGACTAAGTCAACATTAATTTATTATCAAAAAATGACAGGAAGTTAACACACATTGTACAGATGTTTTATCTGCTTCCGTCAGTGACAAAGAAGAAGGTGGGGGTTTCAAACATGCCAAGATCTTCTTAGCCATGTTTAACTCTGTTATTAAGGAATGGACTCCTGTACTTATGTCCAGTTGTTTATTCTTAGTATTAATGTTTTACCAATGTCCTGGTTTTGGTTATATTTCAGTCCTACATGTAAAAGAAATTAAATGTTGTAAGAAGCATATCACAGGGATAAAAACTACAGTTTATAAAATTTCAACTATGTGAGAAACGACTGTCATGTTTATAAACCTACCAATGAAATTTGATCAAACAAGGCATGGATTTAGTTTACACAGAAGTTATTTTAGTTTGATTGTTTTGAAAGCTATAATCTTAATAAAACGTTCTCAAATCAGTTCCTTGAACTAACCATTACTAAGACATAGATTTAGAAATGTAATAAATTAAATGGTATTTTACTCTACAGGTTGGATACATGCAGTGTATACACCAAAAGACTCTCTAGTTTTTGGCGGGAATTTCTTACACAGCTTCAATATGGTAAACCAGCTCAAGGTGTCAGCTATTGAAGATAAAACACATGTAAGTCTTACTGGTTTACATTTTAGGTCCCCAATCATTCAAAATCTTGTGTAACCATCCGTTTAAAGCTTTGAGAAGAATTTGTGAAACTTAAGTCATTTTTCTGTATCAAATATCCATTGGAAAATGTGAAGTTTACAAGATTTAGTATTGATCCATGTTGTATAGATGCTTATCAGATCATTGTGTGTGTATGTGTGTGTCTTTGGTTTTACTGTGCACCAACACAGTTTAGGTAATATTGTGCCAGAACAGGAAAGATCACTTTGGCTTACCTTGGGCGAACGTAAGCAACGTAAGCAGTCAAAACCACCTCACCTGCTGGAGCTAAGATATGCATAGACTCCTGTAATTTGGACCCATTTAGTCACCTCTCACAGGGATAAACAGTGGCTGCAGTTTGTATGCATTAATCCTTAAAGACAAGCCCTAAACCACAAGGGGAATAAGATCATTGTTAAACATTGAAAGATGTACAATATACAAAGTGTTCTCATATTTATGATAATTGTAGGGTATTACCTTTATTATTCATTAGGAAAAAATGTAATTCAATTATTGTATGAGTTAAAGCATAGAAAAGTCTATGAATGCTTGGAGAGTCAGGGATGATTTTGCAATTTTGATGCAGTTTATATGAAAAAAGGAAATTGAGGTCTTGAAATGAAGAGTATTTGAGCATACATTTGGAAAAGTGAAAACTATATTAATTTTCTCAAGCTCAAAGAATAAAGCTAAGTGGTTTATGTATTAAAAAATTCTGCTCTTTCCTGTGTATGTTAAAATATTCATAGGAGACATAATGACTTGTAGGTTTTTTCATTTGTTTTCAAACAGGATATTTGTTTTGACTTTATTAGCTTGTTACATAATGTATATGTTAGAAGGCAGTTTTATCTTACACTACTACCATAAATACCCACAGGTAACAAAGTGTAGCTTTAATGTAAAGATATGTCCACAAATATCCTTAAAGGAGTCACATTTCATGTTTTGTAAGTTTTCCCATTACTGTCAATCCCAGTTTTAGGGACCTAAACAACCTTGTTGCCCTGTATAAAAGTTGAAATATCACTTTGGTACAAAACATGAACAAAAGGTGAATTGTCTTTTTGGGTATTGATGTTATTAGTGTAAAGGGAGGTAATAAAGAAAAACAAGAACATTTATCTGTACCTAAAAGAGCTTTGTTACTCGACAACAGTTACATGAAATAATTATGCATTTATGGGTTATAAATGTTCTTACCCCTGGGGGTCTATTAGTATGATAATTAAAATAAAACGTGTTCCATACTAGTTTATTAAGAACCGTCTGGTTAGATCAATAGGTAGAGTGTTGGACTGTGGGTCAGGTGACCAGTGTTTAATTCCTGGATTGTGCAGGTCACCATTGTTCTGATTGATTGTCTATTGTCATTTGCACTGTACCTCTGCTCTGACATGTACAGAAGCTATTATTTCCTTGCAATTATAAGTGAAGGCAACTAATAATGGTAAACTGCTTGACAGCCTGCCTCGAAACAATGTGCTGAACTGTGCTCTGGTGAATTCAAAGTGGCTAAAAATATTGCAGTAACCTGGAGGGTAAACTACAAACACCACCATCATTTAAGTTATATGAGTGGGTCTCCTCTGTAATTTAAGATTATTTTTTTGTTCAATTTGCATTCAAGTGTATATTGTCCCACTGTTTTTGGTGCTCTTGTTTTATTATTATACCCCCGCACAACAAAGTTGTAAAGGGGGTATACTGGAATCAGCTTGTCCGGCTGTCCGTCCGGCTGTCCGTCGGTTTTTTCTTGTCCGCCCAATAACTTAAGATTCCTTTGACCCTTAGTCTTCATATTTGGCATGAAGGTTAGTCATGATTAGTAGATGACCCCTATTGATTTTGAGGTCATTAGGTCAAAGGTCAAGGTCACAGGGGCCTTGACTTCAAAAAGCTTGTCCGCCCAATAACTTAAGATTCCTTTGACCCACAGTCTTCATATTTGGCATGGAGGCTAGTCATGATAAGTAGATGACCCCTTTTGACTTTGAGGTCACCAGGTCAAAGGTCAAGGTCATAGGGGCCATGACTTCAAAAAGCTTGTCTGCCCAATAACTTAAGATTCCTTTGACCCACAGTCTTCATATTTGGCATGGAGGTTAGTCATGATTAGTAGATGACCCCTATTGACTTTGAGGTCACCAGGTCAAATGTCAAGGTCACAGGGGCCTTGACTTCAAAAAGCTTGTCCGCCCTATAACTTAAGATTCCTGCGACCCACAGTCTTCATATTTGGCATGAAGGTTAGTCATGATTAGTAGATGACCCCTATTGATTTTGAGGTCACCAGGTCAAAGGTCAAGGTCACAGGGGCCTTGACTTCAAAAAGCTTGTCCGCCCAATAACTTAAGATTCCTTTGACCCACAGTCTTCATATTTGGAATGGAGGTTAGTCATGATTAGTAGATGACCCCTATTGATTTTGAGGTCACCAGGTCAAAGGTCAAGGTCACGGACTTTGACTTCCAAAAGTTTGTCTGCCCAATAACTTTAGATTCTTTGACCCCACAGTCTGCATATTTGGCATGGATGTTGATCATGATTAGTAGATGACCCCTTTTGATTTTGAGGTCACTGGATCAAAGGTCAAGGTCATAGGGACTTTGACTTCAAAAAGTTTGTCCACCCATTAACTTAAGATTCCTTTGACCCACAGTCTTCATATTTGGCATGGATGTTGATCATGACTATAAGGTGACCCCTATTGATTTTGAGGTCACTGGGTCAAAGGTCAAGGTCACAGGGACCTTGACAAAAAAAAAGCTTTTCTTCTCAATTGCTAAAGAATGTCCTGTCCGCAATGTATTGATTTTGACATTTTCACATTTGAAGCATGTAGAATACATAACTTAGCAATGCACTGGCTTAGTAACCTCAGATTTGGCAGGGAGGTTGTCCTTGAGCTCTAAATGGCCACTGTTGATTCTGACAAAGTGGTATGCGGGGGTATTCACGCCATGATAGTGGCAGTTCTAGTTTATTTCTATTTTTATACAAAAATCCTTTATTAAGATAATGAACAGTTCTAAATTTAAAACAGGTCAAGTCCATTATACAAATGGCAGGGGTTAGAATAGAGGTTAAACTTCCAGCATATTATTCATGTAAGTTGCAACAATGTATTAACTATACATATGTTTATTCTTTGAAAAGGGCAACATGTTTGATACAATTCTTACAGGATACATTAAGTATATGCCTTTAAAATATTAGACATGGAGTAGTCATTCAGGATTATCTGGTAAATTATGACAAGGTGTCGCAACTTCTTTGATGTGTTGTTTTTGTTAATGTCTAGACATAGAAATATACTTTGATTTATATTTTCCTGTACTTTGACAATAGTTATTTGTTTTGAAGTGATAAATCCGTACTTTTATCGTTAAAACACAATTTGATACCATTCATCTTTTGATGACAAGTTCTTAAAAATGTGGGCGTTACTCTTCAACTAAAAGGGGATGTACTAGTAAACAGAAACTACATGTATCTGTTATTGGAAATGGCAATTTATAGGGAAATGAATAATTGTATGTCTAAGACTGCCTTTCAACACCCACTGTCCAATATCATAGAAATAATCAAGACTGTTAAATTTCATACCTTCTTTGCCCCCACAATATATGAATTAGAGGCACACATGACAAACCTTAATTTTTCAACTCTTTTAAAGGGTATAAAACTATATCTACTAAAACGCTTTTTATAAAATTTATAAACAGTAAATTTATAATATGTTGTTTCCATGATTCCTGAGAGAGTGGTAAGATAAACTGTCTCTGTTATTTAACACACATCAATATTGTACAATAACAGAATGAAATGTTCAGGACAAAATTTTATTCTGCTATTTTAAGTAGGATGTTTTAACATTCAGTGCATGCACCAATTGCTCGAAAGACAATAAACAAACATATTTCTTTCAAATACATTGTAGGTATTTTGGAAATATTCTTTTTCAAAACAATATTTTTGTTAACTACAGGCATCGGATATATATAGCTTTATACACTATAAGCAACAGTGGACAAATGGCAAGCCTGAATCATAAGTATTGCACCAGACTAGTCTGTTCAAAGTTTATTTATTTTGATGGAGACAACCTTTCATTTTCATGATAGACAGTCCTGATTAAAAATAGAATAAGGCCTGCGGACCACCATTGTTAGAATTGAGTTATTACTCTATATGAGATATATGATGATTACATTTAAAAAGATTTCCTGTTTCAGGTACCAATGAAATTCCGATATCCATTCTATGCAGAGATAAATTGGTATGTGTTAGAACGTTACGTACACTCACTGACAGGTGTAACGTATCTGGAGAAACCACAACTGAATGAGGATCTAGAGGTCATCAATACCAAGGTATGTAGCATTTTCTTTAGGTCAGAAACTGTATTGCATGGCCCATAAAAGGTTGAAAGTTTGATCTATATTTTATTATGATACAAATATTTTAAAAGACGGATGGCAAGTCTAATCTTATGTTTGAACAGGAATTAAGTGAAACGTATCTGAATTTAGGCACGTTTTACATATGGCTTCTAGAAACCTTGCTGTATATGAATATAAAAATCACTTCTTTTCCCACATGATTAATTCCTTTGTTGTTAATAGTTTTAAACATATTTTGTTGTAGTTTTACCAATAAAAGTTCTTTACATAATTTATATGTATTCATAAGGAAACAGTATTATTTAAATAAAGAACTTTGAAGGAATATGTCGTACATTTTAGTTATAAGGACATTGACAATGCTGTTACTGGAACTGGTTGAACACCCCTAAATTCCTAAATTTGTTAACATTCTTTTCAACCAAAATCAGCTTACATAATGTAGATCTTTGTTACATATCTTTGCCAAAAAGTTTCTTTTGGAACAGCTGTACAGTGAGATTATAGTGTATTGTATTGTATTGTATATAGTTTTCATTTATATTTTGATTTAGATTGATCAGGCAAATTTTGAATTACTTGAAGAAAAGCTTAACAAAAGACTATCCGTATCGCTAACCAGAATTGACGACACTTCACCAGGACGTAAATCAACCAGTGATGATGATAGTACAGCTTCTGGACCAACCAGATCACCAGGGCAAGCTTCTACATTACCGAGAACAGGAAGGAAGTCATCATCAGAAAGTGCAAATTCATTGGATCTCAAATCTGTTGATAAACCCGAGATAATGAAGGTGCCGTATAAAAGCCCTGTAAAGAAGAGAACAAAATATATACACTTGACAAAATATGAGCTGGAAGGTTTGATTGAGGTGCTAGGATGGGTGGAGAGTTTGCCTCCAACCAAGAAAGGCATTCCAAAGGATCTGATTGATCCAGATGCAGTGCTTAGAGAAGTCAAGGTATTGTCTTTACTTAAATTCTTGTAGCAAACACATACAACTTGAATACTGAAAGTTAGTTTTTGAGCAAGAGTTTGGTTTCATGTTCCATGTGATTTTTTAGCTTGACTTTTCTATGAAAAGGGGAGCTATCCTACTCGCCCCGGCGTCGGCGTCGGCGTCGGCGTTGGCGTCACACCTTGGTTAAGTTTTTCGTACCACCCCACTTTATTTCAGAAGTATTACAAGTATGGCTTTGAAACTTACCATACTTGTTCACCATCATAACCTCCATATACAGACAAGAGTACATAACTCTGTCAAGGTTTTTGACAGAATTATGGCCCTTTTTTGACTTAGAAAGTGTATTGAGCTTGGTTAAGTTTTTTGTACCACCTCACTTTATTTCAAAACCATTGGAGGTATTGCTTTGAAACTGACCATACTTGTTTACCATCACGACCTTCATCAACAGACAAGAGGACATAACTCTGTCAAGGTTTTTGACAGAATTATGCCCCTTTTTGACTTAGAAAATACATTGAATATGGGTAAAATCCACTTATTGCCTTAACCCTTTGAGATATTGCTTTGAAACTTTTAATGCTATTTCACATCATTACCCCCATCTGTACGCAAGAGAAGGTAACTCTGTCAAGGATTTGTTTTAAAAATTAAGGCCTTTTATCGACTTAGAATCTTGGTTAAGTTTTTAGTACCAGTCCACTTTTTGACTGAACTGTTTGAGATATTAATTTGAAAGTTGGAATACTTGTTTACAATCATGATTCCCAAACATGTCCAGGAGAAGGTAATTCTGTCAAAGATTTTATTTGAATTATGGCCCTTAACTGTCAATGTTTTGTATTATAGGCAAGCACTAAAAAACTTAAAAAATCTAAAAAAAATTCATTCCTATCCACTTGTTCACTTTACCATAAATTATGTCATATAAACATTGCTGTAATATTCAAGGGTATCAAACAACTAGTTATTTTTCTCTTTTTGTACTTGAAATTAAAATCAGTAGTATAATACTATTAAATTTATTTAAGGCTCAACTCAGTTTTTTTTCTTTCTTACCAGCCCTCTTTTGACTTAAACATTTCAAACTTTGCTGCAGTGTTCAAGGGTATCACACAATTCAGTAAAATAATTCTTCACTAAATATCTTAATGCTCATGGCCATTGTTCACTTTAAAAATACAGAGATTCTTGTATTGCCTTTTACTGCAAAAACTTTTTTTATTGGCAAGCAATAAAAAAGTCGAGCGCGCTGTCTTACGGACAGCTCTTGTTTTACTATGGAATTGATTGAAAAAAGGTTCAATCATCAAATGTATGTTTCAAAAAAATAAAAATCTTAAATTTAAATGTAGGAATTATTGTATGATGAAAAAGAAACTCTTAAAATAAAGTGGACTTCTTTGACATAGATTGTTTTCTTTATGACTCAACATGTTGTAGGCTATGAATTTATTTTGTGAATAAATTTTATAATTGACAATTTATTTACAAAAAATTGTCAGAACAAAATGCATACAAATTTTCAAAGAATTATTATTTCACTGAATTGTGATTATTTTCATATTTTGACTGTGTTTCAGCGTTTAATCCAGGAGCATATGAAAGACAATCCTGAACTTGCTATAACTGGTGAACCAGTCTTAGAATGGACAAAAGCAACCAAGGTATGTTTAAACTGTCTCTATATTATCTTTTAGAATAATTTAGCTCTGTTATAGCAAAGATTATTAAATTACTTAAGATCAGAGAAGAAAGTTGTTAAGAATATTTTTCCATTTATTCAACAAGTTATAGTTTCTTATATTTTTTATGAAATCTTGATTTTATACATAGACAAATGTAGACAAATGTAGATTTTTTAAAAGCATTGATTTGGTACTGCAGTAATATTGATAATACAGGAATAAGAAACATTTGCAGATCAGGCTTTGAGGTTATAAACTTTTTTTAATGAGCTTTGTTTTGAACATAAGGATTTTAATTGGTCACTGTACATTCTAGCAATCAAAGATTTCATTTTCAGTTACGACAATTTATAATCTTAGACCCAGGAATGTAACCTTGAATATTTAGAACTTATTGTGAAAACTTTACATATAATTTGAAACCTTTCAAATCTGTTCAATTTCAATTTTTTTTATGTATTACAAAAACATAAATGTATGAGAAGCTGAAAAGGTTTTTTTTTTCAATACAATGCTTATTTATGAGTAGGGGCTTTGTTGTTTATTAATATAAGTATTACTAAATGATTTTAGAAACTGATCAAGTTGAAACAGAAAGCAAAGACGGCCAAGCTGCTTGGGACACACTGTGCACCGAAAGTTAAAACAGGCGGTAAGAATGCATCGGGTAACCGTCATCGACGTGTTCGATGTAAGAAGTGTGAACCGTGTACAAGGGATGATTGTATGGAATGTAATTTCTGTAAAGATATGAGGAAATATGGAGGTCCAGGGCGTGCCAAGCAATCTTGTATCAGCCGACAGTGTCTGGCAGTGAGTGAAAATACTTTTTTGTTTTTATACATAATTAAAGCCATTATTTACTATTTATAAAAAGGCAAGGTTTGATATTAAATATTTTCTAAAATTCTATGACATGAATGTCAAAAATGTAAATTACATGCCAAATGTTGGGGATAATATTTTCATACAATTTTCTATTACGACGGGAGAAAGCTATGCAAAGCTCTCAGCATTCAGATGAATTTACAAAGAACTTTACGTAATATACATATCTTAAATATATTTGCCCAACTATCATCATGGACAAAACTATTCATTATTTTAAAGGAAAATTTTAAGATATGTACTGTCTAGATAATGAACAGTGCAGACCATGATCAGACAATATAGATGTGCCTGCTAATCATGTCCTGCACTGGTCGCATGAGTTAAGTCAAAGAAAATCAGCAAGTATAGGGTTAACATTTTATTACAGCCAATCCTTCCAAAAGGCATTGTATGTCTGATATGTAAAATGCCTGTGTGCCTGCTCGACAAACCTGTGAAGACAGATGGCGCTGTTGATGATGACGCGGAGGATTATTCCTCGGCACTAATGGAGTGTGGGATATGCTGGGAGATCGTACATCCACTGTGTTTACGTAAAAAGAACGAGAACTTGAATAATGATGGTATCCTAAATGAGGATCTTCCAAACAGCTGGAAGTGCTCAAAATGCTGCTTTGATGGAAAAGAAGGAAAACTTATGGTAAGTTATAAAATTCATATTCTTACAGAGGGTAAAATTCTCATGTTTTGGTTAATCATATCACTAGATACAATTTAAAGGTATTAAGATAATTAGAAAATAGAAAAGGTGTTAAGATAATTAGAAAATACATAATTTAATTACATACATATACATTTAATGACACAAAAATTTTTTGATAGAAGATATACGTACCTAGAAGAAATCAATGTTTTCTCAGATATAAAACATACAAATATCTCAAATTAAAAGAATATCATTTTGATATTACAACAGAATACCTTTATCTTGTGTTAAAATGAAAATATCTTATGTAAAAATACTACACTCATTTCATTATCAATACTTCACTGTATAATTTATTCTCCAGGCCAGAGTCTTTAAGGGAGGTTGGAGACCCACACCAGCAAGTACCCCGCCCCCACTGTCAGTATCCCCTCCCCTTCAACCAAACAGTCCCACAGGTATCCAGGAAGTGATTGTAACCGAGGGGAAACGTGTAACATTAAACCAGGGCATAGATAGCAAGAAAACAATGGTAAGAAAAATTTCATATACAGTACACAATTTTTATGCCCCCACAGAGTGGGAGCATATAGCGTTGCACTTGTCCGTCCGTCCGTCCATCCGTACGTCTGTCCGTCCGTCCTTCCGTTCGTCTGTTCGTACGTCCCGAAATCTTGTGAACGCAACTCCTCTTAAACCGGATGGCAGATTTTGCTTAAACTTCTAGGGATGAACAACCTTAATGTGTAGATGGTAGTAAAGGAAGGAATTTTTGCTGCGACCAAATTTAACAGAATTATGGCCCTTTGTTGATTTTTTCACTATATACCATGTAAAAATTTTGTGAACGCAACTCCTCTTAAACCGGATGGCAGATTTTGCTTAAACTTCCAGGGAATAACAACCTTAATGTGTAGATGGTATTAAAGGAAGGAATTTTTGCTGCGACCAAATTTAACAGAATTATGGCCCTTTGTTGACTTTTTCACTGTATACTTAATAGAAATTTTGTGAACACAACTCCTCTTAAACTGGATGGCAGATTTTGCTTAAACTTCCAGGGATGAACAACCTTAATGTGTAGATGGTAGTAAAGGAAGGAATTTTTGCTGTGACCAAATTTAACAGAATTATGGCCCTTTGTTGATTTTTTCACTATATACCATATAGAAATTTTGTGAATGCAACTCCTCTTAAACCGGATGGCAGATTTTGCTTAAACTTCCAGGGATGAACAACCTTAATGTGTAGATGGTAGCAAAGGAAGGAATTTTTGCTGCGACCAAATTTAATAGAATAATGGCCCTTTGTTGATTTTTTCACTATATACCATATATATGTTGTCAGTGGGGGCATCCGTGTCCTTTGGACACATTTCTAGTTTCTTTAATAATGGTGAGATGATATGATCCATTATAAAAACATGAGAGCGTCACTTTAGAGGTGAAAGGTTGTTCCTAAATGCAATATGTCATTTGTGAAGTCAAATACAAATTTATACATTACTATTTATTAAATAGTTTTTCAACAAGAATAAAGGGAGATAACTTCAATTCACAGTCATCATAAAAGTGAGTTAATCTCCCACATTCAGCAGTGGTAATCTTCATATCATTTGATTCTTGATTGATGTACCAGTATTTGACAGCATTTAAGATTAAAATAAAAGATCTTAGTACACCTATGTGTATAAAACATTATGAACATTATTTATCAAGTGATTGTGTACGTAAGAAAAGTTTTGTACAGTGTCACGACTTAATTACTCACTTGTAACAGTTATCACTCTTAAGAATTACTTGATTATTTTGTCTTCATACATGTACATGTAATTGCATTTTTTTCTTCAGACATTTAGTTAATTTGCTACATGAACTTGTTGAAAACGCTTTAGATGCTGTGACATTTCAGTCTGCTATATACATTGAGTCTAATAGTCATTAATCTCATAAAGCTGATTCAGAAATCATGTGGGCTTAGTTGTCAGTCACTTGTGGAGAAGTTGGGTATAACTGGTTAGTTATCCAGGAGTCTCAGTCAGTAAGGTAGATCAACTGTGCCGACATATGACCAAAAACTGTGTTTAAATTGGTGTAAAAACCGAACATATAAACTAACTGCTATATGTATAATGGACTGTACTTGTAAACTTTGCCAATTGTTGTTTTAAAGGACTTATCATAATACTTTTGCTTATAAGCTAACAGCTTTGAGTCCGGTCAGACTTCAGGGATGTATATTAAGGCCTAACCGTTAATATGCTGATGGTGATTAGCAAGTTATTGCATGTATTAGCACCAAAGTTGAGTCTGTGATGCACACATATGTTATTATAACATAATGTATATATTAATAATCTGTTTATAATTACATTATCATTGTGATACTAAATGTTTACAGCCCAAGTTATCCCTCAGTCCTGAACATAGAGAGATATATTCCAAACCATTTAATGGTTCCGGCAGTGAAGACCTTGATGATATAGATACACCAGTATGTAACTTTATAATTAAACCTTTAACATAATCAAGATCTATTTGTGCAAGGGCATTTGAAGCAGTTAATAAAAGTAAAATGGTGCTTTATAAATAAGTTAATATTTGTTAAAAATAGTAGTGCACTTCAACCACATCTATTCAACTGCATCCTTAGTAGATAAAGTCTGTTTTACTGTCTGTAATATAGAATTACAGACAGATTTATCACACACCTGTGCCGCTTTTCCGACTCCTTTAAAATAATATTGCATGGCCATGGATATATTTTGATGTGATGTCATTTGCGTTATATAAACTGAGTGTTACGATGCGTTAAATGTTAGCATTATACTATAGATGCATCAATGAAAAATGGTTCTTTTTCATTTCAAACTGCCTTTATTTTTGGTATGTGATAAAATGAATATTGAATTTGTGTAAGTTTAATACATATACAATAATGCATGATAAAATTTTATTCAACAGGTTCGATAAATTCTGTATTAAATTTACATTCAATCAATATCCTCTATGTATGTATTCTTTAATAATGACTTTCACATAATTTCACAAATGGAAATTAAATGTGTGAGAAAAATGCATGCATATAAATGTGTGTTTCTTTATTCCAGTATGTTAATGGAATTATTTGATTGATTATGTATGAAAATAAGTTGATTACATGTTTGTGATAAATGTAGCCAAAAAAAAGATGATTATATTTTGTTTCTGTAGAAGTTAAAGATGGAAGTATCAGGAGATGAGAAGGTGAATGTTAAGATGGAAGTTATTGATGAACCACAGTCTATCAGCAATGAACCTACAGCTGTTATCTTTAAGTCGAATGTTAAAAGAAGCTCATCTCCTTCAGGGGAAAATCCTCTAAAAAAGGTATTAGTTCTTCTTTTTTGCTTGAGTATACAGTGAATAGTGGGGGTATCCAACATATCCTGGTGTCAACAGCATAACACTTTGGTTAAGTTTTATGACCAAATTCTTGTACAAGATCATATCTTATAAAACTATAACAAACTTTTCACTTCGCTCATGTCTTTGAGATCATGATAGGAGGTCTTTTTATAAGGCCCATAACTCTAGCTTAGATTTAGAATGAATTATAACCCTTTGTGACCTTTGAAGATTCTTTGTCCAAGTTTTGCAAGCAACATCAAACTTTAAAACAACTGTCCAAGGTCCATAACTCTAACATGGTACAATGTATTTGTATGATTAATGGCCCTTTGTAAACTACAAAAGGTCATTGGTTTAAGTTTTGTGTGCAGCATTTATCTTTAAAACAACTGATGTTTTTCACTTAAAACCTCACTCATGTCTTAGGAATAATAATCAAATTGCATTATGAATAAAAAAAATGTGGCCTTTCGTGAACTTACAAATTTCTTTTGTCAATACTTAAGACTAATAATTAAGTCATGTTGTTGATACTTAGACTAATAATCTTAATTGATTTCTTAATCAAATTTCTTAATTGTATTTCTTAATTGATTTCTTAATTGAATTTCAGAAACGTAATATTTCTCCATCTCCAAACCGGCCATCAAAGTCTTCCAAGGTACATGGGCAACCGAAAGCCTCACCTAGTTCGGGTAGAAAACCTGGAAAATCCACAGCAACAGATTTAAATAACAAACGCTCAAAACGAGAGGTACATAAACCTTCAAGGTTTTTGGACTTTATTTGATTGTGAATGTAACTCATTGTAGGAAATAATTTTGCCACAGACTTTTGTGATAAAGTTTTCTTCATTGTCCTAAACCATTTATCATTTTTCAGACACCAAAATAAAGCCAAAATAAAGCAAGTTTTGACAATTTTTGTATCAAAATGTACTAAATTTTCAAGTTTTTTGTCATTACTTAATGGTATTTAGATGAAAACAAAAATCAGATTTTGAACGGTGTTTAAATGAAAAAAAAAACCTTTGAAATATCATTTATGTCACTTGCTGATGATACGCATTTTTCTGAAATTTGATTTTTAATTTGTTTATTGTGAACATGTTGCAGTATTAATTTGCCTATATTTTGTTGTGATAATGTCATTGTAAGAACAATAAACATACAGTTAAGAAAATCTAAGAAGGATTTATGAACTTAAGAAAGTTAGAATCCACAAGATTTACAGTATGACTTAATTGTCTCTGAAATGCAGACCAAGGGAGACAACTTGAACATCATGTGTTCAAACTTTGTGTTATAGATATTTTTACATTTTTCTCAGGTTTTTAAGTAAATTTTTAAAAAAATGTGATAACATTGTTTTTTTTTCATCTCTCAATTTTTATAAGAAAAAAAAATCACTTGCCATTTCTTTAAATATGTGTATATTATGTAACATAAGTTAGTGTTAGATTGTTGTTTATATGGAATGTAGCTTAGTTTTTGTTCAGTATTGTTTGACTCTTGGAGCTTCCAAGAATCTTGTCTATAAAAATTGTTTTAATTTTTTTCTTTGAGACATTCTCATTAAGGAAATTTCACGTAATGTCATTTTTATTTGTTTCATTATTTTTTTACAGTTTTGTATTTCATTCTCTAGCAACAATTTTTGGGTTTCTGAAATTGGCTGGTGCATGTATGCAGTTTTGACTAATAAACAGTTATTGTCATTTGATATTTTTGTCTTGTTTGATTTACACAGAGAAGGAAGTAGATTATTGTGTAATTTGTAAGAGGTCATTTCTTTTAACTAGTTTACCAGTTTTGCATGAATATCTGTGTTCACAAAAAGAAATTAGTATCAGATGATAACACTTATATTTTTAGGTAGGGATATATATATATATATATTTCCGGATACCAATTTATTTATATCATGAAAAAGACTCGTTTACAAAGCACATGCATGTGTAACATATTTTAGTCCAGCAATATACTTTAAAAAAAATATGTAAATTCTAATTTTTAGTGGACTATAAGAATAAGAAGAGCTATTGTAGTCACCCGAGAGTCGGCGTAACCACTTATGTTAAAGTTTTTTGTAATACCTCAAATATTTTCAAAGTCCATTGACATATGGCTTTGAAACTTTGCAAACTTGTTCACCATCATGACCCCAACTTGTAGACAGGAGGAGGTAACTCTATCAAGCATTTTGACAGAATTATGCCCCTTTTTTAACATTTACATTTAAGTTTGCATACCACCTCAGATATCTTCATATTCTATTCTTCTTTTAGAGCATAATACGAGTCTCTCCAAGGCCTATAACTGTAACATGGATTTAAAGAAATATTTTACCCTTTTGTTGACTAAATTTTTCATTATCAAGGCTCTTTTACTGTCAACCACTAAGAATAGTCAAGCGTTGCTGTCCTACCGACAGCTCTTTTTAGAATAAAGTTAAACATGTATAGTAACAAGTACAATTTTTTTAAAGAATTTAAATGACTGAGGGCATTTTACCAGAATTGTTTTAAAGGTAGTCTAAATTTCATTGAGATTGCCCTCCCTTGTATTATTTAGACAAATAATAACATGTTCTTAAAAATTCCTGAGCATGTATCTTAAGAAATATGTAAACATATATAATACATAATTTTGATCCTGATTTCTGCATTGTGAACACAGAGTTAGTTTGATATCTTTACAGTTATATTTGTTCCTTCTTACTTAACATGTTCATGTTTATGTTCATCATTTCATCACATTAACGCTTGCAAGTTTGTAAAATTAAAAAAAAATCAACAATCAACTCTGTCTCTCTTAGAATAGAGGTGAATAAACAAGATTTATCATAAACTCTTAGCCCTGTTAAAGGTTAGTGAATCTAACAAGAATGGAAAGAAATGAAATATGCTAAATTCCCACTATCGTGTAAAATGTTCATATTAAACGATTCATTCAGATAGAGTCTATATAAACTCTCAGCTCTTATGTCTTCTGATAATAAGTGTTATACTTAGCATCAATCAGAACTCCACAAATATATTTCAACAGTGCTTTTATTCAAGTTAACTCCAATCGGAACACCACAACTAATTTTCAACAGTGTTTTTATTCAAGTCTGGTAAATAGAACAGTTCCCAATTGTTACAAATTACTATTCCTAATGTATGAAGGAGTACCTGAGGTTTTCCTCAACCAGTAAAGCCTGAAAGTCGTCATATGACTTATACTGTGTTGATGCATTTTATAAATCAGAGGGATTTTGATATCAAAATGTAAAATGTAAGCAGCTAACGGTATAATGTCTTTATGCGCAGATTGACTTGACTCTATACTAGTGGGAAAGGCTAGAAAAAGTTCCTGTTAGTAAGATCTGCTAGGGTTATATTTCATTTGTTTTATGAAGGCACACATATACTGGTTTGTGTTTGGTAAATATGGTTGTAAATGACAAAAATTGATATTTTAATACCATAAGTGCTATGGTTGATTTATTCCAATAGTGTTGTCCCACCACTACCTACATCTTCAGTACACTGACTAGGAATCTTGTTATTACATGAATTGAGACAAAGGTTAAACAATTTTAATGGTTTAACCATGACAAACTACTTCTATCTTAAAGACAAACAATGACAAGAAAAATAAAAGATAAAACCTAAGCTGGAATTTTTTTAAATGCTAAACATATTAACAACTTTAACTTTGGGCAAAGGGTGAAATAGTTTGTAATTAGTTGGCCAGTTTTTCATGCATATTTTTCATATCATTTAATAAATTCAATTATAATTTTATAGTTTGCTTGAAATTTTCATGCTTTCATCATTTTTTTTATTGAGATTACTTGCTCTATTTTAAGTAGTAAAACTTAGAAATTGTTAAAATCACTTTATAGATAAATATGCTATTTAGTTTTCAAATTCGGCCAACTAATTCTGACTATTTTAATCTTTTGTAGACAACACCAAGATCTGGGACTCGATGCACTTATGACTTTGATGATGATGAGGAATGCATGGATATTTCCGCTCCTCTCCCAGATAAGGGCAAAGGGAAGGGTATCAAAGGTCGCAAAAGCCTACATTTGAAAAATAAAGACTTTGGTGCAAGTTTAGGATCAAACGTTAACAGTAAATCTCATACCCAAACTCTTGAACCTAAACCTGAAGATCGTGGTCATCTTACAAAATATTCTTCTGAAAAATTGTGCAGTGAACAGTTAAGACAAACTCTGATTTCTCATATCGAAAGGCGTAACCTGCCAGTTATAAAACCGCAGTTTGTTGTACGGCCGGCTCCTATATCTCCCCCGGATGATTACTGTGTGATGAATAATGGTCAAAAGCATCCCCTGTCGCGTAAAGTTTGGACATTTATCTTCCATTACCTGTCGTCTGCTGATTTGGCACGTTGCCAAGCTGTTTGTCAAATATGGAACAGATGGTGCATCAATCCTGATTTGTGGAAGAAAATAGATCTGAGTAAAAAGAGAATCGTTCAGACCCATCTAATGGGAATAGTCCGACGGCAACCGGAATACCTTGATCTGAGTTCGGTTATTATGACACAAAAACAAATTTTATGGTTACTTGAAAGAATTCCTTTGTTGAAGACATTGATTGTATCAAAATGTTCTTGGGCAACAATAAGTGGACTGTGCATGTCGGCGTGCCCGTTACTTTATAAGCTTGATGTTAGTTGGGCTACCGGGCTGAATGATAGATGTTTTGAAGATCTCATTTCACCCCCTGTGGACAGGAAACCGGCTGTTAAAAACATCAGTCGTCTCCATAGGTTACGATCAATTCATTTGTCTGGAACAGAAATCACTGACACGTCGTTAGAGCTAATGACTCTACACCTGTCACATCTGGAGGAATTGAATATCAGTTACTGTACCCGAATCACTGACCGTGGTATCCAAATATTGGCAAGCAGTAAATCGCCAACACAAGATTCACTGAAAGTGTTGAACATTTGTGGTTGCCGTGGACTCACGGAGGTCAGTTTGGATGCTATAAAGAACTTCAGTAAGTTAAAGGAACTGTATGCCACTAACTGTATCAGAATACCAACAGAAAGATGTAGATCTCTCCGACATCCACGACTGAAGATATTCAGATATTAGTGAGACTTTTATACCTAAAGATGTTAGAAGTGCTCACAGTTAAAAAATGTTTGGGTTTTTTTTTTGTAAATTTTATTAAGGGTATATACATATATATAACTGTTATATTTTTGTAAATAATATTGGGGTAGAGTCATGCTTATTATGGAGTGTGCTGTGCTATTATCTAAATTCTTTGCATTCAAATTATTGGGTAAAAGATGAGGCTTTTGTTAGGCAAGTTTTTTTGTCAACCAAATAACAGGACTTGTAAAGGAAATATTTCACAATTCTAACCCTTGACCTGCTGGGACCAAAAGTGATTATCCTTTACCACCAGTATTGAGCCATCTGTATAGTCTGATCAGGCTTTTTACTATTGGTAGATCTAATTTTAGCTTGTCTGATTCAATGAGAAAGTCAAGCTATTTCAATGCATTGGTCATTATTGTTGTCACTGTAGCCCATTACTCAAACACTTAAAGAAGGTATCAATATGAAATTTGCCATACTTGCTTATCATGACAAAATACAGTTGTAAGACGTATTAGCTGAAAGCAATATTTTTTTGGATTTATGCCCCTTTTTAACCCTTGTTAAAATTGGTTACTGATAAAACATTTTGAAGATTATCAAAGATATTTTACACTTTGCTACTTTTGATAACAAGGCCTATCTAGTGGGCACTGGGCAAGGGGGCATAACTAAGTAATAAATATTTCAAGAGTTGTGCCCCTTCTTCACATGGAAAAATATTCTTGTTAGGAGTAACAATCATAACGCTCTTGAATTTTTTTGTCAGTGCCCTAAGCAGATGAGCATAAGTATGCATTTGGTGCTATTGAATGGACTGTTCCAAATTTACTGCTGGTCAAATTCAGCAGGGTAAGGGTAAAAAAAAAAAAATTGTTATATTTAGATTGTTTCATAACTCCAGCATTACTTTGAATATCTCCTTGTTTTATGAAAAACCTGCAGATTTTGAAGAAAAAAAACAACAACAAAAAACTCACTATTATTTAAAGTATTCATTACAATATAACTATGCAATGTTTCACAGTCATGCACATGCTTTTAAAACAAACATAAATATTTAAATGTACATGTATCATCAAAATTTTCTCCTTCCGATTATCAAAATGTTCTGTTCTTACACGTAAAACAACCAAAAAAACAACCAAACACCTCGCACAGGAAGCCGCCTCTGTGGTCGAGGGGTTAGAGTCGATGACTTCTAATCCAGTTACCTCTCTGGCGTGGGTTCCATCCCCGGGAGATGCTTTGGTAGTTTAGCGCGGAGGAAGGTAGTCTAGTACTGGTGTAACTCTCCAGGAACGATGGTTAGGAAACTACCCGCCTATATGACTGAAATACTGTTGGAAAAAGGCGTAAAATGAAACAAACAAACAAACAAACAAAAACCTTGCACAGCTGTTTAGGATGTTAATGAATATTGGAAATTAATAATAGATGAAAATATCTGTTGATTGCACTATTTGTTTTATTAATTAATTAATTACTGAAGTTTAACATTTTTAATACATTAACAGATCAATATAAAAACATAACTAACTACTAAGCCCGATTGTAGGTTATATATATACCTTGTTCCTTTCATAAAAAAATGGACCCGTGGCCCATTTAGAGATTTTCATCTTCTCATCAATTCAGATATTTAGAACCCCTTGTTTATAAGTTTGATAGTTTACAGGTTAATTGTTTGTATATAACATACATCATACAGAATAATTTTATACCTTTCAATGCTTAAACTATAACTATTAAACCTTTTACAACAGAACCAAGCCAGGTCAGGCCAGATATTGAGGCCAGCCTAGATATACATGCATTCTTTCTTATTATTGTCATTGTGATATTTAGATTGATAACGCTCTGGTTTAAAATGGAAGTTGGATAAAGCCATGCAGAGAAATTAGGAGACATTCTAACACTGTCCCCATTTTTCCCTATTGAACATAGAAGAACCCCAAGTGTGTGTTATTATGCAATAAAATCACTGTTTGACATTCTATATTTAGACATATGACATAATCATTATACACGTGACGTGACCACTAAAAATGTGACAAGCTAAAAATAAGTACAAAACAAATTAGGCGCAATTTAGCTTAATACCAGGTATGGCAGCATTTGTTTGTTGATGTTGTGTTAGAATCTAAATAATATATCCAAATAAGTGATATTATCGCTTGATAAATTCACTGTTTGGAGTTCGGATGCGCATCATTATATCACTCGGGCTACGCCCTTGTGATATAATTCCTCACATCCGAACTCCAAACAGTGATTTTATTGAGCGATTTGGGATACATTACATGTATTTCTTAAGTAGAGTAACATTGTCAAACTACAGTTCCATGTTTGTCAATACTACTGTACACTAAGTCTGATTTAGTAATTATCATACTTTTTACCTGAAATTTTCTAAGGCCTTTCAGAAATTTGCATTGAAATCAAAGTCACATGACAAAATGATTTTTATGCAATAAAAACTGTGACATCACATCTGTATTGCCGCTACAAATTCTACTTGTTGAATACATTATCTATAAAAGAAAAGTATATGAGCTCTTTATGTTATTTAACCTTGTTTAGTATATGAAGTTTTGAGTGTGAGAAAAGAAATTAAGATTATTACTTGGATTAAACCCCCTTAACATTTTATTTTCTCATGATAAAGATAATTAAACATTTATTTTAACCTGCTGGAACCTAAACAATATAACTATCCTTTGCTGCCAGTATAGTCAGGCCAGCCTGGACATTACATGCAGTCTGCCAGGCTCTATACTGATGATTGATCAATTTTCATATTTGCTACTGAGATCCCTTAAACATGAAATGGAATGTTCCAATTTGAAAACTGGGCAAATGAATTAGGCAAATTTAGGAGGTTCAGGATTAGGTTTATTTTCTTGTAGATCTGATAGATTCTGGAGTTACAGAATATCTTATGCTGTACAAATTCATTATTTGCTTGTAAATTTAAATAAGCTGGTTTTACTTAGAGTTATGGCCCTTGTGCATAATGTTATTATGTTTTGTTCTTTAGGGTTTCAGAGAAATATATTCTTGCACAGCACCATTGTTTTTATTTTTCCAATGTTTATGAATTCCATTGTTTTATTTTCTGTTTATCAACATTTTTTTTTCGAAGTTGTTAAATGAAGCAGAGTTTATTTGTTAAAACTTTTATTTTTATATTGTTAGAAATACATTCTTAATTTGTTTAAATAGGTTTTTATTGTGTGGAACAAGTTATGTTAAAGTCGCATCAAGTTAGCTTTGATCAATTTAAGTTTACTACTGATATATAACAAATGTACAAAGTAGGCAGATTTATTTTTGTGTCTGTAGAGAGACATATCCATTACTGTTTATGAAAATGTATGTTATTTCAAAGTTTCCTTGTATAAAGTTAAAGTTGAATAATGATAGTTGTTCAAAAGTTGTTGCCCCTGAAACACATTCTGTTTGGTTCCAAGTCACATCAACCACAGTGACGCAAGCATTACTGGTTTATCTACCACAGTGAGGTGAGCTCTACTGGTTTATCATTGACAGTATCGTGAGCTCTACTGGTTTATCAACCACAGTGAGGTCAACTGTACTGGTTCATCAACCAGCGAGGTGAACTCTACTGGTTTATCAACCACAGTGAGGTTGGCTGAACTGGTTATCAACCACAGTGAGGTTAAATCTACTGGTTTATCAACCACAGTGAGGTTAGCTCTACTGGTTTATCAACCTTGATTGAGGTTAGCTTTTCTGGTTTATCAACAACAGTAAGGTGAGCTCTACTGGTTTATAATCCAAAGCAAGCTGAGCTCCACTAGTTTTTAATCTACAGTGAGGTGAGCTCTACTGGTTAATCAACCACAGTGAGGTGAGCTCTACTCATTTATCGACCACAGTCAACCACAGTGAGGTGAGCTCTACTCCTTTATCGACCACAGTGAGGTGAGCTCTACTGGTTTGTCAACCACAGTCAGGTGAGCTCTACTTGTTTATTTACCACAGGTCAGCTTTACTAGTTTATCAACCACAGTGAGGTGAGCTCTACTTGTTTAGGCAAGAGTGGGTGCTTTGGGATTATAATTTGCAGAGGTCAGTTATAAGTGAAATCTATAATGTGATTTTATCAGCCATAACCACATGTACATATAGGCCCTTTCTTACAAAACCAGATGATTTCATATAGATATTATACAATTATTGACTAGTGAGCCATTGAATATGATGTGATATTCACCGGCAGATGACATATTGACCGAGGCGATAGCCGAGGTCAATATGACTTTCTGCCGGTGAATATCACATCATATTCAATGGCTCACTAGTCAATAATTGTTTTATTATATGAATAGGCTCAGAATTTAAAAAAAAAATCACGAAAAAGTACAACCTTATATACATGTACAAATTTTGCCTCGTTGAAGCGCGGGAAAAAAGACGCACGTGTTAGGCGTGCAACGACTACGCGAACGCTGCGCATACGAAAGTAATTCAAGTTTATACTCATCGATGCGGTTTAGCCTTTAAGTATAACAGTAAAGTAATGATATTTCAATCGAGAAATATGCCATAAAGAACAAAACGCAACAATTATTTTTTAATTAGCACACGTAATTAACAGTCTACGGTGAATGGTCATTGAATATCAGTCTCAATCTATTTTTAGACTTGGAAAATCCAATTTAGCCAGTTAATATGATACTACCCCCAGTGAATATGATTTTATGAAAAGTTCTGTTGAATACAGTTTGGACCAATGATATTGTAGCTATTTTTAGATCATATAATAAACTAGTTTATAAAACAGTTACTACACCTATGTAACATCACTTGTAGTTGGATAATCATGACGTTTATATAAACTATATGCATGGTCACTGTACTTTCATGTTTCTCTCACGAAAAGGAAGGTTGCTATATTATAAATTCAATATGAAGAATCTTGAGAGGTAAAATGGCCCTAAATAAACCTAGCAACTCGGGTTATTTATAAACAACCATATACAGTGCCATATAACTATAACCTGTCAAAAAAAAATATATACCTAATACATGTTATTTAAATCAACCGGGTTTCATTATATATATATTAAAGTGTGAGGAAACTTAATGTAAACAACAAGACTGATATCCCAGAAATGACATTTATTTAAAGCATACAAATCATGGTAAAATATATCAATGGAAATAAACAAAAAGAAACTGGCGCTATGACCAGACACCATGTACACACTGTAACCATGGAAACAGCTTCCATCATTCAATCACTTACATTATATAATCAATCAATGGAAATATAGACCAATTTTCCTGGAAATATGACTTGATAAAATACATATATATTGTAACTATTGGAAATGTATTCCTATTATTTAATCATTAACATCAAATATAGCACAAAGATACATTCAACTCGCAAAAACTTTTTGACATTTGAATGAAATAAAAAAAAACACCCTAACATGTACATCAGATGATAATATATGGCCATAATACTTTGTTATACAAGAAAAATATTCCAGACACATAATGAAAAATACAAATGTACATAAATTAAGACACTCTTACATAACCTAAATAATATAACTACTATTACAATTATATTGATTTGTTCACATAGCATAAAATATGTTAAACGTTAATAAATCATCAAAAATGTCAATACAAATTGGGAGTTATACAACGTAAAGAACATGTAATGATTCTTCAATATTGTCATACATTTTAGGTCATTCTCAAAATTTGTATAATGACAAAATTTGGATTCACTCAAAGCAGTTTCCTCTGGCACTTTTTATAGGTACATGTATATAGATATATAATTGTGCAAACATTATAATAATGTATTGAATGAACATAAAATGATGAATTTACATAAATTAATTTTCAGCATGACTTAACAATATCACTGTTTATGAGGTCATGTTTTTTTGTTATGCCGATGTATGTCTTAATGCCGATGTATGTCTTACATCACAACACCTAGGGTAAAACAATGTGTGACTTGAATTTGAAAGGATTTGTACACGAGGGGCATTTATTAGAGTTAACATGTTCACAAATGATTTACAAAATTCATGGATGACTTATAAAATTCATAACTGACTAGCCAACCTGACTACTGTAAAAACGATACATATGTGTAGCACCTACTTATTTATACTCAAGTTAATTTTCTTACTTTTTAGTGAAAGCACAAAAAACAGAAATATAGTTTTAGTGAAAGCACAAAAAACAGAATAATAGTTTTAGGGAAAGCACAAAAAACAGAATTATACTTAATGTATAATGTTCAGATAAAACATGATATTATTTATTCACTGAACATTCTACACATATTTACATACCTCTATATATCGTTACATGTCAAACATTATGCAGTAAAATATTTGTTAAAATGTATTCTTTATGTGACAAACAAGTAGTGTTAAACTTATAATTTTTTCTATAACAGATTGTTGTAAATTTAAATGACCAAGTCAGTTTTTCTCCAGACCATGAAAACAACATGACAGTACCATTACTGACATTTTGCAGTATATTTTATCAGGTATAGCTTTATACATTTTAATTTAAAAAAAGAAGAAGAAATGAAACAAGATAAAAACAACAAATTGGCAACACATCCATCACCCTATAAATCAACTTATATAGACATGTTACACAGACAAGAACAAATACAGTAGATACCAATACAGTCTTAAATAACCTCAATATTTAAAATCCCATCATGTCAGTATTTTATTGTTACAGTAAAAAGGGAGAAAACTCAATCATACTCTGACAAACAATGCAAGAACCTGACTCTCACTCACAAATGTAAAACAATGGCTGACATGAGGCAAAATGTGGTATTGAATGAAATCATATTTTATATATATAAAGTCAAACAGAAAATCTCCTGTTTTAAAACTTTACTACAGTATCAAAGTTGAGATAATGTAAATGAAATATATGATTGACAATAATTTATTATCTCAAAACATCAAAGTTTTACAGACTTGATAGAAATATAAACATAAACAATCAAACAGTAACTGTTAAGAAACAAGAATACAATGAAAGTTAAATTCTTATGAAAGATTTTAAATCCTTGAGATTCATACTTAATTTTGCCATGCCATTTTGAAAACAAAACAAAAACGTTTGCCACAGAAAAATAAACTTGCTATTCAAATAAAAATACATATTTTGCCAAAATAAAGATTTCAATAAAATAAACATAATATAAATTTAAGAGTATTGTTTATGGAGGGTGAAGAAATTAAATCACATTTCAATAGGAGAAGAGTTTCTGAGATTATTTAATCCCCCAAATCTTTAAAGTGACATTACGCCCATCCATGTGTAGATGGCAAGTGCAAAGTAAATAGTCAAAATAACTTTACACTTTGCTAAAACTGATTTCAAATTTATATGTCAATATGCCCCCCAAAAAATTAATCCCACATGACTTTTCGAAATTTCTATAAATATTGTTTCAGAATTTATTGATAACCTCCAATTGATGAAAAAAGTTGGACATGCAGACTTTTAATAATTTAGGTAGTTTTTATTTTTGTTTTAACCTAAACATTTGTTATTATTGATAAATTTTGTACATACTAAATTTTTGAATTATATTACTAATTCTTATTGATGTGAGCATAATGTCACTTTAATTCACACAACAAAATATTTCAAGTCTCTGAAAAGTGTACATGTTATACAAAATAATACAAAAAATTATCAGAAACAAGTAAAAACATTAAAGTAAAACTAAAATAAAGATATATTGCCAACAAGATAAATCCTACCACAATTTTATTTTATCTCTTTTGTTCAGTTCATGCATAAATCATTGCAACTTGTAAACATTATTATGACTGTTTATTATAGAATCACAAAATTTATGTTTTCTTAACACACGCACGTGCGGACATTCAGGTAACATGGACCTTATATATCTAAACAATGAAAATCATTCCATTTAAATAAGACAATTTTCCCTACAACCCAGTTAGAAAATAAGCAGACAATACAAAGAAAAGCCTTAAAGCACACTTATTATTACAATATCTATAAGAACAATTATGTAAATTTGTGACACAGAACAAAAAAGCATATTACACTTAACATAGCTATTACATAATTCACACTAGTCTTTCTTCTAAGCACATTTTTAACAAAGCAACAGTTTCATTTACATATATTTCATCAGAAGAAAAACATAAAAAGATTTTTAAAGAAACATTTCAAACAAAAAGAAAATAATAAGGAAGTTAAGCAAATTTACTCTTCTTTAACGTTTACATTTCAAGTATTATACTGTAATAAAGTTCTTGTAAATGTAACATCCGAGTATCTTTCATAAAAGAAAACTGTGTGACTGCAGATACTTCCATATCAATATACTAAAGTCCCCTTGGTCAATTCTAGTCAAACAATACAGGAAACATGACCTAGATACGAAATGTTTCATGTTGTCCGTCAATATGTCGTAGACGAATGTATACCTCCGTTCCCATACCATACATAGTCTCCATGCTTATACTGCCGCCTAAATACTCGGCATACGCTTTTGATGCAGGTAAACCAAAGCCATACCTGTTCAATGATAAAATATCAGTCTTAATATTTTGTTATTTAAAGATATTATATTTGAAATCACAAAGCAATTTTGTTATAAAAACAACAGGAGAAAAATAAATTTTATGTTTTAATCTGATAAAGTAATGGAACTAAAATAAAGGAACACATAAATTTGTACAGCATATGAACAAACAAGACAGGATTCATCTTAAGGTAGATTTTGACATTATTCAACCACAAACTGACAGTGTTAAATTAATAAACAAAATTTTCTATCACTTTTGCAAGTTGCAAGAAAGATAACTCTAACATGCTTTACACTATTTCGCTACTATTATTAAACAGACAGGGAAGTGGACTGCATTATTACAAGATAAATGCAGGGCATGTGAGGTCAGATGTGACATCAAAATACTAAATGATGTCATGAAAATTAAATATCTAATCCTTGAAAGAGAAGCATTTATATGACAAATCCTTGAAACAGTAACATTTAGGAAGCCTGATATTTCTTTTGTTCAGACAAAGCTTGATTATTTCTTTGCTAAAATTTTCCTTTAACCACTTCACATGCAGTTAATTACCAAATTTATGCCCCATATTAAGAAGATATGATTCAAAGTTGTACACACCCATGCATTCTAGAAGATGTAGCTCCTCCAGCATTTCTAGGATCTACAAATTCTCCAAGAAGACCCCTGTCCACCCTGTTGTCTTGCATGGTCCCAGCAGTGGTAAAGTTATAGTCCCAGATATTGTTCACAATCTTGGGAGGGATGCCACCCCCACGATCTGACACCCTGAAATAGAAAGAAAACCCCAGTGGTTAAAAAAGACAAATATAGATTACATGACAGTGAAAAATATGCCAGATTAATTTAAAACAATTTTGCCGACAATATTCTTGATTAAAGCCGTATTTTTTGAAGACCTGAAATATTTTCTTGTTAGAATTTTCAAAAAAAACCCCCAAAACTTCATAACAGGTTTTCCCATAATGTGATTTCAAATTGCAAAGAATGAGATATAAGTACTATAGAGTGTGGTCAGTCTGCACAGACAGCCCTTATTTACAGATGGCAGCCGCAAAGTCTACTTGTTCCAGCAAGGGCTAATGTCAGATTAGTACTTAATAAAGGTTGGGTTTTTTTTGGGAGGGGATTGGGGGTAATTGTCAACTTTTGTAACCTAACCAAAGAAATCTTTGTAACAAATTCTACACTTAATTGTGATCAAATACTTTACTTTCTATAACACCCTGTGTTCAAATTAGACATTAAACTTTAAACTTTTAAACTTTGTGATTTAAACTAACACTATATACAATACAAAATAACAAAAAAGTCCATATCAAATTACATTAGTTTTGTTATACCCGGGGTAAAAGCAACAACCTTCACAGTGTAACTAATTGTACCAAAATGTACCTTTATACAATAACATGTTTACATAAAAAAAATCTTAGTCCCTACAACTGAAATAGTCGGCCAAAATTCTGCCAAACAAGATAAGAATAATGTTTTATTCCTGTTCAACTCAGTGAAATGCAACATTAATCACACAGACCCCTTATCAAGATCAAGGCTATTTGTCATATATAGTGAAAGTTTATAATTGTTAAATTATGTCTTATTTCTTTCCATAGATACAAAACACTGCTACCTTAGTATTGGGATAGTGTTATTTAATCCTGATTGTTAATTAAAGGATTTTGAAACTAACTTTGAAAGTGTGGACTAAGCTTAAATGCCGAGGTAAAATTTCTTTCAAGTATTTATCGTAAAAGCTTTAAAGTGAAATCAACTTTTTTTTTCACCTCACTGTAATTTTTTATATCGTCAGGGTGCCCTCAATTCGTCCCTATCCTAGAGTCAACACTGTTACTATTTATGTCAGAAAGTCTACAAATTTTCTTTAAGAAAGAAAACAGTTGGATATTTTTAAACATGAATGTAAATTTTATGTATTTGCAAAATTTCTTCAACATATATATATTTTTGCTTGGATCATTAGAAAATAGTGTATCAAACTAGCACAGTAAAATACTTAAAGGCACCAGTTGATATCATTAAAGCCTGTATATGACACCAGTATAGTTCCAGGCCAGTCAGCTTTGAACAGCAGCGTTACAGTCCTTACATAACAAACCAGTAAACAGTTTACAATTCTTCCCAATCAACCAAAATTGATTACAACTTATGGAAGATAACTGTATAAAAATATACATTAAATATTTATATTATAGTAGAAAATTATACCCTGTATCATCAACTATATTTATTATTTAAATACAGGATGGTGTTTTAACTTGTTATTTCACATTAAATCAATAACTATTTGAATAAAATATGAACTATGTGTTACAACTAGAGAGGCAATGGCAACAAGATATTTAATTCACAGAAACTGCTGTTTTTAGCTTATTAACATTTCAAAATTTATATTTGGTTAAAAAATAAAGACAAACTCTTGTTTATTATCAGGAGAGACATTCAAACAAGTGACCGATTCGTATAACTGACATCCTGGAAGCATTGTGCTGACTATGGGCTTATTAACTTTTTCTTGCCTAGCTTTGAACATTAATTCATCATTTCATATGTATTTATATAACCTACAAAGTTTGTTATATGTGCCCTTATTTTTTTCACTTCATGTCAAATAACATACATTTGTATTAAATAAATCTTAACATTGTCTTTAATCATAGGACACAGCTGTTTTACACATTATGGTAGACCAATATGAACATAAAACATGATCATATTAAACATGTTGCCAAAAAAAAAAAGATTGTTTTTCTTGTGAAGCTATGACTGATATATGAGATAATTGAAGTATTAACTTGATGACACATGGACAAGAAGAATAAAGACACCGAGATCTTGATAGTGTTGTTAACGTTTAGTCACAGTAAATAGCAAGTGTGCCTTATACTTCTCAACTTTAAACTTAATATGCTGTAATAACCTCAGTTTTCAGTGTACACGAGTTAAATAATACATAATAAGTAATGCATATTATAGATGGACCATACTTGTCAGCCATTTCAAGGAAGAGAGATGTGGCATTACCTCAGTTCCGACTGATTCAGCAATAATAAACATCTATCTTTGAGTAGCTTTATAATTCATAATCAAATAGATATGCCTTTTCATACCAAATGCTCAACTGTCAGTCTCTGAACTGTTTTTTAGTCATTTAAAATGTTACAATGTAAAGCTTCCTTATTCAAAATTTGAAGCAAGACATGCCCATTATACAAAGTGAGCATAGTTAATGCTCACAAATTTAGCATAGTTAATGCCTATTATACAAATTTTGCATAGTTAAATGTGCATTATACAACTTTAGCATAGTTAATGCTCATTATACAAATTTAGCCTAATTAATGCCCATAATACAAATTTAGCTTACTTAATTTTTTTTCTTACGTGTTTAGCTTACTTAATGCCCATTATACAAATTTAGTATAGTTAATGCCCATAATACAAATTTAGCTTAGTTAATGGCATAATTAATGCCCATAATACAAATTTAGTTTACTTAAGGCTCATAATACAAATTTAGCAAAGTTAATGCCCATAATACAAATTTAGCTTAGTTAATGGCATAATTAATGCCCATAATACAACTTTAGCTTCCTTAATGCTCATTATACAAATTTAGCATACTAGTAGTAGTTGATGCCCATAATACAAATTTAGCTTAGTTAATGCTCATTATACAAATTTAGCATAATTAATGCCCATAATACAAATTTAGCTTACTTAATGCTCATTATACAAATTTAGCAAAGTTAATGCCCATTATACAAATTTAGCATAGTTAATGCTCATTATACAAATTAAGCATAGTACAAATTAAGCGTACTAAATGCCCATTATACAAATTTAGCATAATTAATGGGGCTATATAATTATATGCTCATTATACAAATTAAGCATAGTTTAAGCCCATTATACAATTTTAGCATAGTTAATTCCAATTATACAAATTTAGCATAGTTAATACCAATTATACAAATTTAGCATAGTTAATACCAATTACACATTTTCACTATAATTAGATTAGGAAATAAGTACTATCAATGTTGAGCAGTATATAAAAATTGGCACCGATATAACTGTACCAATTTAAGGTTATAAAAACTTCTGCTGATCAGTCTGTAGATATATACAATGATCATTGATTAATTGACACTTGTACATGTACGTTAATGTAAACCTGCATTATATTCCCGTCACTAATTAAACATTTAATTGGTGCATTTTAAATAACCAGTAGAACACTTTGATCTATAGAATAATGGATATAATTGTAAATGTTCAAAAATGGTAAGTACTGAGTAGTTACAAAAGCAAAATTTAGAAGTTTAAATATTTTTTTGTCTATCTGCGTTTTTAATCTACCTCAAGGTAAGCCTAAACATAGCTTTTTTTAATAACTACATGTATAATTATGTCAATTTTTAACTACATTAAATTTTATCTAGTTTTTACAACAAATGAAATACAAAGCATTATATTAACAACGAAAGTACTTAAAATAGAGAAAAACAGAATCCCTAAAGAATGCCAAAAGTTCAAAACCGACAATGGAAAAAGATGCAGGCTCTGTTTAATTGACAGTAGTTGTATTTGCAAGGTATTGACCACGCCCCCTAGCACCAGCTTAAACAACATTCAACATTTCAACATGTTTAACTTTGAAACATTATAGAAAGGCAATGCTTCATTCCAAACATATCACCATATTTCTTATATTAACACTATTGATTGTGTATAAATAAAGTGTTTTAAATACATTTAAATATCTATTAAGTCAAAAATATAATGCTTTTATTTATTTTCTTTCATTCAGTGAACATATTAATGAAAAGTTTTCTGGAGTTATTATTGTATTTTTCGGTTCCCCATGACATGGCTGGCTGTTAAACATGAATAATTAACTAACTCAATTGTCTCAATATAGCTGTATAAATAATTGAGCCGTGTCATGACAAAACCAACATAATGGGTTTGCGACCAGCATGGATCCAGACCAGCCTGCGCATTCGCACAGTCTAATCAGGATCCATGCTGTTCGCTATCAGTTTCTCTACTTGTAATAGACTTGGTAAGCGAACAGCATGGATCCTGATCAGACTGCGCGAATGCGCAGGCTGGTCTGGATCCATGCTGGTCGCAAACCCATTATGTTGGTTTTGTCATGACACGGCTCATATTGAACGCTTATAAAATAACATAAAACCTGTTAATTCATAACATTTGCTGATACAAACAAAAGGTGAAAAGAAAAAGGGAACATTACAGTGGATATAAAACACTAATATTAGGTCAGTGGAAATATCTAACATATTTGTTTACATTTTATACAATAATTTCAGGATTATTATGAGAGAAGTTAGATTATTTTATAATTACTTATACCTTTATAATAATAAATATCTAAAACTAGTTTGTCCATCCTTATTCTGGACAAAAATGTTTGTCACTTTTTGGAAAATTTCAAAAATAATATCTGACTAATAGTCAGGGAATAAATATCTGTCAAGAGCGACCAAACCAAGTTAACTTTTGAATGACCAATGAATACTAAGAGAACAGTTAACAGTAATGTGTCTGATATATATTTATATTTATTATATGTACATGTATACATTTCCCTACAAACCAGATGCCTTTATATCAGACTAAATAGTACATTCATTTCGTTGACAAATGGAATTTTAATGTGACAGATTTGGGTGTAAATATTTATACAGTATCAAATAAATTGCAATCAAAAGAAAGTAAAACCTGCTTTAAAAAGGGTAATTTAAACCATTCATTAGTTTCATAAAGCGAGTCAACTTTAAAGGCCCAGTCTGTAAACATTCAAAAGCATGTAAAATTCAAATTCAACTGCCACCAGCAGGCACAGGGTCAGAGAAAGTACTTTTGTAAAATTATAATTAATGGGATTAAATCATGTTATTTATGAAAACAAAGATACTATAAAGTCTTATTTCATACCTTATGGGTACCAGTTTTAATACGATTTACAGTAATATAAATAGCAAAGTTTTAATTCTTGTACTTATATTTATATATCAAGTATAGGATTAAAGTTTTTTATTTGTAAGGATATGTGATGTGTTAAATGCTGACAGAGTGATTTGTAAATATACAACATACACATTATATCATTTAATATTGCATTTACAATGTTTCAATTAAACTTTGTAAAATTGAAATACGTTCTGATCTAAGAGTAAATAAACAACTTCAATACCATTGGTGCAATCAATATTACAAATGCTGTATACTGGATAAAAGTAGGAATTCAGGATGTTTGCAGGAACTTAAAATGGTAAAATAATTTTGATTTCATAAAAAAAACTAAATTAAAATATATTCATGTTTAAAAAAAAAATTTACATGTAATCTTCATTTTTTCTTTTGGTAAATACCAGTATATAAAAGGCTTTTAACTTTCTATCAAAATAAATTGATCTTTATTTCTTTCTAACTACCATAGATCAATTTTAATTAATTTAAAATATCATCTCATAAGTGTGGTATTCATTAGATAATTATTGTAGTTGTTTGTATAATTACATTAAATTTGCAGTACTAAATATAATAATTTTCTGCTTAAAATGTTGGTAAATAGGTGCATTCTGTTAAAATGTTTTCGTATTAGAACTATTCACTTCTAGTGGCCATGGAGCTCAGTCAGTAGAGCCGCAGGACAGTATTTCCAGGGTAGCGAGTTCAAGACCTTATCAACCTGCACATTTTTCTCCCCTCTTAACAATACATGAAATAATGCATAAAATCATAAATGCACTCTGTTGTCCTACTTTACTGAGACTAATTACTAAACATAAGAGTACAAAGTAAACATTTTTTAAAATTTTTGACATATCATGCAATCTAACTGTGCAAGCTTTTTACATTTAATGTTTTCAGATCATTAGGTAACAAGACTAACAAAATCTCCACCCAACTGTTCTTACTTATAATATTCATGACTGGTGAACTGCAAGTTTTAGGGTCAAAAGATAATGTGTTAATCTGGATTAATCTATTTCTATGTAATGTCTTTCATTGTTCTCTGACAAAGTGTAAGAGGCTAACACTTATTATTAACATTTCTTTGATCTTTTATAAAAAGGAAAATGCCTTATAGTTTACTTGATTTCCAAGATTTTCGTGAGTACTTTTCAATATTTTTCATTACATTGTTTTTTATCTCTTTTATGCTGTAAAAGATTGATGTTAAAGAATGTGCATATTTAACAAATGTATGTGCAAAAAATACAAATAAAAAATTTGTTTTCATTGTTTGATAATGTCAGAACGCAAGGATATATGCTGAGTTATCAAAAAATTCAATACATGTATTTTATTTTCAAAATGAGAGAGGACACAAACACTGACCTCATAAAAAACATGATTATTCAGCAGGAATTGTCAGGCGTATCAAACTACAAATAAACATTATTAATAATGTATTTCTCTTTTCAGGTTGCTGATGTCAACAGGAAACTAAACACAAGCTGTAAAATGCTAACCTATACATTATCTGGAGGGTAAAATGGCAACAAGTGGAGATAAAATTATTATTTTGTGATTTAACCAGTCTGAGCAAGGATATAATTTATGTGAAATATTCAAGAATGCGCGACAGTGGAGAAACTGTAACTGAGGCTGCAAGAGCCCCTCCTCCTTTTAAATTAGAAAGGGAGGTTACTCTAATGCCCAAAGAATTTAAGGAAAGGCTGTCAGCAAAACATAAAAGTCGTAAATCTAGCGCAGCAAGGTCCGAGAAAAAAGGAAACTATTCCTTTAAACCAACCACAGCAAAGTTCAAATATTCATCAGAAAACTCGTATATGTCTAACCACACCAATGATTCGGAGTTGAGTCATAGTACATATACTGAATCTCATTTTAATAAAACAGTGAAAATTCCAACAGAACATGATGATGGTATGCAATCTAACAATGACAATTTCCTAAATAACAACAACAACAATAAAGGGGAATTAAAAAGTACGTCTAGTCATATTGCTCTAACTGGTGAGGTCAAATTTATGCTAGATAATGCATATGCAAACTATGAATCAGAGGGTGGCTTCAATGTTAAAACTCCGCCTACAAATATGCAAATCAAAGATCTTATGATTCCGTTGGATGAATGGAACAATAAAGAAACAATTCAAGAAAAGAAATATACAGTTTTACCGTCCATTAAGCATAGGACATCTAACACAAGTTCTGAGGACACTGAAAGTGCAACTTATTCACAAAGGAACTCCTCCGGTTTTTCTTTTAACAACCAGTTAGACTTTTTTCGGGACAAAATAGAGGAGGATGCTGATTTCTTTGCAGACTTTCGTGTAAACACAAGTAAAGTAAAAGCAACTCCTCGTCAAGACCCTTTACCACCGATCAAACATGGTACAAAGGACAGTAACTCTTCTCAAACTACTTCTCGTAAAAAGTCCAACAGGAAAGAAAAGAACGCACATATTTTGTGACTTATTAACACATGTACATAATATATTTTTTGCAAGTTTTGTTATTATAAAAAATACACACACACAAAATTGTGTTTATTGTCCATGTGTTTAGATTGTTTTGCAATCTATGGAATGGATACTTGTGAAAAGTGACAGTGTAAATAAGCAAAAATGGGCAACATTTTGAGACAATATTTTCAGACGAATATATAACTTTAAGACTGTCATTTGTAGTGCAGTTTCCATTTATCTTTATGTTGATAAATCAATGATTATCACCTTCTAATTTATATGACTGTTCATTTTAAAAAATCTGAATCACAAAATCGCAAAGTCTGTATATAATCTTAGGCAAATAAACAATGTTTCTATTTTTAGCCATTTCTATTTATATAGTCACTGGAAACAATCATGATACAATTTACAATTCATTCCAATAGTCAGCTATGCTATGACACTATTTTGTTAATAGAAAGAAACCAACAGTATAATTACGGGTGTCACGTTTAAATGGGTACAGTTGTTTTTTAGCCAAATACCGGTTAGAAAATTCAACCAGTAACCAAAGTTAGTATTTGACAAAGGGGCGAAATTTTTTTAACTGATTTTTAATATTACCTTTTAGTTTATTTATAACAAGACGTGACAATTGTTTGTATTTTAGTTGTACTCAACAATGTATTTTTTCAAAACTAATTGAATACAGTATGACGCTAGCAGAAAAAAGTTACTCCATCTTGGATATTTATTGTAATCATTTTGAGTACAATAAAATACGAACAAAATGGCATATCTTGTCATAGAGAAACAAAGATAATGTTGAAAATTTCAGGATTTTATTGTTAGGGTCTGTTTAAATATTTTGCATTTTTGACTAACCATGACATCCCTAAGTATAATGCACCAGTCCAATGTACCCCGTCACTTGGGAAGTATGAGAAATAGCAGGGGAGATAAGGCAAGTTTTTTATATTCTGCCTGTTGTTACAATGCTGCCTTAATGTGAAAATTTTGTTTTACGAAGATTTACGTACTAACTCACACTGCCAGAGCATTTAACAGGGGTTTACCATCTTAATGACAGGGACTTTCTCAGGGGACTGAATTGAAAATTAAAGCCATTGTCTCAGCTATTCTGTTATGCTGGGGAAGAGGACTGACTGCTGCATAACCCTAACATTTTTGTTCTTTCACTTACAAAACTTAGTGAAAATAATGTACTAAACTCATGTAATACAAATACTTTAGTGAGTGACTTTTGTCTGAAACTATTCACTTCAAGTTGACAAAGCTGTACACGTAACTTAATTTATCAAGACAATTAATTACAACTAAAACAAGAGCTGTCGGTAGGACAGCACGCTCGACTATTCTAAGTGCTTGATAGTAAAAGAGCCTTGATAATGTTAAATTTTTTAAGTTCACAAAAGGGCTAATTTTTTTTTATAAATTCATGTTATAGGCCTTAGAGAGAGTCTAATTATACAGAATTGGCTTGACTATTCGGAAGGTAATGTCACGAGGGTGTTTTATTGAGTATAATAATACTAATTACCTATGAATACATAAATTTGACAGAAAAGGTACAAAGGCTTGTTATTAAGATGTTTTATCAAGTAAATAACTGCTTTATTATTATGAATGCATAAAATTGTCCCAAAAAAGGCACAAACCCTTCAGTAGTTATTGAGATAACAGCTTACAAGCAAAACTTTACCATGAATTTCTAAGTTGAAAAAGGGGAGAAAAATCAGCCTAAATGCAAGATAGAATTATGGATCTTTGTCAGTGACCTACAATTATGACCCTTAATGCATATGTGAAGTTTTAAATAAATATCTTTAATAGTTATTGAGATATGTAAAACTTGCATGTAAACATTAACCAAGAGACTAAGTAGAAAAGGGGATATGAATCAGCCTTAATGCAAGATAGAGTTATGGAACTTGGTCAGTGACATACAATTATGACCCTCCAATTATGACCCTAAGTGCATGTGTAAAGTTTCAAGTAAATATATTTGAAGACCTTTAACCTTTAACCAAAATTTCTAAGTTTCAAAGGGGCAAATAATTCTGCAAATATTGCAGGCAGAGTTATGCAATTTTGCAAACTGATGTACATTGTTACTATAAAAAAGTATTTTAAATTTCAATTGAATATCTCAAGCAATAATTGAGATATTTGACTTGACAAAAAACTTTAACCAAAATTTCTAAGTTAAAAAGGGGCATAATTCTGTCAATATTGTAGGCAGAGTTATCCAACTTGTCAATCTGATGTAGCTTGTTACTATAAATAAGTATAGTAAGTTTCAATTGAATATCTCAAGTAATAATTGAGATATTTGACTTTACAAAAAACTTTAACCAACGTAGACGCCGACACGGACGCTGACGCCGACGCCGGGGCGACTACAATAGCTCTCATATTCTTCGAATAGTCGAGCTAAAAACTTATTCCAGCAATAGATAATGAAAACCAACACAGTTTTATTAATTACTTAAACAACATTGTTACAAAACAGGATTCCAGTAAAAAAATTGAAATCTGCCTGTATCATTATAGACACCACTTTAACAAAAATACTTTTAGTAAGAAAAGATGTCCACCTTCTCCAGTGAGAAATTACTTACAATTCTATTGTAACCATATGAGTGAGTGTTTCAAATTTTGACACTCAGAAAGCCTATCACAATGTCTTATCTTAATCTAGACTTTTTTAAGGGTGTCTGTGGCCGAGTGGTTAAGGTCGTTGACTTCAAACCACTTGCCCCTCACCAAGGTGGGTTCGAATCTTGACAGGGACTTTGGATTCTTTCGTATGAGGAAGCTATCCATCTAGCTTACAGAATGTTGGTTGTTCTACTCAGGTGTCCATTTGTGCCTGAAATAATGCATGGAAGGGACCTGAGGTCTTCCTCCATCAGTAAAGCTGGAGTGTCGCTATATGACCTATACTGTGTCGGTGTATCTTAGACACCAATCAAACAAACAAACAAAATAATCTAGACTTTTTAAAGGGGTAAAGTGTTCAAGTGTTTTAAGATTTCCTTTGGGCCAGAGATTGTGGGTTCAAGCCCTATTGAGGTCAGCCATGCTTGTTCACTTGACTATATAGTACTGCTTAGTTCCAGTAAGGGAACTAGAGACAGAGTGGTTCAAAATAAGTCACAAATAAGCTATAATAATTAATTTAAACTTACCTAATGATAAAATCAATATCATTGTTGGCAATGGTTACAGTGATAGGGGGTAGATTATCTATAGAGTCTATATGGTTCTCTACTGTTGCTCTGAAAACATATACAATAAATTCTAGGATCAAAAATAAATTAATGGTAACATGGAACAAAGTAATCTGAACAAAACACTTGCTGTAAAAATTTGTATAGCTAAAACATAATTTTCAATTGTATAATCTGACTGCCTACTTAATATATACAACAAGACAAAATTATATTTCTTTCTATATACATGTATATGTATTTCTATTGACTATGGTAAAATTTCTATATTGAGGTGATAAGTTTTGAGACACAGTAATGATCATATGACTTTCCAGCTTTTATTAGTGCCAGTCTGGTATTAGTGCTAACCTCACTTTACCTCAGAAAACCAGCCACAGCTGACACGAGATAGAAATGACAACCTTCAATATAGATTGCATAAAACAATTAATGCCTCACAGGATTAGGATCTGCAGTAACTATGGTGCAAGTCACCAATCTCTTATATATATACAATACAGTTTACTTTGAACACTATACAACGTTTTTAGCACAATATGTAGACAGGTAACATAGTCAATAGCAACAAATGTTATCAAATTTGTTAACAAAAGGATGTTTGTTATATAAACATAATTATAATGGAACATTTTAGGTAACACTAGTCAAAAAGGATTCAAATGATGTCAAAGAAAACAATGAACTATTCATATTGCACCATGATCTCTGCTATGGTAAAACACTACCTAAATGTTGAAATGTTCTTAAATTTTAAAGATTTTTCTACAATTATGTGTACTTGTATATATTATAAACATACCTCAGAGCATTCTTTAGTATTTCTACGAGGATATAGTCGAGTGGTTGAGGAATATATGGGAAGGTGACATTAACATGGCCTAGAATACGAACTTCTGGTGCTGAGCCATACTTGTCCTCACACACAGTTCTGAAACAAACACCATACTGTCAAAATCTCATTTACCTTTACCATACCATCTACATTTTGTCAAACATTTGATCATCAAAATAACATATAGGTGAAGAAATATGGATATAAATAATTTAACATAATCAAAATTGACATAAGCCTTCTCGTAAGATAAACAGCACTGTTTTTCTTGAATTTTCAAATTTCTTATAAAAGATATTATTTAGATCAATTTATTAGTTTATCAGGTGAATCTTAATCAAAAGAGCTGTCCAAATGTGTTCAATTTTATAAATTCAGAATGAAACAGTGCTGTTTTCACAATCATGAATGCACACTACTCAAAATCAGCAACAATTCATACACACCATTAAAACAAAAGCCAGGCTTATGACAAACATAATGTAGTTGTTATCATTTGAAAGGGAAGCAATTCTTACATATACTTCTCGTTTGTATTGTTCAGTTATCTGCTCATACATTTGAGGCAGTTATAACATGTTTTGAAAGAGTGTAATCTTGCTCCAAATATTTGAAAATCCTACACAGTGTTTTGACTAACAACCAAACATTTTTAAAACTCCCTAAGAAAATCAAACAATGTCTTAGCCATCTGTAATGCAGTCTGACCCATTTGGCAAGGGAGGTATCAACAGTTATCGGAAAGGATATAATGAAAGTCATTTATATTTAGTGTTTAAGTATTAAAATCTTTTAGATCAATAGGAATCTTCAAAGACAAAGATTTATTTGGTTAATCACCAATTGATGGTCACAAGATGTCACTACAACTGATGAAAACACTTGACATTAACTGCAGAAATTTTATATTTCATACACAATTTTTCATTATTTCATACACAATTTTTCATTATAGGTTGCTCAAGGCTGTCAATCAAAACTGAAATAATTGTAATGAAAAGACATAAGCAGTAACTTTGTGTCTCAAATCTTACACTTTAAATAAGACCTTGACCTTAAAGTGGAGAGTGAAATATGGAGTTCTGCTTCATTATCGTCCCGAAGACATAATTTTGTTAAACAAATACCTTACGATTGACAGAACACACTGTGGCCTTGACCTTTATGTAAGGCATCTGAAATATGGATTTTGCATGTCACCCTAATGAGGTGAACATTTCATCACAAATAGGTGAAATTCAAAAGAACCACTCATAAATCTTCCATAACAATGTTAACTTTTATTATGAATTTCCTTTACTTACAAATTGGGAGCAGTCTATTAGAAGTTTATTAAAGGTTTCAATATTAAACACTTAAACACAGTAGCTTAAACTGGTTGGTCTGGCTCAGTAATGGTGGGTTATGTCAATTATTATTGCTGCAAGTGTTAATATATTAAAACAAAAGGGCCATAATAACCCTTAAATCGCTCATCTGAAAACCTACGCTAGAAAAGTTTGCAAAAATTGAAGGTAATTACTGTACATGTGGTCGGACATTGCTTGCCAAATGCAAAAGAAGATCAACAGTCATACATAGATCTACTCAAGGTAGGAGATCATTTTGAAAGACAAATTGTTTCCGTCATCCAAATTTAAATAACCGTAATAGCTGCCTTTCACATAGCAATTATTACTTCCCCTGGCTGCCATTTTCCAAATATACCATATGCTTAGGATGAGATATAAAACTCTCATAAATTCTAATATTATCTTCATGAAAACTTATAAAAATCTTGTACATATTGGTGCTTTAATAATATTTTGCTGCACATGTATAAATGAATTTTACAATTCAAGTAAATCAGCTGTTTATGTTGTTGTTTTTTCCATATTGTGTCAATTATATCATAATTACCGTATTGAATATTGACCCCCAAAAATGTCTAGCAGTTTTGGCAAGGTAGGTAAATATCATAAAAATCAGGAACTATCTTTAAGTTCTGGGCAATAACGTATTTATAAACTCAATATATCAGTTCAATAAAATGGGGCTAATTTGGACTAAAGGGAGACAATTTCATAATTCTTGACCAGAAGATCAAGAAGAAATGTTTCATATTTGATGCCAAAAATGAAAACAATGTATATAGGTTGAACAACAGTTGACTGACTTAGAGAACCACTGGGTGATGCCAAATACAAAATTTTAAAACTGTAGACCATATGGGCCTGGCAAAGCAGTTATTAAAGATTTTGCTTCATTGTAGCCAAACACATTCTTCGTGAACAACTGTTATATGGCTTCATTTAGCAACTGTCAAGAATTCTGGACCTATTGTTTCTGGGATTTGAAACATTTGGGAAGACTGACATTATATAACAGACATGCTATCAATCCTAAAAACTCACCATGAGCACTCTGTGCTAAGGTGAGCTAAAGAGGTTCCCAAAACCTTGGCACACAAGTTACATTCCTAACCTCTCTACATTGTTATAATTGTCATATTTTCTAATGCAACAAGCTTCACAATATAAATAATTAGCAAATATGATAAGACAGTACACTCCATGGTATTTTTGTTTTTTTTGAAAGTTGACACTCTTACCTCATAAACTCGCCTTTCTTTTCAATAAGTTTGCTGGGAGAAAAACTCACATTGATGATTCCCACATGGTTTGGCTGTAATACAACACATTATCTAGCACACGTCCAATCATCACCTTTCTAAGAAAGGCGCAGTCACAAAAACATTCATGTATTTATATAAAGTTTATTTTCATTGGTTGAGAGAATAATTTATCATTTATATATAAAAATAAATAAAATTAATGGCAATGATGAAGAAAATGGATAGACTATAGAGAATGATGAATTATGAAATATTAGTAAGACTGCTTCCATGGCAATAGTTTCCAAGATAGGTTAAATTATAAACCTGTCATTTACAACACAAGTATGTGTCAAGTTATTTAACAGAAGTGCTAGCAAAAGTATCATAGATACTGCAGTAAATAATGGCAACAAAATAAAACTTTATGCAGTCATAGATCTCCACTATCAGCTCTGCTGTATAGTCTAAGTTGAATACAGACAGATTTTAAAACAAGGGGAGCATTAATATGTCTATACACATGACAGACTTATGCAGTCTTGCCTAAGTAATAATTATTCTTAGTTTCATTGCAAATTTGCAATATTTCAAAAGTTGCACTGAAAATGTTTAGTGGTAAAACTATAACTGAAATTTTATTCCTACAAGTAGAGGTGACTGTGATAAACTAATACTCTAAGTTTTAAGTCATACCTGAGATTTCCATAAAAATGTCAGGTGTATAAAATCTAAATTAAAGTTCCACGCTGAAAAAAACTAATTATTCTGTAAAAAGTACATGAGAGAAATTATTATTAAAATACAATGTATATGTATGATGACTTATCATTATTAAAATCTATGTAAACAATATAAACCATGGGCGTTATGTTCTTCACCTACGGGTTTTATTTAATATTTTTATAACTTTTGCAGGAGACCATAAAACAGTGTTACAGGCAAAAACCTAAACAGCTCTATGCGCAACAAAATTGAAATGTATTTCTGATATTAGTCAATATAAACTATGTAAACCATTGCTTGGCACCATTATATGCAATCTTCAGCATAATCTAAAAACTTCTGATGATGACCACAAGGTAAATATATAAGCTCTGGGCACTGTCTTTTTTAGAAAGAGTTTCATTTACAATGTCTACTTTTAGCTGTTGTGACCTACAGATATATCAGACTTGAAACTATTTATATAATCAATGAAAGGGGTCCCTTTAAAGACAATTTCTGTGAAATTTCGTTAAAAACAGAAAGGCAACTGGTTTTTTTTTTTTAGAAAATTTGTAGAAAACACCAGAATTACAAAAGTTCACCTGTTTGCACTCAGGTAAGCTAAATATAGAACATGCTGACAGGTGTAATTTATATGCATTAAAATTCTGACACCTTACATTCATGACTAGCAGCCTTACTAACATTTCATATATCAATGATGATGTTTTAATTCTTATGATTGCAATTTCTTTCTGAAAAGGATTATTTTAAGAGACATGGTTTCATAAAGATAACATTACCTTAAAACAAAAACTTAATTACATGTACAATAATAACAAAATGAAGAAAAAAAGTTTCAACTGTGTAACAGAATGAATTCTCTTACCGCAAAGTTCTTCCAATACTATAACAGTATAAGAAATTTATGACAGTTTGAAAGATTTTAATACATAAAATAATGTATAATAATTGAAACAATGTTAGATGTTTGATACATGTTGTAGCTAGGGTAGCTCCACAGAAAATCAGATGTGTAAGTTTTGATCCTTATAGCTATAGGAACAAGTAAATCGTTATCAGTGACATTAAAAACTTGGTCACAAAATCACATTTCTTTCATTTTTACATTTGTGACATCCCACAATAAAAATTTCGCTCTAAGACGACCCAAACCCATATACAGTATAGAATTTTTCACTAAATATAAAAGGCTATTTCAAATATAACATTTCACTATTAAAAAAACATGTATCATCAAATTATTTGCAATTCCCTACTTCTATTCAATATCATCCCATACTAAAGTCATAGAATGTGCTGACATTAAATACAATTTGCTCAATTATTATCCCCTACTAAGGTCAAAGAATGAGCTGTCATTGAATACATTATGCTCACGTATTATCCCCTACTGAGGTGATAGGATGGGTTGTCATGTAATATATCATGCTCATGCTCATTGAATAAATTATGCTCATTTATTATTCCCTACTAAGGTCAAAGAATGAGCTGTCATTGAATACATTGTGCTCACTTATTATCCCTACTGAGGTGATAGGGTGGGCTTTTATTGAACTAATGTGTTCACTAATTACCATCTCCTTCCTATTGAGGTTATACAATGGGCTGTCATTGAATACCTTATGCTCATTTAATATTCCCCTTCTAAGATCATGGCCTACAATTCAATACATTATGCTCACTTATTTTTCCCTACTATGGTTAAAGAATGAGCTGTCATTAAATACATTATGCTCACATATTATCCCCTACTTAGGTTAAAGAATGAGCTGTAATTAAATACATTATGCTCACATATTATTCCCTACTAAGGTCAAAGAATGGGCTGTCTTTAAATACATTATGCTCACTTATTATCCCTACTGAGGTGATAGAATGGGCTTTTTATTGAACTAATGTGTTCACTAATTACCATCTCCTTCCTATTGAGGTTATACAATGGGCTGTCATTGAATACCTTATGCTCATTTAATATTCCCCTTCTAAGATCATTGACTACAATTCAATACATTATGCTCACATATTATCCCCTACTATGGTTAAAGAATGAGCTGTCATGCTCAACTTATCTTCCCTTCCTCTCTTTCGAGGTCAATTATTTCTCATTTTGAATTATCAATCAAACTAGACTTAATACTTATTGCATACCATACAAAATGCAAATTAATTAATGAGTTATTTAATCTGACACGTAGTCATAACTTATTATATGAAAATAATTTACTGAAACCATGTCTCTAATAGCCAAGTGAATAGACAGAATGAGATTGTTTGTTTATTTATGGTAGTTTTTATAACATGTATCAGACTGTCAATGCATTCCATTCAATGGAATAAATTTTCACTAAATGAGTTAAGATAGTGTTCAATAAAATATGAGATTAAAATGTATACTGAATTATTACCTTTTCATCCCGTAGAGCAAGATGGTGTTCACACAGCATACGAATCCCGAGACGAGATGTTAATGTACGGTCAAGGAATTGACGAATCATGCTCTCATCCTGAAGATTTAATTTGTATTTTAATACTTCTTTAATTCTGATGTGATGCCATGGTTTTTATCTATCAAACAACTGATAGGGATTTTATTAGGTAGTATTTAAATGTAAGCTAGAGTATTGGAATCTAATGCTCTTTTTATCAACTTTCTTTCATACGTACTCTCATGCTTGCTTGTTTCAAGGAGCATGATGCTATTATTATCTTACGAATATCATTGACATGGCATGTTTATGATAGTCATTCCTGGCGTATCAGATTGAATATTAAATTATAAGGATCTAAGATATCAAAAGGATAAAAAGGGGCATTACTCTAAAATATATTCCTTTCAGGACAATGCCTTTTTTTTTTTATCTAAATGTAATACAAACACTGTAACAGTTGTGTGAGTTTTTACTTTTTTAGTTGGGGGTTGCACTTATATAGTAGAGGTCATACAGTGACTTTCTAGCTTAACTGGTGGATGAAGACATCAGGTGCCCCTCTGTGCACTATTTCAGGCACAAGCAGGCACCTGAGTTACCTAGCCATTTATGTTATAATTTGGTAAAAATTGCAATATTTACAGTAAAATATTGTCGTTTATCAAAGTAAACTGTTCCTTACAGCACCAAACCCTTTTATTGATGCATCTTACATATAAATTTCACATATGTGTAAGTTTACACAATTTTAAGAATCACACCTTTCACTGTGTGTGTTACCTTTATATGCTTCCTGCTCTCAGCAAATCCCTCCGCCATTAAGGTGACAACATTACCGTGTGTATCTAGCAAGTTACGTATCAGGGCAGAGTACTCTTCTTCCTGTTCTAAAGTCTCCACCTAAACAATCAAATAAACCAATGTTACAACATATACAAGCTTTAAGTTAAAAGCACATGGAATGATCTCAGTTAAGTGAAATTTTGGATGAAATCCTTGGAGAATGAACACAATAAGTTTTCCTGTATATATTATAAATGTGAAGTAAAAACAAAGAGCCTTAATTCTCCCAAATTGCTGGAATTAAAATTAAAAATCTTTCACATAAAGTACAATAGCATTTCATGACAAAAGTTATGTGAAAGTAAGATTAAAATCTCTTGAGAAATGTAGGAGTGGCAAACTTCTTTTTAAATTATCTGTACCTAGCTTCCCATTAATCAAGCAATTGACATTCACAAATCTAGGAATTACTTTTTAAAGTAAAAAAAAACACAAGTTAATCTGACATTATGCCCATCCAAGTGTAAATGGTGAGTGCACCAGGAAAAGTCAAAATAACTTATTTATATCTCACTATGCATAATAATCCAGGAGACCCTGAAATTTCTTTACTATTTGGGATATATTGGTCGCTTTCAATTTTTAAAAGAGTGAAAAAAAATAGCAAAATATCACTTTAACAGGTTAAAAATATACAGGTCTTCAGCTCAAAATGACTTACAAAAACAAATAATTCAAACTTACTCTTGGAAAATCTGTCAGAAGCTGGAAAGCATTTATATACATCTCATGCTGAAATATATAAAACATTTTTTTTTAATATCAAAATTTTTCTTTAATGAATATGATTAATCTATGTTTAGGACAGTAGCCAAATAGGACAAAAGGACACTAGGACAAAAGCCCATTGGTTCAGTAGCCCACTGGGACAATAACCCAATAGGACAAATTAGGGCCACTAGGACAAAAGCTCACAGGGTCAATAGCCCACTGGGAAAATCAGGAAATAGGAGGAAAACATGCTAGGACTAGAATGCTGATATCAGAATCCCAAAATAGAAATTAGCAAATGTTTTAACTTATCTGTGACTAATAGTAATTGAATTTATGGGTCCTAATTACAATGAGAGAGAGGTAAAAAATGATATATCAACTGATTATTATTTTTGACATTTTGTGTTCTCATAATATTTGCAAGTTTTAGTATGAGTAAATTGGGTTTTAATTGTAAATTTGTATAAGAGAAAATAGTCTGAAAGCTTGGTTCTTCTGTATAGCGCCATATAAATGTAGGATAAATATACACTGGCATGGCTTTTCAGTACTAATCAAAATATTTTGCAAATTGATGATAATTTTATGTTTTCAAACTGAACATGATAATCACATACCTGTACTTCATGGTTCAAAATCAAAGCAAATTTATACATATTATATAAGAAGATGTTAAACATTTGCTGTTTATTACAAATTTATATAATAATATACCAATTTTATCACTTTGTACGAAGTTGGTATGTTATAAATACAAGATAAAATACAATATAAATGAGAGGCAATCACAACCAGGTTTCATAAAATGAACATAGAAAATTACTGTCGGCATTTGCAAGCAAATATTAATTGTTTGCTACTCAATCATTCTTGTGAAGCGTTAAATAAATTTCTCTCCGAAAGCAATTACAAAAGCAATCATAGTTGGGTGTTCCCTGCAAGATGACAGTCATGTAATGTAGTTAATCCAGGTATATTCATTAATGTATGTTGCAAAAATCCTGGGAGTTGTTTTATATAGAACAAATACCTTGAATCTTTGAATAACTAGTACAATAACCTGGTTCTCCACATATCAAGTTTGTAAACATTGTGTATAGGTACTGATGCACCTGTAACTCAGATTTCCTGATGAAGTGGATTTTCTGATGAAGTTGCACACTTAACTATATTACCAGTATACAATTAGGTTGTGTCAATAAATATAACAGGCTTCCAGACTAAATTATTTAAAATATTGCTGATTATAAACAATAAATAGTTAATACTTAGACAGAACCAGCAACCTTGACCTTTTATTACCTACATGAAAAACTTTCATGACCTATTATGTCCAAGAAATACTTTTATTTTTATTTCTAAAAAGCATTTCATTTCTGATGTACTTAGATAGTTCCCAAAAAGATTCTCATTGGCCAATTGCCCGTCAGACCAATCTTGTTCTTCCTGTTGTTTTTTGGCAATTAGTAAAGCTAATAGAGTGATTTAGTATTTGTATGGAAGTCAAACTGCTTCTTTGTTTACATTTTGCTACTTTTATGATAAATAATTTCAAATTAAGCACTACTTACTCGAGGCAACAAGCACTTGGCATGCTGCTCTAAACACATTATTTAAATGTTAATTAATACTCATGTTTGCCCTTTCTAAAAAAGTAAAATTCTTATTTGTTTCTGAGGCATAATTTGCTTTTAAATGTGTACTGTTTCACATCAAAAATAAATAAACAAAATTCAAACACTATTAAACTTTGCAATAAAAAATATATTAATGATTTTTATCAACATGTCATCTTTTTATCATATGATGATCATTGTAGCATATTTGTAACACAAAGATTATCCAAGATCTGTAAGATAATTTTCTTTTTCAGTGTTAATAATGCCTTACCAATGGATGTTATCGGTAACTCAGCAAGTGTGGGTTTTTTCAAGCTAACCCCCTGGTACAAACTTTTACCATAAGGATATACCGTTATTTAAATATTCTAGGTCACAAAATGTAAACTTACCACTTGGTTGATGATGGGATTACATCCAACAATAAACGGCAGGTTCCTGAAGCCTGTAATTCTGTGGGCAATCCTCACTGGTAGTTCTGTATGTAAATACTGAGCACTTTTCTGATATAAAAAAAGACAAACAAATATAACTAATAATCATTTCAGTAAACTTTGTTTGTTTGTTTTGGTTTTACTTCACACCGAAACAGTATAGATCAATTGACAACGTTCCAGCTTTACTGGTAGAGGAAGACCTCAGTAAATTTGTTGGAAAAGTTCTTTAAAAGTGATCACAGGAAACAGTTTTTATGAACAGACATGAACAGATAAGACATGCATAATCTCAAGACTGCCATCTACCCATATGTCAAGTTTCATAAAAATATTTCCAGTACTTTTTGAGTTATCACTGGATTCAGTTTATGTGTAAAATTTGCCATATTTTCAGTCTATGTGTTGCCATAGCAACCAGAATTTTCAACATAGGAAGAAAAGAAAAAGACGTGCATAATCTCAAGACTGCCATCTACCTATATGTCAAGTTTCATAAAAATATTTCCAGTACTTTTTGCTTTTTCACTGGATCCAGTTTATGTGTAAAATTTGCCATATTTTCAGCCTATTTGTTGCCATAGCAACCAGAATTTTCAACATAGGAAGAAAAGAAAAAGACATGCATAATCTCAAGACTGCCATCTACCCATTTGTCAAGTTTCATAAAAATATTTCCAGTACTTTTTGCGTTATCACTGGATCCAGTTTATGTGTAAAATTTGCCATATTTTCAGCCTATTTGTTGCCATAGTAACCAGAATTTTCAACATAGGAAGAAAAAAAAAAGACGTGCATAATCTCAAGACTTCCATCTACCCATATGTCAAGTTTCATAAAAATATTTCCAGTACTTTTTGCGTTATCACTGGATCCAGTTTATGTGTAAAATTTGCCATATTTTCAGCCTATTTGTTGCCATAGCAACCAGAATTTTCAACATAGGAAAAAAAGAAAAAGATGTGCATAATCTCCATTCTGCCATCTATCCATATACTAAGTTTCATAAAAATATTTTCAGTACTTTTCAAGTTATCGCAGGATCCAGTTTTGTGGACGGACAGACTGATGGACGTACGGACGGATGGACGGACGGACAGACGGACAAGGGTAAATCTAAATGCCCGCCACTAACGTGGGGGCACAAAAATATTGAAACAAATTATTCAAACAACAGCCCTGCATCATTTGCACTCACTCCTTTTTTCTTGAATAATCATTTAAATTAACAAATGCCACAAAGATGAAAAGTGTCTATAGTTATTATGGTTGGCAAACTGGTTACATAAGTTACTGAGTATTCCTTTTAAAGTTAAAAATATATCTTACAAGGTTGAGGTGACATAATTTTTAAGATTATGGGCATTATATCAAATGGGGCATTATTTTGTATATTTAGCTTTTAGATTACTGTCCCTTGTCTTACAAGTAACAAGAGCTGTCACAGGAGACAGCGAAGCTCGACTAATAAAATACTGGACGCAGAAAGGAGGACAAAACTATGAAAGAAAAATCAATTATGTATAATTATGTATTAAGTTATAGTAAAAAAATAATATTTGTTAACATAAATTCCAAGATCAAGGGGAATAATTCTTGAAATAGTCATGCTAGAGTTATGGACCTTGTCACACAACATTTGTGTAATGATAAGAAATATATATTTGAAGTTTGAAGCAGACACCTTAAAAAGTAAAGAAGTTATTATATTTCTTAAGAAAATCCTAAGTTCAAAGAGAGATAAATCTGTAAATATTGCTTCAAAAGTTATGAACATTGTCACATAAAATGTAATTGATGATAAGGAATAAGTATTTGAAGTTTGAGGTAGATACCTTTAAAAATAAAAAAGTTATAATAAAAAATAACATTTTTCTAGTAAAAAATCTAAGTTTATGGGGAGATAATTCTTGCAATATTGGTGCTAGAGTTATGAACCTTGTCACATAAGATGTGGATGATGATAACGTAAATATATTTGAAGTATGAAGTTGATCCCTTTAGAAATAAATAACTAACAGTAAACAAGAGGGCCATGATGGCCCTGAGGTCGCTCACCTGTATATAGGCCCCTGGAGCGGGGCCAGTTTAAACCCCAGGGCTTTTATTTGAACAAACTTGGAAGACACCCATTAGAAGATGTTTCATGATGTTAAGTTTTTACTACACACATATAATGAAAAACAATGACCTTCCCACCCCCCACCCCCTGGCAGGGCCAATTTTAATCCAAAGGCTTTTATTTGAACAAACTTGGTAGACACCCATAAGATGTTTCATGCTGAACATCTAAGCTCTAGCTCATTGGGTTTTTTAAAAGAACATTTTTTTAAGTTTTTACTATACACATAAAGTTAAATACAATGACACTCTGGGGCGGGACCAATTTTGACCCCACACAATGACACTCTGGGGCGGGACCAATTTTGACCCCAGGGCTTTTATTTGAACAATCTTGGTAGACATCCATTAGAAGATGTTTCATGCTTAATATCTTAGCTCTAGCTCTTTGGGTTCTTTAAAAGAAGATTTTTTTTAAGTTTTTACTATATGCATATAGGGAAAATCAATGACCCCCTGGGGCGGGGCTAATTTTGACCCAAGGGCTTTTATTTGAACAATCTTGGTAGACATCCATTAGAAGATGTTTCATGCCAAATATCTAAGCTCTAGCTCTTTGGGTTTTTTCGAAGAAGATTTTTTAAGTTTTTACTATATGCATATAGGGAAAATCAATAACCCCCTGGGGCGGGGCTAATTTTGACCCAAGGGCTTTTATTTGAACAAACTTAGTAGACACCTATTAGAAGATGTTTCATGCTAAATATCTTAGCTCTAGCTGTTTGGGTTCTTTAAAAGAATTTTTTTTTAAGTTTTTACTATATGCATATAGGGAAAATCAATGACCCCCCAGGGGCGGGGCCAATTTTGACCCCAGGGCTTTTATTTGAACAATCTTGGTAGACATCCATTAGAAGATGTTTCATGCCAAATATCTAAGCTCTAGCTCTTTGGGTTTTTTCGAAGAAGATTTTTTAAGTTTTTACTATATGCATATAGGGAAAATCAATGACCCCCTGGGGCGGGGCCAATTTTGACCCCAGGGCTTTTATTTGAACAATCTTGGTAGACACTCATTAGAAGATGTTTCATGCTTAATATCTTAGCTCTAACTCTTTGGGTACTTTAAAAGAAGATTTTTTTAAGTTTTTACTATATGCATTTAGGGAAAATCAATGACCCCCTGGGGCGGGGCCAATTTTGACCCCAGGGATTTTATTTGAACAATCTTGGTAGACACTCACTAGAAGATGTTTCATGCCAAATATCTAAGCTCTAGCTCTTTGGGTTTTCTAGAAGAAGATGTTTAAAGTTTTTTCTTTTGGTTGCCATGGCAACCAGAGTTCTGCATGGAATGGAATTCTTTCAACAACTTTGTTAAGGCTTCACACAAGGAACATCCCTGTGAAGTTTCATTATGATCTGCCTTATGGTTTCAGAGGAGATGTCGTTTGAAAAGTGTGAACGGACAACATACGACGGACGACGTACGACGGACGACGGACGAAGAGTGATCCTAATAGCTCACCCTGAGCATATGCTCAGGTGAGCTAAAAATGATATTTTTTATGGAAAATTCTAAGTTCAAAGGGAGATAAATCTGAAAATATTGGTGCTAGAGTTATGAACCTTGTCACATAAGATGGGGATGATGATAACGTAAATATATTTGAAGTATGAGGTTGATCCCTTAAGAAATAAAGAAGAAACAGTAAGAAATAGTACTTTTTGAGGAAAATTCTAAGTTCAAGGGGAGATAAATCTGAAAATATTGGTGCTAGAGTTATGAACCTTGTCACATAAGATGTGGTTGATGATAAGGAAAATATATTTGAAGTTTGAAGTTGATACCTTAACAAATGACAAAGTTATAGTGAAAAATATTTTACTGCACCAAAACTTTAATCTAAAATCTGGACGCCGGGGCGAGTAGGACAGCTCTCCATATACTTCGTATAGTCGAGCTAAAAATCAAGCTTCCACATTTGCTACATTATGATTGACAATTTTATTAGTCACTTCTGAAATTGTCAATGATTGCATTGTGGGCAATTACATGACCAGGGCTCAAGCTAGGTTCAAAATTTAGGGAGAAGTCACTTCTCCCTCCAGCTGATTTAGGGAGAAGTGGGGAGACTTTAGGCTCAAATATGGGCAATTCTTTATAAAGATGTATTCTTCCATTTCTTCAGGTTCTAAAGTTGATACAGTCAATCATTGACTGTATCAACTTTAGAACCTGAAGAAATGGAAGAATACATCTTTATAAAGAATTGCCCATATTTGAGCCGCGTCACCACAAAACCAACATAATGGGTTTGCGACCAGCATGGATCCAGACCGGCCTGCGCAGTCTGATCAGGTAAAATCCATGCTGTTCGCTTACCAACTCTATTACAAGTAGAGAAACTGATAACCAACAGCATGGATCCTGATCAGACTACGGATGCACAGGCTGGTCTGGATACATGCTGGTCGCAAACCATTAATGTTGGTTTTGTCATGACGCGGCTTATTTATATATTTCAAGTGTTATTTTGTGTGGGAGATGACAAATATGACTAGCTGTCAGATTTCATTATAAGGCGCAATAAATTCAAACTGTTATTTACTTTAATGTATGTAAAACATGTATATCCTTGTATAATGATGAGCAACTGGTTAAACTGCCAGTGTAAAAAGATTCTAAAATATTTGGAATTGTGTTTTTTTTCAACTCTGAATTGCTCTTTTTAAGGACCATGCTCATTTTTAGGACCATAGGCCCTTTAGCATTTTAGCACACAGCTACTGGTCATCAGTTTGGGCAGAGTGCAATTGTTATCAAATGACAATATTTGTTTGATATAACAAGTCAGCAAAAGATACTGTCTCATTACAGCATTGTTTTATGACATTATTTTATTGAAATCAATTTAAACACAACTACATCTATATCTAAAGGTGATTCATACCCCAACCCAACATCTTAACTAAGTGAACTATTAGTGACCTGAAGCCAAATTCAAGCTCTACCTGAATTAAATGATATTTCACTTGTTTTATTAAAATCAATTGTCTCAACTCATTTGGTTTTAGTTATTTACCAGGAGCCATTATTCTTTATCAAGTAACAGTGACCTTGACACTAGTGGGTCCGAAAGGAATCCGAACTGGTTCTCCACATCAGGTTGTTTTATAACAGTATCTCATTTCTAACTCTTATTATCATATTAAAAGCCTTTTTTTTGTTCAAGAAACAATGACCTTGAATCTAGAGGGCAAAAAAGTTATCCCAAGCTAGGTATCAGCATCAACTTCAGTTACTATATATCTAGTTTGATTTCAATACAGTAAACTTCACTTATAGCGAACACGGTTATAGCGAACTTCCGGTTATAAGGAACAATTTATTTTGGCCCGAATTCTGCCCTTCTTTATTTAATATAAAAATATACGGTTATAGCGAACACGGTTATAAGGAATTATCGCTTATAAGGAACTAATTTCTTAGTCCCGATTTAGTTAAAAGTGCAGAAAATTACACCTTTATAACGAACTCCAAATATCAGCTATTCGTAAATATATCCCGCATTTTCAACATTCGTTTTCATTGGCACGGATTAAAACTCGCGGAATATTGTTGTATATAATTCAATATATCTATGAAAATGAATTTGTATAGAAGTATGTAATAGTTTTCTATTTAGGATATTTTCAGCATGAGTTCTAGTCACAAAGATAAAACTGTTATTCCTTTTATTCTATTATTTCTTTTCTTTAATAGTTTTGCTCGAGTAAAATAATTATGATCATTTGTAATCAGATTTCAACATAATCACGCATGCTTGCAAACAAAATCAATAGAAAACTACATAGTATGCTTGATTGAAATAAAAAGAATTCTATATATTTTATAAGTAAAAGTCAATCTTAAAATATTATCGAAGATATTCAATATAAAAGGAAGAAAAAATGGAAAATCTTATTTATTTTTATTCATGGAAAGAAAACGAAAAGCACTGACTTAAGAAACAAAATATGATATTTTATGTTATGAGAAATTGAGACAGGGAGTAAAACTAAAACTAAAATAGCAAAGGATTTTTAAATTCCAAAATGTACGCTCTCGGGTATTGTGCCAAAAAAAGAAATAAATGACAAATTATTTTTAATCAAATGCTCTTCAAAATGGCGGACGATGTTTAACAATCAGTTCGTTATATGTAAATCTGTTCGCTATAAAAACTGCTGATACAAGGAACTAATTCGCTATATGCTTACAAGGAACTCCGGATATAAGGAACAGATTTTGAATGTCCCAGTGAGTTCGTTATAAGCGGAGTTTACTGTACCTCAATCCCTTTATCTCCCAGAACACATTTTTCTATTTTCAGTAACGACCTTCACCCTAGGGGGCCCAAAAGCAATTCCTAGCGAGTTCTTCACATCTGCTTACAACATGTATATAGTTATTGCTTTAATTACAATATCCCATCATTAATTTACTATATAGTTATCACCTGAAAACCTTTTTTATACTATTATGGTAACAGTGACCTTGACCCTAGTGGCCCACAAAAAGCTAACCCAAGTGTGTTTGCGACTGGTGTCCACTACAGGTGTCACATTTATTCTTTAAAACGGAATGGATCAGTCGGTTTTTAGCTAAAAACCGGTTAGGAAAATCAATAACCAGTAACTGAGGTTAGTATTTGAAAAGTTTTAAATTGATTCTAAATATAACCTTAGTTTTTTTTATGACAAGATATGGCAATTGTTTGTATTTTAGTTGTACTCAACAATGTATTTTTTCCAATGTGATTTAATACGGTATGACCCTAGTTATAAATAGTTACTCCATATTCAAATATAAAATGTAATCATTTTGAGTACAACAAAATATGAACAAAATTGCATATTTTGTCATTAAGAAACAAAGTTAATGTTGAAAAAACAAGGATTTTATTTTATTTATGGTCGGTTAAACATTTAACACTCTTATTACTTTTCTGTTTAAACAGTTAGCATTTTTTCTACATCCCTGGTCTCTACATATGCTTGCTATATACTAAAGTTAATTACAATATCTCATTCCTAACTCTAGTTATCATCTTGATCTCACTGGCAACAACAAAGGCAAAAATTTCATTTATATTCAGTGAAAAAAGAGAAAGTGACCTATTTATCATTGCTTAAGAAACTAGGTTAGTCAAAATATATTGATGTGCCAAAGTTTGATTCTGAGATATTTTCGTTCTGGGGCAGAATCTCATAGAGGCGAGAAGTATTGCCCAGACACGAAAATAGCACGGGCAGTACAATTTAACATAGTATAGTGTAATTAAATGTAAATTTAAGTGAAAGTTTACCAGTAAATGGCTGGCACCCTGAGCTTTCCCCGCATACAGTAATGTTGTAGGTGTTAGTCTCACTGATCGCTGAAATAATGAAAAAGTTATTATTTATATATAGATAACAGTAATAATAACATTAATAACCATATCTTTATAACCAAACTTTTATATTATAAAACATGAATAGACTTTGTGTTTTATTAAGAAGTTGACACCGATATCTCAGATGAGGGGTTCCACATACTAATCAAACCTCTAGGGGTCATGACCCCCCCCCCCTCTACTCTGGAATCAAAAATGTTTACTCTTTCTAATTATCAGACAAATATTTGATTAACAAATAATGGATACCTTAATAAAAGACCCATATTCTGATGTTCCTACGAACATTATATAGGTCAATATTCTATTTTTTTGTCCAATTAGTTTACAGTACATGACTATAGGCCAGTAAAATCTGGTTAGCTTCAGTTGCTTGCAGTATTGGATGAATAGCATCAAGATCTTTACAGAAAAAAATATAATTTGTTTCATTGACTGAAATCGACCAAAATCCATGGTAAAATCGTTGATTGCACAATTACAATGGTTCATTTAAGCCATGTGAAAAAATTAATTTGTCGAAACAAGGGAAGGAAAGTTAAATTGGAGAAATAAGGTCATGAAAACTCATTTGCATTCTGCCTAAGTGTTGTCAATTCAGTATAAATGTAAATTAATTTATTAAACCTAGTTCTTTGACTTTGCATGTAAACACAGTTTTGGGGCCGAAATATATGGTCCCTTTCATAAAGCCAAAAAAGTATCCAAAAATTGTCAATGTATACATTTAATACATGATATACAAAGACATTCAACTATGAGAATTATTTGATAACTGTTTTTTTTTCCAAGAGTCAAGACATGATGATTGTTGTTGTTTTTTTTTCTCAATTTAACAGCTAAATTTCACAGTATAACTATATAAGATTATTTAATTTGTCATAACTATATTCATTTATATAAGACAAAGTCTAAAAGTAGATTTTTGGGAAATCACAGGTCTGCAACCACTAGACAATTATCAAAATTTGGAAGAAAATATTTCAATTCTAGTGTTATAGAATTGCTAACATTAATATGCTACAGTCTTTCTCCAGATTTTATATTAAGGAAACTTGAATACTGTAAAGTCATGATTTGAGGAGAAATGCATGTTGTAACACAGCAAATATTTGTTATATGACTTTAAAACCATTAAAGACATGAAACAGATTTTGTTTGTTTTGTGTGTACATAATTATGTACTTCACTGTTGTACTTCCTGACTATGCCACTTATAACAATATAGCATCTTATGTTCACTCTATGAAATATGTTTCTATCTTACATGTATGTAATAAATGTTCAAATATATATTCTTCTAAAATGTTTGGTATAATAAAATAAATATCAGATAAGGAATCCCTCTACAGGTGATGTTAATCAAACCCTGAAACTTATGTGGTAGCCAGGTAAACATGAGCTTTCTTTATCTTTAATCACCCTCAGAAAGATCTGATATTGATACACAATCAATAATTCCATCAATCAATCAATTGATCATAAATCAAATAATATAAATGGCATACAGTGCATGAGCTGACACAGTGGTTTAGTTGTAACAGACTGACCACAAATCCATGGGTTGCAAGTTTGATCCTAGGGCACTCAAACTAAAATTACTAACAATTCTGTTACGTGTAATGGTGCATTAAAAATTGCCTGTTAAAGAACAAGTTGCTACTTGTAGAATACAGCCACTTCTGTATCCATTTTACTTTCTCTAGAAAAAACAAGCAATTATCATAGTATTGCAAGCAATCCATAAGTCCCCTACCGGTAAGAGCCCAAGCAACATTCTGAAGGGCCATTGGCCATTCACTTAGGTTCCTATTTTAAGTAAATTTGTTGAAAAAGTTCTTTAAAAGTGATCACAGGAAACAGTTTTTATGTACAGACAGACGGACTGAAAGACACTCTAAAGTTATTTTTTAAACATCCCTGTTATCAAAATATAACATTTTTAAAATCCTATCATGATTGAAGAAGTTGGAGTAAAAATTACCAATTTCTCAAAAAAAAGTCTAAGTTCAAAAGGGGCATAATTCTGGAAATAGTCTTGCTAGAGTATTGGACACTCACAAAATTTAATGTTGAGTGATAATAAGAAACATTTATATGAAGTTTGAAGTAGATACATTCAGAAAAAGAAGTTATTAAAAAAAAACAATGTTTTTTTCATGAAAATTTTAAGTTCAAGGGAGGTAATTCTGATAAATTTTGTGCTAGAGTTGTAAACCTTGTCACATATGATGTGGTTGATGACAAGCAACTTATATTTAAAGTTTGAAGAAAATACCTTAAGAAATAAAGAACTTATAGTGAAAAAACTTAAAAACTAGAATCAGAAATCTTGAAATTCAGTCTATTTGTTGCCATAGCAACCAGAATTTTCAACATAGGAAGATAAGAAAAGGATGTGCATAATTTCCATACCGCCATCTACCCATATGTCAAGTTTCATAAACATATTTTCAGTACTTTTTGTGTTATCACTGGATCCAGGTTATGTGTAAAATTTGCCATATTTTCAGTCTATTTGTTGCCATAGCAACCAGAATTTTCAACATAGGAAGAAAAGAAAAAGACGTGCATAATCTCCATACTGCCATCTATCCATATATCAAATTTCATAAAAATATTTTCAGTACTTTTTGCGTTATCGCGGGATCCAGGTTATGTGTAAAATTTGCCATATTTTCAGTCTATTTGTTGCCATAGCAACCAGAATTTTCAACATAGGAAGAAAAGAAAAAGACGTGCATAATCTCCATACTGCCATCTATCCATATATCAAGTTTCATTAAAATATTTTCAGTACTTTTTGCGTTATCGCGGGATCCAGTTTTGTGGACGGACGGACTGACGGACGGACGGACGGACGGACGGACGGACGGACAGACAGACGGACAGACGGACGGAGGGTAAACCTAAAGTCCCCTCCGGTAAACCGGTAGGGGACTAAAAAAGGATTATTAACAGTCTTAGGTAGTGAGTCACCAATATGAGATTTCCGGTGGCAACTGTAAATAAACATATTTTCACACAAAAAAGAAATAGACTATTTTGGATACTTAAGTCACTGTCGTTTACTTGGTACACATTATGTTGTCATTTCATACTATACTAAAATTAAATATTTTGTCTGTATAAGCCAATAGACAAGACAATTATGTACAGGTTAAAGTTTGTTAGTTTGTATTTATAAAATTAAATTGGTCAGGCGCGCACGCGGCATAGCAGCATGACCAATTTAATTTTGTAAATATGTACTAATAAACTTTAACCAGCTTAGTGTTTTAAATTATTTTTATAGATAGTAGATTTACTTAATTGACTGATTAACACTTTGCAGATTTTCCAAAGTAAACATGTTACAATTCATTTGAAATACTGCAATCCTATTGGACAAAAAATAATTTCAAATACTGAGATAAGATAATTGTTCATGGATTTTACATTGATAGTTTGTTAACCCTAATTACATTGTACGCCCACAGTTCAAGGCCAATAAGTGTGGCATTATTACTAAAATAGAATAAATAAAACATTTGAATTCAACCCATGCTAAATTTATCCTATACAATTGTTTTCTGAACGTAGGAATTCATCCGCATAGCTGTTGTAAAATCTATTCCGTATTATATTAAAATTTGATAATCTTTGGTAATGCTATATAAAATGCTAATAGTATATATAAACATGACATCAACAAAGAAGATTTATTATTGTGTTCAGGTAAACCAGTGCAATAAACACATTTTGTTCAGTTCAATTACATCTAATAATGAAAATGTACTTGTACTGTAATACATACAGGTTTAATCATGAAAAGATGATGTAACAGCTATAAATAACAGTATGTTACAGTTGCCCCAGGATACCGACATCAGACAGGGTCAAAAGTTCAACATGATGTGTACATTTAAATAATTTTAACAGAGCATTAAGATCTGGCTTGCAGTAAAAATATACAATATATGATTTAGTAGGTTTATAAACTTGTTTAAATTTAGTTACAAGATAAATTACATCATCTTTTCTCTCTCTCTTACAGGTAGACTCTATTTTCTACTTTGATAATACATCATAACATGTAGTAAATTTGATATAACAATCATAACTTTCCCACCAAGTAAAATATATTTTGAGCCAGAGATTTGTAACATTATGAATATGTTCATTATTTATTAACAACGGAACACACTAAATGGCCTGAAAGTTTCATAAACACAGTTACACTAATAAACTGGTACAATACTACAGATCATACGTTCAGTGGTCATTGACCTACACATTACACCAGACCTTGAACTTTTAGAATCAGATGAACCATCAAAACATTTGATAATTTCAACATTTACTTAACTTCTAGTTCATTTAAAACCACTAATTGTAATCACTGTTCTTAGATAATTTCAAATTTTGAATTTCTGGCCATTAACCACTGTCATTTAATTTTGCCAGGAACTATACAGCTATCCACCTCACATAGCTGTTGGCCAGATGGGTTGCCAAAAGTTCTATTCTGGTAATAGGTGGCTTGTGTTAAACACAAATAAAGCCATTAAATTGCCATATTAAAACTTTTACATTGTCCACATGATTTAAATCCATATTAAATAGTTCCTTTTTGTCCTGAAAACATTAAACATCAGAAAAAATTCAACTCTTCTCTTGAAAACAAAAATAATCATTGAACTTTGCATGAAATACAAACAAGAGCAGCTGTCCATAGGACATAAAGAAAAAAGCTGTCAGTAGGACTTGCTGGACTTTTCTTAGTGCTTGATAGTAAAATAATACATTGCATGGATAATGTAGAAATTTTTAAGTTTAAAAAGGGCCATAATTCTCTCAAGATCCATGTTATGGACCTTCCAGATTGTATCATTGACCTGTCATGCTATCAAATAAGTGTGTGAAGTTTCAACCCATTTCCTTTAGTAGTTTTGGAGATTCAAACTTGCACCAAAGTGTGATGCCTACACTAAGGCCTGGCTGAGTACAATAACTCCAGGTCAAAACAAAGACAGTCAATGTATTATTAAAATACACAAATTAAAACATTTTTTTTAAAGTTAGCAAACATTTCAGCCAAAATTGAACTCTACTAGTATTTCAATAACAGCTGGCAATCAGTGACAAACAGATGTTCACAGGTAAAATAATTCATTTCGCCACATACAATGTATGATATAAATATAAAGTGAAATGATAAAAAAAATCTATAGTTTACATACAACATTTCTAAAGCATTGATTTTTTTCCTCAATTTTCAAAACAACTGTGGCTTTATGAAGGGGAAAATAAAGCGTGATAAATCAGAAAAGGGGAAAATCAAGTTCTTGGAGCTGATAATGGAATTTACCCATACATTTTATAAAATTTTTAATTTCATTTCAATTCAAAATGGATGGTACTTAGCAGAGGCTATCTAAAGGGACAGCTTTCTGTATTCTAGATGTATGATTATGATATATAACCTTAAAAAAACTTTTTCCAGTCCATTAAATTGTGTAAAAAAACTTGTCATTAAGTGAACCACTTGTTTGAACAGTAGGTCAGTGAACCACTTGTATCAGTCAGAAATTCTAAAAATACTAATTTTCACCCAAGCAACATCCTTTGTATGGGTTAACGTTATTCACTAGAATGAACATGCCCCAAATTTTATCTGATAAATAATGAAATATTAAAAAGATTGACGGTCTTTTGACTCGGTATTGGTTATTGTTTTCCACCACATGCAATATGGCGAAGTCATAATAATGATTAATAAAAGAAGATGATAAAAACTGGCCCAGAAGACAGGACTCTAGCTAGACCAAAAATTTAGGGAGAAGTGACTTCTTTCTCATCTCCTATCAGGGAGAAGTTTAAAGACATAGGGAGAAGTGAAAAAGTGCTAGAAGAATTGATTTGATCTATAAAAAGATGTTTTATCTTTTTATATTTAAATTATATATATAAAAGATGTACATACTAGGGATACAAAATTAATGCAGATTTTTCTTATTTAATACAAACGCAGATTTTTTTTTTATTTAATACAAATGCAGAATTTTTATTTAGTATTTTTTTTTTAATTCAAGTATTATATTGCTATCAAGGGGTTACAGGCCTAAAGTAAATGGACTAGCAATCAAGTGGTGATCGTCTGATAAGTCTTTTTCAACGAAATAAAACCAAAATATTGATTTCCCAAAAGATCCAGTTATTTTCCGTTTATTAAATCCGTTTTTTATATTTATTTAATAAATATTTTTATAGAATTGCTATTAATGTCATGAGTAAAGTACAAAAAAAAACAATAAAAAAAATTACTGATCGTTAAAACAGATTAACTCTACACTCTTTCATAGCATTTTAAACAGGTGTTAACATATCCAGTTTTAATGAATTTACTGACCCGAAGGGCTTTTATTCACAGGTTGGGGGAAGCAGCCCAGCCCTTAATTTTGGGAAAAATTACACTGTATATTTGCAAAAGGCGAAGAAAAAACTTTATGTAAATTCAATTTTTGGGGAAAACTGCATGATTTTTTAAAGAATTTTTCTTTGGGGAAGCAGCCCTATACTGGCCCCTGCTATAGAAGGAAAAAAGGCCCTGGACCGACTGCCGATTTAAGAAAATCAAAAACGCCACCAACTTTTAAGTTGATGAAAACATAACTGTATCAAGCCATTTACTAGTGCTCCTGTTGTGTATTAACTAATATGCAAGTAAATTTACACTGTCAGTGTGACATTGCGTGTAGTTACTGCCAAATATGGTAGGACCGATTCAGACTGTAACTTTTTTAACTCCCTGATTTAAAAAGTGACATGTGTCATATAAATTATGCGTAATTAATTGGGATGTTTACATCGGGGTATTAGTTGGCAATATGTCCGATGGAGCTGCATATCATGTCACACAAATGTGTTAATTGCAGTCATTATCGGTAGTCGCATTTTACTTACGGCCAGAGGTGAGGATTAAATTCATTGTCAAGCGCTGTGTGATATATAAAGAACTGTCTATGCATTAAGTAAACAAGTGCAGCAAACTCAATTTCGCTTTGATGTTCAAAATCGTCGAAGTTCATTTACTTAGGGCAACTTTATCGCCCAGTTGCTACAGCCCTGGAAGATAGGGCCAGGCTAACTATAAAACTGGCGACCCATTTAACTGGTATTAAAACCCATCCATAGTATTATTTGGATCGGAATCTGATGGTTCCATTAAACAGAAGATTAAATGCAATATAAACTAGATAGAGTACTAAATTTGACATTTTGTTAATGATTGTCATTGGTTCTGATGAATCATACTGTTGCTATGATAAGAAATAACAAATAAAAATTATTCATAAATACCTTTTCAGCAGCTATATCTATTGCACTCTGGTTATAAAATGCTGTTACAGATCTTGATCTTTCTCGAGATTCACTGTCAACCGAAGCACGCTTGTGAAAATTGTCTGTGAACTTCCTGTGACTGAACACTATCACTTTTTGGGGTTTAACCCCAGTACGAGTAAAACAGCTGATAGACAACATGGTGGTACGTAAATTTTCAGTCCAAATTCATAAAATAAAAATATTAAACACTAGGAAAATGTCTCCTTAAATTCATAGAAATGTTTATCCCTCTTAGTCCTAACTCCTTGAAGAAATTTTTTGTGTCTGTATAATGAATAGAATTTGAGGCAAGGGGGTCGAAAAAGACCCATTTCTTGGTAAGTATCGTCAGACACGACAGCTTTCAGTGTTAGATTTTATATCATGTCCTTGACCTCTAAACCGGAAGCTACATCTTTTGTCGGGTTATCATATATTTTTGATGTATTCATAAGTATCAATAATCTTTTAGCCTGTAAGATTACAACAGTTATCTATATATTATATATATAATGATATAATTGTTTAAGCGCATGAGGTCTTTATACTGGATCTTTTTTTACATAGATACAGCATATCAGTATAGCTGTTAGATTTTTAAAATATGATTATATATGCATATGGGGCATATTTGTTTAGTGTATGCTTAGTGTATTTTACCCCCAGAGTCAGTTATGCTTTGATTATTGTAAGTGTCAGCTTTTATTATTACTGTCATATAGTTACGGTACTTTTTTGAAAGGGGTACAATATTTTACAACTCATTTAAGTAAGAAGTAATAACTTTTATTATGGAGAATAAGACCTATACAAAAAAGAAAGAAACATAAACTACTTATTATAGTTATAAAACAATGTTGTTGTTTTTTTTTTGTTTTTGTTTTTTTCCACATAAAATGGTTTTCATGTGATTTCCATTTATATTGTCAATACTTAAAATATAATGATTAATTGTTTCTTTTCTATTTTGTCAAAGTTAATGTGTTCTTGTTGCTTATATATTTTAGTATGTGTTCTTTAAAACTTGGCTGTTGGAATATAAATACTTTGAGAAATGTACATAATGACAAGACTCAAGACCAAACATTCATAAAAGAAGTTGCAAATTATGATATATTCTGTCTACAGGAAGTGAAATTAGAAACAAATTGTAACATAGGTATAGAAGGATATCATACTATTCATGTTCCAAGACCCGAGGAAAAGGGTTTCCCCATCTCAGGGGGAAATGAGTATACTTCTGAACCCCAAAATTAGTCAGGGGGTAAAATTACTTGAGTCATCAAGTACTGAGATACAATGGCTGCAACTTGAAAAATCTTTTTTTGGACTTAAAGATAATCTTTATGTATGCTTTATATACATGGCACCAAGTAACTCCTCTTACAGTAAACGACATGACTTAGATATACTACAGTTATTTGAAAATGACTTAACAAAATTTTTGAATTATGGTCCAGTGCTAATAATGGGTGATACAAATGCTAGAACAGGTGTAGAAATCTGAATTACTAGATTTTAGTGTAGGCAAAGATATGTGCCAATGCCATCAAACATTGAAAGCAATCATAGTTTTGTAAAGCGTAATAGTCAAGATAAAAATTTTTGTTCTCGAGGTAGGGAACTACTAGACCTGTGTATTTCATGTAACATACAAATTTTGAATGGTAGAACTATTGGAGATTTATCAGGTAAATTGACATCATTTCAGTATAATGGAAATTCAGTAGTTGATTATTGCCTAGTGTCAGATAATTTTTTATCTAGTGTAAATTACTTCTCTGTTAGTCAGCACTCCCTTATCTATCAGATCATGCCAAAATATCTGTACTGTTGAATGTATTTGCATCAAACAAGTCGCATGATATAAAAAAAGCTGAATCCTTTTCCACAAGGGTATAAGTGGGTTCCATCTGCAATTCCTTTATATCAAGAAGCTTTTAGCTCAGTAGAGGTTAAGTCTCAAATCAACACTTTTTAGAGCTTGATAAGCACTCTCATTGTCCTTCACTTGATAATATTAATGAGGTGGCAAAAAGCTTTCAGACTATTATTCTAAACTGCTTGTAATAAATCCCTCAAGAAAAAGGCAAATGTGAGGAAAAAACAACTCAAATAAACCTATATATTAAAAAATGGTTTGATCAAGACTTAATTACAATGCGGAGAGATTTGATTTATAAAAGCTCAAATATGCTAAAAATCCCTTGAACATTCAATATAGAAACTCATTTTTTAAATTTCGTAAAATGTACAGTAAACTGTGCAAAAAGAAGAAACGTGACTTTGTTCAAACGGTTTTAAAAAATTAGATACTTTAGTAGAAAAGGATCCAGAAACCTATTGGAAAATGATAAAAGAACTGAAAGATGATTCCAGTAGTGATGGTTCTGATCCTAGTAAGAATATCTCTTCATCAACTTGGGAAAATTATTTTAGTAGGCTGTTTTCAGTAAAACCAGAGTTTGAGAGGCAGAATAATTATTATAATAACATTTTAAATAAACTAGATTTTTTCTTGTACACACGTTTTAGACTCAGAAATATCTGAAAAGGAAAATTTGGCTGCTGTTAAAGAATTGAAAAATAACAAAGCTGCTGGGGTTGACTGCATAAAAAAACGAAATGATTAAACACAGCATTTCTTTTATTCTTCCATGCTTACAAATGTTGTTTAATATGATTCTAACAAGTGGTATCTATCCTTCAGATTGGAAAATTGGCTATATAAAGACACTTTTTAAGAAGGGTAAACCTGATGATCCCTCTAATTATAGGGTATAACCATTATTCCATGTGTTGCCAAACTTTTTAACTGTTTACTAAACAAAAGGTTACAGTTATTTATAGATAGAAATAATTTATAAATCCAGCACAAATAGGCTTTCAGCCAAAATCCCGCACTAGTGATCACATGTTTGTTCTTAGAACACTTATAGAAAAGTTTAAGGCTAATAAGCATAAGCTTTATGCATGTTTTTGTTGATTTTTCAAAAGCGTTTGATACGGTTTTACACTCTGCTCTTTTTGTGAAACTTCATAGTATTGGTGTAACTGGTAAATTTTTCAATATTTTGAATAGCATGTATGACAATTCTTACCTTAGTGTTAAGATAGAAAGTAATTCATGTTTACATGAATCAAAAAATAAGGAAACTGGTAAATTTCATGGTAGTTGTTTAACAAACACTTTTAAACAAGATGTTGGTGTCAAACAGGGTGATATTTAAGCCCCAATATGTTTTAAAATATTTCATAAATGATCTGCCAAGTATGTTCTCTGATGAAGATGACCCGGTTTTGTTAAATGATTTAAAACTCAATTGTTTACTATATGCTGATGACTTGCTTTTATTGTCTAGAAGTCAGAAAGGTTTGCAAAGTTGTTTAGATAAATTGTCTGATTATTGTGAACAGAATTGCTTAATAGTCAACATTAGCAAAACAAATGTTTTAGTATTTTGTAAGGGCAAGTGTCCAGTTATTAATATCTACTATAGATCACAACTGAAACCCAAGTCAATACCTACAAATTCTTGGGTATTGTATTTTCTGCCAATGGTTTGTTTCATCATTGTCAGGAGGATTTATGTAAGAGAGCTTTAAGAGCATATTTAAACTTTTGAAATGTATATCTAGTAGCAATATTAATGTTAAAGTTTTTTGCATTTGTTTGACCATACCATTAAACCAGTGTTACTATATGCTTGTGAAAATATGGGGCACAATTAATACAGGCTCATGTATAGTAAAGAAAAGATAATTATAGTCTTGAAATGTCTTTTAGTAACCTTCCATGTGATAAGATACATTTAAAAGCCCTGAAATACATTCTTGGTGTTAATAAGAAAGCTACAAATGATGCTGTTTTAGGTGAAACAGGGCGTCACCCTTTTTATATAGATATTCTATGTCATTCTGTTAAATATTACCAAAGATTGCAGGGCCTGATTGCCCTCACTTGTTATCATTAGCATTTAAAGAAAGTTGTCAGTTGCATGATCATGGTAAAACTAGTTGGATGTCAAGTATTACTTTGTTAAAGATCATATGAATATAAACAACTTTTGCTCATATAATAAAAAACATTCATCATATTGTCAAGTCCAAAGCCATTAATAGTTTTAAATCAAATTGGTTAAACAGAATGACTGTTTGTGCGAACAACAAATTGGTAAATTACGTACATATGCCTTATTTAAGACTGTTTTTGTAAGTGAACACCATATCTTAGTGTTTTAGGGACAGTAATTTAAGATCATGCTATACAAAATTTAGAATAAGTGCCCATAGATTAGAAATAGAATGTGGTAGATACAAAAATATTCCTAAATCTCAGAGAGATTATGTAAATGTGCAATCTAGGGAAAACAGAAGATGAAATTCATTTCATGCTTGAATGTCCTAAATATGACACTTTTAGAAGCATTTACCTTAAAGAATGTGCTGATTTAATGTAAAAACTTTCCTACACTCAATTGTAAAGATCAATTTATATTTTTGCTTAGCAATGAAAATGAAAAATTTATTGAACTTACTGCATCTTATATATGGCAGTGTTATAACATACGGTCACTTAAAATTACAACAACTTAAAAATGCCAAATAATTGTGAGATTATTTCCCAATCTAATAGAAGTATCTTTCCCACATACTAGTGAGGGGTCAAATACATTCAAATGTGTAAAACAATCATCATGTTAATATGCGTTTATAGGTCAATAGCTGATTGTATAAATAATCATTTTAGTCAAATACATTTATACAGTACAACAATAATAGAACTTTTATGCATAATAAGTAATTGTAGTTATTTATTAACATCATTAATTAGTCTTTGTCAATGTACATCTCAAAAGATAATGTGGGTTAGTCATTGTTGAGGTTTTTTACAAATTCTATTTCTTTTATGTGTTGTCATTTAAAATGCCTTTGTTGAATACATATAGTTACTAGTCCTTTGTTAATTGTGTTATCAAATCAGAATTAGCTTATGTTATCTTATTATTGTTTTGTTTATGTACATTTAATGTACTGATATTTTATGTAATTGTATGCCTGAGAAGGCCCATGATTGGTAATAAAACATTATTCTATTCTATTCTATTCTATTCTATATTTTCACTAATTTATCTCGATACCTCTGAATATTCGAACACCGTTCTAATCAATGAAACGAAAGTAGAACAGCTGTGATAGAAGTTGGAAGCTGTATGACACCCTGAATTGATAGCAAGAAACAAGGGACGAAACCATTGTTTTTGGTAATCATGCATAGAATAGAATTGCATTATAATAATGTTAGTTCTGCTTGCAATTTCACTGGCAGTAATAAAATTATAAATACATGTTTTGCTATTTGACTGTTTTTGTGTGTTTTTGTGCAATTTGTGACTGTCTTTCATACTTTAAATTTTACAGTGTGTGTAATTTTGTATGAAGTATTTCTATTCAAGGATGCAACCTGTTTTGAATAGTTTTATACTTGGCTTAATTCTAAATGGGTTCTAATGAAATGGAAAAAACATTAATACATAAATCTACTTAGAGGATGGTACCATATGTATCATTGCTCTTATTATTTTAGACAAATTGTACAAATAAAAAGAACTTGTACTTACTATTTTATTAAACTGTGTTTAACTGTCGCATCTTGACTATAAAAATACACATGTCATTCATAGAATAACTCAATGATTTAAATTATAAACATCTATGGTCAGTCATGTTTGAATGAGAGCTTAAACACAGAGCTCTATGATACCATGGTATGTAAATTGATGGCTCTCTTTGGCTTTAGTAGAATTTTTTTCAACAGAATATGAAATCACTAGTTTTAGCAGATGACCTTCACTTGTCAGAACATAAAAATTATCAGTTTAACTGGTAAATACGGGATAAAATAAAGAAATATTTTCAATACATGTGGGCAGCTTTTGATTTTCCTATCAATGACAGAAATTCATTTGAATTTTAAAAAAAGCAGCACTTCCACTTTCACTTTAATATTGGAAACAACCCAATTGGTGGCGTTCAGTGTGTAAAGAAACACATTTTCTGATTACCCTGGAATGGGCAAGGACGCAGTACCGCGGGAGTACTATAATAGACAAATTTATCTGATATCAAATGCACTTACACAAGTCAAAATATATTGATGTGCCAAAGGTAAATTCTGAGATATATTTAATTATGGGGAGATATTGCTCATACATAAAATAGCACAATATCTCATAGTACAATTAGTTGAACTAATCACACCTGATTTTAATTGAAACATCAATGTGCTTGTAGAATAGCAGTGCTACATTAATTTCAAATTAAACTAGTTAAAAGATATGCTATTTATGCCAGATTGATCCTTCATACTAAAAAGTATGTAGGTGAAACCCTGACTGTATAGATTCAACCTTTTATAAGTTTTGCAGACAATTAAAACAAGTACTATAATACTTTTGCCTGTAATCCCAATGAAAGCATGGACTTCCATGTAATATAACTACATAGTTACTTAATGTTGAAAAATGTGTTGGTAAAATATCTGATAACTCTCACATAATAAAGTAGAAAAAAATTATGTACAAGCCTGTAACCTTGATCCAGTTGATCTTAAACCCCAGTCCAAGGTTCATGTAAGGTACCTGTATGTAACAAATATTTAAGATACAGATTAATGATGGTATGTAAAAGAGAGAAGTATAAAAACAGTGACTAATTATATGTTGTTTATCTGCCTCTATCTCTCATCTTACCACTTGAAATATCTTAAATGTACTTTGCCAAGCTAACAATCTGGATTTTAAACCATTCATCATTTTAGGGAAAATATAAAAATACATACTAACTGAAGGGGCAAACAGTGCAACCTGTATGAATAAGCTAGCTCAGTGTCTATTCTAGGAGGGGGGATGGGGGGAAATCACTCATATTTTTGAGAATTCACCCCTATTTTTTTCAGAGGTAGGGGGGAAATTTTACAAAAGGAAAGAAGGAAAAAGTTCAACAAATGTAATAAATTCTCACTTTTCGATAAAAAAAATCCCCCCTGTTTTTCAAATCCTAGAATAGACACTGTAGCTGACCTTGGACTGCACTGGTCACTTGAGTAGAATTTGTTGCCACCTGCAGACAAAGTACTTGTTTAACTGTTTCATGGTGTCTGTATTTTATTTTATATCTTTGTTACTTAAAATCAACATTGACCACAATTAGAAATTCTTTGTTTTCAGAGAGGGAGATCATGTCAGAAGAATTAGTTACTCACAGAGGAGGATGTCATTGTGGTGCTATTAGGTTTGAAGTTCAAGCCCCAAGCAAACTTCATGTGTATGAATGCAAGTAAGAGTAACAATTTTACAAATTATACATGTACATGGTTTTAATAATTTATAGGCAAAAACAAAATACTATTAGCATTCTGCAGGTACATTTTTGTTTTATTATGTACCACAGGTACTTGAAACAAACTTTTTTTAATGTTCTATATAGGCTATATACAATGTTCTATAATAAGACTATTCTAGTCTAGTCTTATTATAGTATATAGCCTATATAGAACATTAAAAATTGTTTGTTTCAAGTACCTGTGATTATGTACGTCTGTATTATTACTATTATTACATTTATATGTATATTAAAAGAAATTTCATTATATTTTTTATATTTATTTATTGCAACATGGAAAAACAATCAAACTAGGCAAACAAAAGTCAGTCAAGGTTAATCTTGAACATAAGCTCTATATCAAAATCAAATAGGTTTATAACATAAGCAGTGTATTGTATAAGAAGGCAGAGTCCAGATAAACATTAAAGATATTGTAAGTTATTTTTTTTTAAATGTGGATTACATTATAAACCCCATTAAAGTAAGAGGACTTCCTTACTTAGGTATATGGCTTAGAGTCCTGTATTATATCTCTGTTGCTCTTGTTTGACCAGAAATTAATACAAGAGGGCCATGATGGCCCTGAGATCGCTCACCTGTATATAGCCCCCCCCCCCCCGGGCCAATTTTTACCCAAGGGCTTTTATTTGTTTATTTGAACAAACTTGGTAGACACCCATAAGAAGATGTTTCATGCTAAACATCTAAGTTCTAGCTCATTGGTTTTTTAAAAAGAAGATTTTTTAAGTATTTACTATACACATATAGTTAAAAACAATGACACCCCTGGGGCAGGGCCAGTTTTTGACCCCAGGCTTTTATTTGAACAAACTTTGTAGATATTTACTTAAAGATGTTTCATGCTTAATATCTAAACTCTAGCTATTTGGGTTTTTTCAAAGAAGATTTTTAAGTTTTTGCTATACACATATAAGGAAAATCAATGACCCCCGGGGCGGGCCAGTTTTGACCCCAGGGCTTTTATTTGAACATACTTGGTAGACACCCATTAGAACATGTTTCATGCTAAATATCTTAGCTCTAGCTCTTTGGGTTCTTTATAAGAAGATTTTTTAAGTTTTACTATATGCATATAGGGAAAATCAATGACCCCCGGTGCGGGGCCAATTTTGACCCAAGGGCTTTTATTTCAACAAACTTGATAGACATTCACTAGAAGATGTTTCATGCCAAATATCTAAGCTCTAGCTCTTAAGGTTCTTTAAAAGAAGATTTTTAAGTTTTTACTATATGCATATAGGGAAAAATCAATGACCCCCAGGCGGGGCCAATTTTTGACCCCAGGGCTTTTATTTGAACAAACTTGGTAGACACTCACTAGAAGATGTTTCATGCCAAATATCTTAGCTCTAGCTGTTTGGGTTCTTTAAAAGAAGATTTTTTAAGTTTTTACTATATGCATATAGGGAAAATCAATGACCCCCTGGGGGGGGACCAATTTTGACCCCAGGGTTTTTATTTGAACAAACTTGGTAGACATTCACTACAAGATGTTTCATGCCAAATATCTTAGCTCTAGCTCTTTGGGTTCTTTAAAAGAAGATTTTTTATGTTTTTACTATATGCATATAGGGAAAATCTATGACCCCCTGGGGCGGGGCCAATTTTGACCTCAGGGCTTTTATTTAAACAAACTTGGTAGACACTCATTAGAAGATGTTTCATGCCAAATATCTAAGCTCTAGCTCTTAGGGTTGTTTAAAAGAAGATATTTAAAGATTTTTCTTTTGGTTGCCATGGCAACCAGAGTTCTGCATGGAATTAAATTCTTTGAACAATTTTTAAAGGTGACCACCAAAGGAACATTCCTGTGAAGTTTGGATGAAATTGGCTCAGTGGTTTATGAGGAGATGTCATATAAAGCAAAAGTTTACGGACGGACGGACAGACGACGGACGGACGACGGACGTGAAGAAAAGCGATCACAAAAGCTCACCCTGTCACTTTGTGACAGGTGAGCTAATGAATGCAAAAGATATCAAAGCATGTGTAGACCACTGATATATGTCAATAGCTTGAAGCCCAAGAAGTAAAATGAAATTACAAATATACATATAAGTACATGTTGTTATTAATGAAACGTGCTTTTGATGTGCATAAATGCGGAAAAAATATGATTTGGTTTTAGAAATTTATAAGATATTATCTTTATGCCCACTAATTAATCATTTTAGCCATATGCCAAATTTTATTTATTTGGATACATATAATATGGCAACAAGCATGTTATAATATTTTGATAAAATTAAATTATGTATGAAATCAGAAAATCATACTGATTTGGCAAAAAGAAATTTTCAACCAGCGCTTGAATTTAAAAGACTTACCTTTCAGTCTCATTACTATTTTTGTCTATAACTCTTATTCCTATTTCAGTTGCAGTATTTGTTTGAAGAAACAAAACAATCATTTTATAGTGCCAGCTTCTAGGTTCAACTTACTACAGGTATTGTCAATGGTCGCATTTTTTTTAACTATCCATTATCAATTTTAGGAAAAAACTGAAACTGAAACTGTTTTATTTGCTTAAACGCCTATTTCTACATATAATACATATTCAATGGCAACTTGTACAATATCACATCAGAACATTAAAAGTAATAAATAAATGTAGTTTAAGAATAATAAAACAATTAATTCTAAATCTAAAATCTAAAACATGGTATCACAAATAAAAGAAAGTAATGTAATTTAAAATAATTAAAAATATGGCTATATTATTAAAGGACATGGTAAAAGACATGCAAATGTTACTTGGATAATAAATACATTGTAAAATCAGATATTCATCACAGAGTTAATGCGCAGAAAAACATTGTCTCTTAGTTTCTACACTTTACTGACTTTGACTAAAAAAGATTAAAATAGTCTCTGAAGAAATGAGTCTTCAAGTGTTTCTTGAAACTATCAACTGATGAGCATTGTCTGATATTTAATGGAAGATCATTCCAGAGTTTCGGGCCGATTGTACTGAAACTTCTGTCACTGAAAGTTTTACACTTATTAAAAGGCACTTCATAACTGTCAACTGAAAATGATGATGATCTCAGAGAACGTTTTTGAACTTTAGAGCAGGTCGGTCAAATAAGTTTGTGCATTTCCAACGTGACAGTTGTACATATATACAAGAATCTTGAATTCTAGGAGACATCAGATGAAAACCTGATTTTTAAATTCTGGTCTGGAGTAGTTAATTTTGCCAGCTTCAAATCACTCGCCGCTGTGGGTTTGAATCCAGTTACAGACTGAATCTTTTCATATAAGAAAGCTATCCTGATAGGATAACAGAAGGATGATGGTTGTACTCTGGAGCTTCCTTTTATCTGTTTGTTGTTTGGTTTGTTAACTATATACCAGCAGCTAATGTGACTAAGAGCTGTCATTGATTCAGTGCAAAGCATATTGACAATATAACGATATTAGCTTACAAATATCGACAATACACCAATTTATCGATAATATACTCTTATTTTCTTGAATGTAATACTTTTTCATACCTGTTTGTATCCTGTTTCTAAAGGACCTTTGCATGATTTTTTTCTGACTATATTTTGTCATCAATGCTATGAAATGTGTCCATTATGTAACAACAGCCTAGTGTTACATATGTCCACTTGCTTTTGTGTATGTTTTTAGTGATTTAAATAATCAAAATAATAATTTTTTTCCACTGTGTATCATTCTATTATCAACAATACATCAATATTGTCTCTATTGATGACAGCTCTAAACTTACTTATTAACAACAATGTAAGGGCTTTTTTAAAAAAAATTGTTGACAAACTGATTCTGTTTCTCACTATGAATCATTTTAACATTTACAATAATGTATGGCTGGCATGGCTGATTTTAATATTAAAATCAATTAAATTACTAATTATGAAAATAAAATTGATTGAAACAGTGTAAAGGCTAGATGGACTGCTTAGTCTGCAGAATGGCTCTTCACTGGTAGTGGCTTACATAAAAACTGTTAACATTCTAAATGGTTAAATTAGTCAAGTTTGTGTGTATTATCTGTTGCAGGGTGCGGACAATATTACAACATATACATTTAACACACATAAAGCCAAGCATACGTTTTGTAAAACATGTGGTGTTCAATGCTTTTACACTCCAAGATCAAACCCTGACGGCTTTGGTAATAAATTTCTTTCTACTTTATAATATTAATTTTGAGCAGAGCTATTTTGACAGAATTTTAGACACATTTTGACAGGCAGTTGCATAATAAGTGTTCCTTATTGGTCAGAGTGCTAAAAATATACGGCATTATATACCTTTTTATGCCCCCACAGAGTGGGAGCATATAGCGTTGCACTTGTCTGTCCGTCTGTCTGTACGTCCCGAAATCTTGTGAACGCAACTCCTCTTAAACCGGATGACAGATTTTGCTTAAACTTCCAGGGACGAACAACCTTAATATGTAGATGGTAGTAAAGGAAGGAATTTTTGCTGCGACCAAATTTAACAGAATTATGGCCCTTTGTTGATTTTTTCACTATATACTACATATGTATGTAGAAATTTTGTGAACGCAACTCCTCTTAAACCAGATGGCAGATTTTGCTTAAACTTGCAGGGATGAACAACCTTAATGTGTAGATGGTAGTAAAGGAAGGAATTTTTGCTGGGACCAAATTTAACAGAATTATGGCCCTTTGTTGATTTTTTCACTATATACTATGTAGAAATTTTGTGAATGCAACTCCTCTTAAACCGGATGGCAGAATTTGCTTAAACTTCCAGGGATGAACAACCTTAATGTGTAGATGGTAGTAAAGGAAGGAATTTTTGCTGCGACCAAATTTAACAGAATTATGGCCCTTTGTTAATTTTTAGTTTTCAACTTGTGGCACATGTAGTCCAAAAAATATTTGACCTAGAGTCATAAGATTGACAGAACAGTGGCGTGTGGGGGCATCCGTGTCCTAGGGACACATTTCTAGTTTTCACTATAACTACAAAATGATACAGAGTTTTATTGCTTTTCTTGTTGTAAAGTACATATACCACAGTGTCATGATCTTTAGAATTTCTAGATGTTGATATGTTTGAGGATCTATTTTAAGGAAAGCTGCAGGACAGATATTCTTAGAATTCTGTCTCTTCCAAGTCTTACTTTAGAAAATCTGGAAAAAAAAACTTTGCTAAACTGATAACATTACATGATCATTATCAATTTAAATGTTTATAATACAGAATAAAAAAACCTGAAATATTTTAGCTCTACTTACAAATGACAAATTTCTATTTCCATCGAAATTCAGTGATCGGTATTGCTATATGTAGTGCGTTATTTTCACAATAGGTAGTGTTTTGTTTATTGTTTGGTTAAAAATAATTTTGTTTAAAAATTTGCATTTCTTATGTTTCTTTTAAAGGTTTTGTCAGTGCAGAGAATACATGTTATATATAATTGTTAAATAGTTGTTGTTGCTGTTGTTGTTTAAATTGCATTTAAAGTGTGTTTGTTTCTTTTGTAGGGGTTACTCCACATAGCCTGGACCCGGGAACAGTTACATCTATACATGTAGAAAGATTTGACGGACAAAACTGGGAGACTCATATTGGTACCACAGATATACATAAACGTTCTCAGGAATAAAACTTCAACATCAGATTCTGTAGTGTATTCAACTTACAATTTAAATTATAAATACCTGGCATATCGAAAAGATAAAAGGTAGACATGATTGTACCTGACATGCATACAGACGGACAAAAATACTCTGGATGGCAATCACTTTAGTGAAGTTTTTATTCAAACCAGATTAAGTTCAGGTTGTGGTGATGATGTACTGACGATATTGAACTCACAGTTTATAAAAACTTAGTGTACTTCCTGTTATCACAAGAAAGGTTCTAGTTGAAATATGTAGGCTCCCAAGAAAGGTACAGTGATCGGAACTAACATGTGCTTGTAATTGCGAGACAGGGTACACATTGAACTGTAAAGGCTCGCAAGACAGGATACAGTGATTTTGTTGATATACTGTGGAACAAAGCTATCATTATATGCCTATCTTTGGAGGTTTTTAAAAAAAGAGAAATATACCTTATATTTTATCATCTTTATTTTTTTCAAATCTTACAGCTTTTATTGAAAAAAAAAATGAGCATGTCATCCACTAAGATGAGTAATTCCATGATGTGCAAAAATGTGTTCCCCTATATTTCCCTTCATACATAGAAATTATATATATAATGTATAAACTAAAGTATTTACAATAAATATACATGTACACAAAAAAAAACATCAGCAAAATTGATAATACATAATATTGATTCATGCATGTCTTTGAATTATGCTTGTATGAGTAAAATGTAATAATATTAAATTTTTATGTCTAAACTTTAATGTTGAATTTTTTATTTTTAAACTGAAATGTTTAAGCTTGAATAAATAACAAGGTGATGTAAGTGATACACAACAATGCAACTATCCAGGTATATATGTGGGGAATCTGTCTACAGGGCTGATTGGAAAATCCTTGTGAGCAAATATACCGTAATAACATTGTCAACAAAAAAGAAAGTTTATAATTACATTTGGCAAACTGTTTCAGTAAATTAAATGTACAAAGTCTACACTGGTGGCATCATGCAGTTTGATCAAATATTCTTGCATAAAATTTGTGCACAAAGATTTAAATTAACATAGAAGAAAACATGCATTGCGGGTATAATAATCGAAGCAAGTTTTTTATAATATTTATGACTCGGGCGCCATATAAAAATATCTTACTGCAATGCATGCCCTCGTAGTTTCATTATCGAAACAGCACTGTCAATTGACATCACACTAGCTCATGGAAAGCATGACAAAATAAATGCCTGATTTAAAAAAAACACCAGATAACGTAGAACTGAATTATTGAATTAGATATGTAATTCTATGCAAGAATAGCATTAATTCACCTTTTCTCATGCAATAAAATCTGCAGAAATTCTCTGACTTATAAAGTCCCTTGTCCTGTGGGCTGTGGCTTCATGCTTCTGCAGATGTTAATGCACAAAAAAGGTATGCATTAACCCTTGGTTATTTTTGATGCAGGAAAAAATATTATTATAGTACCATTACTATACATTTCCTCCTACACACGGCGAGTGTGGCAGCTTCTAGTCCTATAACAAAAATAAATAGAAATATAAATCTAGTGTACAAAGGTAATTACTCTATGATGTTAAATGTAGGTTCAGTCTAAATTAAGTCACAGTTTCATGTCTGGAAATTAATTTTATTTTAGACTTAAATTTATTTGACCCACTTACCTATGACATGCCATCAACCTTAACCATATATAATTTTGTACATGCTGTTTGGAAAGCAGATTTGCAATAAACTAAAATGACCATAACAAACTTGCATTCAAGCAGGGAAAGGGGGTAATAGTTACATAAAGTTTTATGGTTTTATAAATTTCAAAAACATTTACATACCTTAACACTTAACTTGCTAAGTTTGTGTAATGGATCTTTCCTGCTTTGAATTTGGAACAGTCCATTAAAAAATTCCGGGGATTTCAATATCAAAATACAAGAAGTCAGCCACCAACATTATAGAGCCTAGTCGGACTGCACAAAAGTGCAGGCTGTCTGGCTCTATACTGGTGGCAAAAGGTTACTTACTTTTTGTTTCAACAGATTAAGGGTTAAGATAGTTAAAAAATGTATTATAATAATCATATATGACTTATTTACATATATACAAAGTAACTTTTTTGATACGACTGTGTACAGCAATAAATTATTTTTTTTCAACAATATATATAATGATTTACATGATTTACATGTTTATATAATTATAGTCTTATTTTACAAATTTATATCACAAATATATATAAACAATTGTTAAACCAGCTAATAACACTATGTCACTTAAAGAGACTCTTTTGAATCAATGTGTTCTTATGATGAAAAAAAATAAAATTAATAAACACCTCAGTATCTCATTGATTCATAATATCAGGCTGAGGGTGGTACTAGAGTAAGCTCCCTTTTTTACAGGATGTTGTATATTGTTACCTCCCCTGAACATTATAGACACTTATATATTTCAATTGTTGTTAAGGAATTTCTCATATCTATTTTCTTAAAAACAAATAATTGTAGTTTTCGTGAAAAAAAAAGCATCAGGCAGTAATATAGTGAATCTTAATATTTTTTATATTATAAAAATAGCCTTATCACATTAAAACTATAGCACAATAAAATCAAAGCACAAAGTAAGTTAAAATATGAGCCCCAGATCTGACTGGATAATTTTATTAATCCTTAGCCTGCTACAGTAACAAAATCTACCCATGCCACCAGTGCAGACCAAGGTTAGCAATCTGATCATGGTCTGCACTGTTGGCTGCTCAGTCAGTATGTATTGTGTTATGTTCCCTAAAATGATGAATGGACTTGTCCATGTTTGAAAGATGGACAAGTCCATTTAAGATATTTAGGGTGGTAAGGTTTAATATGATTTTTTTGTAGTCTGAAACAGGTTCTATTTGAAAGACCCTGACAAGAAGTGAATTATCTCCCTACATCTGAAAGAAATTAATATTTTTTTATACATGGAAAAAAATGTCTTACGTAAAAATAACATTTATCAGTTGGTCTCTTAGATATTTCTACATGGTTAAAGATTTTTCCTCCTCTCTCTGTTTAAATTATAGATAATCATGAGCCTCAATTATAATGATAGTAAACTGAGAGTGACATTATATAGTTACATATACAGTGATTTTTTTTCAATTTTCAGAACAACTAGTGGCTTTCTGGAGTGTAGAATGTAGCACAATAAATCAGAAAATTCTAACAACTCTGAGATAGAATTTACCTGCACATTTAATTAAATTTTCAAATTCAATTTAATATGCATGGTACATAGCAGAGACTGTCTATAGGTACAGCTTTCCGTCTTTCAGTCAATTAAATGTATCAGCTGCTGTTAAGTCATGGCTTTAGTGAAGAATATGCACAAGGCATTTTAGGGGAAAATATAGCTATTATGAGTTAGGGGAAACAGCCTTTATTCAGCTGTAAAATATAGGAAAAATATCACTGTCAGATATTTCTAAAAGAGAAAATTAATTAATTTTATACATACATAAAAAAATGTTGAACAAAAATAAAGCAAATCATAATATCACAATATATCCAACAAGGCCCAGAGAATAATCCTACTTATCTCTCCAGAGAAAGCTACCCATGATTTCTCCCATAAACAAAAAAATATCCTAAAAAAGCAAATAAAGGAAACAATCTCAACAGCACAAGTACCTTACACAATTTTTTCTTTCTTCAATTACTCCAATGTATGTATTTTCAAAAATAAACTTGAATGTTTAAAGGAACTCCACTGAAGTCCAAAAGCCGAAATACATAAAATTTGAATTTCTTACATATATCAACTTGGCCACTTAAAACATAAATATATGCAACAGATAAAAGATATTCTCTGAATTAATTTAATACATTTGATCAATTCTTAGCCCAATTTGAGTTAAAAGTATTTAAACTCCTTTCATATTTGGGCCATATTTAACAAAATGAGTATACTGGAAAAACAGATCGAGCCAATGATCTAAAATTTTACACACTACATTGTAGTTATTGGCCTAGACTTACATCAAATAAAAATGATTCCAGTCATACTGAAAAACCTCATTGTAGTCACATTAATATCACATACACTTTCATGCCATTTTTTGTTTTGTCATGGATCACACTATGTGATTTAATGCATGTGTTTTTGGTCTATTTACCCTCACTGCCAGAAAAGAACCATATGAACTGTGATTAATAAGTAGCATGAACAAAATCTATATAAGGCTTTAGCACACCAATATCTTAACTTTTAAGTTAAACTTTGTCCTGTTGAATTTCTACAAGGGGATTTTAAAACTAAGTAATTTCACAGATATGTTTGATATTCAAATCAAGCAGCCATCCGTATAGACTGAGATTAATTCTTTCATTACAGCTTCATTTGTAGGTACAGTCCAATATGACAAATGAGAACTGTTTCAGCAGCTACAAAAACTCTAAATTTCTCATTTACATACACTTAGCCAAAAACAGAAACTTATAATTATGTGCTCCACAAAATTTGGTGTTAATACTGTAGTCCTTTTCTGTTTTCATCACATAAAGAATTTAAATTACCTATAAATACAAAACTAGCTTTTTGATCATCAGCAAATCCAAGTTAATGTTAAATATTTTGGTAAAATAACTTATGATAAAAAAATAATTTTAAGAAAAAATATATTATTGAATGGTAGTACACTTTTGTCCAGGATACAAAGAATTAGGTTTAGTTGAGCTTTCAATTTTTCATATACCAAACTTAACATTATATTATCAATTATTTCAGGTTTATTTTGAATCACATACATGTATTTACATTTACACGAACATATGTTCTTGTAAACTCAAACAAATGTTTACATAACTATACAAACACACATGTTCACATATTTCATGTACACAAACAAATGTTTACTTACACACCGAAATACATGTATGTTTCTTTATTCAATAAAACCTAAATTACAATCACAGTTACATCTACACAAACATATGCTTGCATATACAATAAAACCTACAGATTAAACATCACACGTTTATATACACATGCATATATATATGCAAACATATGTTTACACACACAATCACAAGTATACATAGAATTGGAATGAGAGCGTCCCTCAATGTAAGATACACGATCAATGAAACATGTACAATAAGAGCACAATAATACACGTTGCTATCACACTGGCTAAAATTATAGAGTCACGACGTTTACGTATGTTGATACGCTGCATAAGGCTGTTTATCAGTGGAAAACGATCTGAAAAATCTTGTTAAGAAAAATATTTGATATTCATCATTAACTGTGGTCAACACATGGTCATATACCATTGTACAATATTTTGTATTTTCCTAGGCAATCAATGGTTCTATAATATTAAATATTGTAATATTTGTAAAGACATGCAAGGAGTTCAAGCAAATAATAATAATAGAATAATAATAACGTTGATGAGACATGAGGTCCTAAAGTTTTGATAAAAACATTAAACAGTGTTTCAATGGCAATGATGAACGGGTAAATAGGATAGCCCCGTTATTCTTCAAATAGTCAAGCTACAAGTGATTTGTACTGATGCCATTCTTTATTAACTAGCCAGGAATTTAAATGTACCTGATACCATTGCAAAGAAAATATCTGTAAAATTTTGCAACTAACAAAAACATAAACAAAGTCATTTTCTAACATATATTTCATTATTGTAAATTTAGTGGATTTTGTCAAAGATATGTTCGAAATATTATATAAAGTAAAATATGTTATTAACAGTGAATTGACTTGCGACTGGCTACCAGAAATAATAATCTTTTAAATGAACACCTTTTAAAAATGTTAATGATATACTTTATTTCATTATAACCGATAAGTTGAGCTAAAGATTTATTTTCAAGGAAAGGATACTAGCTAAGTTGTTCATTTTCTGTGTTATACCAGACAACGACTTCTTCTGTGATTCTAAACTCTCCTTTGTTGCTATAGCAACACTGAAATATACAAGATACTTGTTAATTGTAAACATTTCTTCAAACCAGAACTATCTGATAAAACATATTTAAGACGGAAAGAACCATGATTTTTTTACAAGCTATCATTGGTTAATCTTTGTCATTATAGAAGCAAAACTTACTGCAATCTTAAATAGTGTTTGTGAGTGTAATAGGTTTTGAAAAATTTATTTTCTTCATTGATAGTTGGTAAATGGCTATCTATCATAAATGAAAATGTTCAATTATTTTACACACAAGAAGCAAAATTTATAAAGTGCGTTATCAACGACGTAAAGTTAGTCAGTTCAAAGAATCTGATACAATATTTATCTATGTGCTCATGGAGAAAAAGAGGGATGCATACCAACCTTCTTTACATTCTCAAGAAGGCACCAATATTGTTGCTTAATCTTGTATTTTAATTTGAAATCCTTTATTAATGGATTGCTCTGAATTCAAAGCAGGATTTGTCCATTAAATAAATTAAGGCAGTTTACATGTACCTGGATACAGGAACACTATTTCTTGTTCTATATAATATACATTATGTATGATTTGAAATTTGTAAATCATGCAAACAAACGCTTTTTATATTTGTAAATAACACAAATCTACTAGCTTAATTGTATAGCAAGAAAAAATATGAGTTAACATGTTAGATTTTTTCTGGTCCTTACCTTATTTGGTCATCTACAAGTCTTTCTGAACTGTAAAATACAAAATTAAAAAAAATTATTACAGTGAAATTTGAGAAAACCAGACGCTGAGAAAATCGGAACTCTCTAAATACCGGACGAATAATTGAGTCCCAAATTTTCCCTTCTTTAAACTATTGTATTAAACATTGACAATACCGGAATCTGTAAAAACCGAATATCGGACGGTTGATAGGGGACTACAAAGTCAATTATATAGATAATTACCCTGACAATACCGGACAACGAAGGTGTGAATAACCTTGTGTACGTGTCTAATACGCTAACTGAGAGGAAGCAGAACAATGATTGTCTGATTTGTTTAATTATGTCTCATTTCACAGTTTGAATTATTTTTAGGTATAGATGTTACCGTTTTATATAAATGCCAAAATGCACGAGGCATTGATAAGTTAAAATCAGTTGACGAGAACTGTCCATAAGTGACAAATTTAAATTAATTAAAGACAGAGAAACTTTGCCAAGACCTACTTTAAAAATCTTTATCTGACAAATGTGTTATAGGTGGGGCATTATTATGAACAAACTAGGTAAACTACATGTATGTTTGTTAAATTATTATCCATTACCCAAATGTAAACATATGCGGGTGTAATCGGACTTAATCGTTATGAGGTAACTGCTGTTCGTTTAAATCCAAAATTTTATTGTATTTATATGCAAGAATTGGGACAAAAACAATTAAAACATATTGTATAGTATTTTTATCATTTCTTTATTTAGCAATATACTTTCTCATAATCATGAAAATGCAAATATACGTTCAGCATCCTTTGTAAGTCATTGCTCGGTTTATATGATCATGAACAGCTGAAGGGGACATTGAGAATACCGGACCGCTGAGAAAACCGGACAAAACTCTCGGTCCGAGAGCCGTCCGGTTTTCTCAACTTTCACTGTACCATGTTTTACAAAAGCAGAATATATCAATTCCACAATCACAAACATTTCTAGAGTTTTAACTTGTAACCTTTAAAGCTAAATGCCTCCAGATGAGTCAAAATATTTTCTAGAGTTTTAACTTGTAACCTTTAAAGCTAAATGCCTCCAGATGAGTCAAAATATTTCATAAAAATCAGACTTGAGAAAAATGTACAGTATTTAGATTTCAAAAGAAGTTTCAAGAAATAATTTACATGTTATGTGCCATGAATGACTGATTTTTCAGTATTAATCACTATTTCTCTACTGTGTGACTAATGCAGTAATGATTATTTTTGCATATTTTGACCTTTGGTAACTTACGTGGACTGAAATTCCTGTTTGCAATGTATCAATTACTTTTTATGTAAACAACACAGTCTTTTAGTTTTAATTATGTTTTCAAATTTTTCATAAACATTAGCATGAACCTGGAGGCATGCTGCTGGAGGCATGCTGCTTGAAAAAAAACTGAACATTTTTAAAATAAGTATATTCAAATGAAGTTTAATTCAAGTTTATCTCTGGTATTACAGCTTTAATATTTGTTAATCATCAATGAACTGCATAAAGACAATAAACTAGGTTATCAACAATATTACATAATGTCCATTCTGTATCATAAATTAACAACCATAATTGTGTTTTCATTACAATATTACCATACTGTTTCTATTAAATGTCAGCCCCTCTAATGTGCCCCAAAACATATTTTGTAGAAGAAAAAAATCTAAAATTATTGATTTATAATCCATAATTGAAGAGAATATTTCTTTTTAAAAAATATCAATTAATGACACTCCAGTAATGTAAAATCATTAACAAAATAATCCCCTATTATATATCAGATCATAAGAATGAATTATGATTTTTATAATTGATCTGCATCTTTAATAAACATATTTTAAAGCACACTTTTACAGTTCTAATAAGCCCGCAGGCTATGGGCATTAAATGGAAACAATTACAGTATGTATTTTATGTTTCAGCAACATTTTATATTTCAACAAGACAAGAGACAGGATGGGCATCTTGTCATCATAACAAACATGTCATCAAGAAAACATGTATTTTACATTATATATTTTTCTATTTGTTTTATTTAGAATGATCTAAGGGAGACGATCTAGTTATCACCCCTTTCTTCATAGATATACTATATGTAGCGTGTTATATTATTAATGTAACAATCTGTCCTGTATCAGCGCTACATTTGAATGGTAACTTTGTGGAAAACCTCAGTCCATAGAGTATGATGATTCATGGCGATGACAACTTCATATTTCAATGTCTAGTCACAAAGTTAAATCTTATAATATTGTGACAACACAAAACTTAAGTTAGAAGTGAAATTAGTTAATCACTTACTTTCTGATATGTTCATTTTCTTTAAGATACAGATCTGTTCTCCTGTTTAAACCAGATGAATTTTTGTAAGCACTGCAAGAAAAAGTTCAAAATAATCATACTACCTTGAGAATACAAAGTGAAACATCTTTTTCTATTTAAATCAGACAATATTAATTTTGATAATATGAATTACATAATTTGGTCAATTCAGTAATGCAAGAATGTAAAATTAAATGTATCTTTCATTCAAAAGGTAACTGGATAGCTTCCTCACATGCACAAAAAGCAAAGTCAGAAGAAGTCCTTGATACTGACAGGATTTAACCTGGAGTGGTACAGAACAAGAATGTCTATTTTTGATCAACTAAACTAATACATGTATAATACGTATTTTCAATAATATGTATTTTCAATAAAATTAAAAACTGCAGAACAAAATCTATTTAAACTGATGACCCTTCTTTCTATACATACTTAATATCTCTCCTGACAGAGCCGAGTAAATCTTCACGTTCTCTAATAGCATTAATGTTTGACTTTGTTTTCTGAAACTCCTGGCTGTAATCCTGTAATATATCTCTATGACGTTGTAGTGTATGTAATAGTGCAGCACTTGGTGATGCCTGACTGATGTTCTGTGTGAATTCTGCCATACGATCATTTACCTCCGTTAGCTTGAATTATATCAATTCATATAAACAATATGTTTTATCATTATTAGAAATATATCATTTCATATAGACAAGAATTTTAATAATTCTCAGACATATATCACTTTATATAAACAATATGTTCAATCATCCTCAGAAATATATCACTTCATGTAAACAATCTGATTAATCATTCTCTAGAACATCCCAAAGTGCATCATCACCAACATGCCACAATGTTTCTAATACTGTAGCCCAAGTTTATTTGCGACAAATCAAGTTAATTAGGTTTAATTGAACCTCTGTCAACAATCAACATTTAGTTTGGACTGATCTATATAATCAGTGTATTTATACAGGATGGTGTTGTACAACAATTTACCTTTGACAGAAGTTGTTCTATCTCCATCTCCATAGTTTCAAACATATGCTCGCTTCCACCTTTGTTAAGTAAAGGTGACTTGTCACTGTAATGTATACAAACATAATTCTACATAACCTCTAAACAAAACACCACATGTTATCATGCCTGCTGGTCACTAAATATTGATGAAAAACAATTTTATTAACATTTCAGATATGTTAACCAAAAACAAAAATTTAAAAGTGGTTTCACATCAAAGTTCCTTGTATCACAAATCCATAGTCTTTTCTTTCATATTTAAATACAGCTATCCACTTTGCCAGGTATTTTCTTTTAAAATTGATTTGTGATTTAACCATTCAAATACATTGTACATGTATCATGTCACATATCAACACTGTTAAGGTCATATGGTGCACCTTTTATAGATGATGCCATCACATCAGGCACAAAACAGCACCTGAGTACAGTCAATCATCTCTGCTGCCAAGCTTTCAAATACAAAAGTACAGAAAGTTTATGGCATATCTGAACCCACAGTAGTGAAGATTTCACAAGTGTCTTACAGTCAGACAATTGTTTTTTGTTTTTTTAAGGTGACAACGGAGTCAATTATCACTGAAAATACCTAAAATGAGATTTTTTGCTAAGTAGATTTATCAACCTTTTCTGAACACATTCGTGATTTAATTTTGGAAGCAGTTAATCCAACAAGAGCTGTCCGTAAGACAGCGCGCTCGACTTTTTTATTGCTTGCCAATAAAAAAAGTTTTTGCAGTAAAAGGCAATACAAGAATCTCTGTATTTTTAAAGTGAACAATGGCCATGAGCATTAAGATATTTAGTGAAGAATTATTTTATTATGACATAATTTATGGTAAAGTGAACAAGTGGATAGGAATGAATTTTTTTAGATTTTTTAAGTTTTTTAGTGCTTGCCTATAATACAAAACATTGACAGTTAAGGGCCATAATTCAAATAAAATCTTTGACAGAATTACCTTCTCCTGGACATGTTTGGGAATCATGATTGTAAACAAGTATTCCAACTTTCAAATTAATATCTCAAACAGTTCAGTCAAAAAGTGGACTGGTACTAAAAACTTAACCAAGATTCTAAGTCGATAAAAGGCCTTAATTTTTAAAACAAATCCTTGACAGAGTTACCTTCTCTTGCGTACAGATGGGGGTAATGATGTGAAATAGCATTAAAAGTTTCAAAGCAATATCTCAAAGGGTTAAGGCAATAAGTGGATTTTACCCATATTCAATGTATTTTCTAAGTCAAAAAGGGGCATAATTCTGTCAAAAACCTTGACAGAGTTATGTCCTCTTGTCTGTTGATGAAGGTCGTGATGGTAAACAAGTATGGTCAGTTTCAAAGCAATACCTCCAATGGTTTTGAAATAAAGTGAGGTGGTACAAAAAACTTAACCAAGCTCAATACACTTTCTAAGTCAAAAAAGGGCCATAATTCTGTCAAAAACCTTGACGGAGTTATGTACTCTTGTCTGTAGATGGAGGTTATGATGGTGAACAAGTATGGTAAGTTTCAAAGCCATACTTGTAATACTTCTGAAATAAAGTGGGGTGGTACGAAAAACTTAACCAAGGTGTGACGCCAACGCCAACGCCGACGCCGACGCCGGGGCGAGTAGGATAGCTCCCCTTTTCATAGAAAAGTCGAGCTAAAAAATGTGTTTTTAAACGTTTTAAAACGGTACCTATACTATTTGTAACTGCTACTCGCGTAACCTGTCGATTATCGATAACGCTCCGCCCCCTGTTGAGGCATCAATGAGGGAAATCGGTAGTTCCATATATCCGTGAATTACAGGTCCATACTTCTCGTAATACATGTATCGTACAACTACCGTACATCTTTTATGAATATCTCAACATTTAGCCTTTTTTATAAATTAAGAAATTGTCGGCCAATGTACGTAACATAAATAATTAAGCATAGCGGCAAATCGCACAACCACGGGGTTGAATAAAAATGTAGTTGCTAAAATATCCATAATGTGTGAAAATAATTTGTCTGTCCCGTTAATCTGATACATATTACATTGAGTTGATAGACTTTTGTACGGATTCAAGGGCTTACTTTACATTCAACCCCGTTTTCTATCAATGTCGAGTAAAACAACAACAAAAACAGACAACATTTTTATGTGAACGCCTATATGACTTGTGGTAAGGTGTACCTGACAAATTTCTGAACCATTTTAGATTGTCTAAGGATGATTATTTCTCTATGAATAAAAAAAAGATATTAAAATATATTTTCAGTGAAAATAAATTGTTCGCCAGTAAATCGGACACAGTACTAATAAATCTGGGACAAAGAATGAAATTTATTGTCTATCCCGGTGGAAACTGGATCTCTATGCCGTGCATAGATGATATTCATAATAGAAGTCAAGAAGGCCATATCATAATGATCGAGTAATACCTTTTATTTCTATTAAAATATGTGAAGCATTATCAATTTGGTGGAAAAAATATATAATATCCTGTTCTTATTTGTACATCTACCATGGACTTTAAAAGACTGTCAGAAGCTCAGTTTTTTGTTATTTTATTTTATATTTTAACGGAATTTCATACACGAATACACAGGCAGAGTGACACTGGTATAATACAATAATAATGCTGATGATAATAATAATAAACTTCAAAAAGGAAACAATTAAATACCCCGCTAGCGGTGCGCAAATGCGTTCCATTTCCCCCCACTGAGTGCCTCAAATTTTACCGATAGTCACATGACATGTGCGAAAGATACCAGACGAACAGTAAATCACGTTAAGAATTGAAGAAATTTCGGCTATAAACTGATATTAATCAGCAGCTTTTTAATTGGTCAGATGTCACTGGGTCATAAAATGTTGTTAGAGTATGTTACCGCAACTTGTGACCCTCTCTGGTGCGATATTTGTGTATTATGCAATTATTTAGCGTGAAACGTAGGGGTCCGAGAGAGAACAGCCGATTTATGACACTTCGTTTGATGCGGGTCGGACTAACTTTGAATCGGCATAACTTTTTTAATAATCAAGCAATTAACATGCGGTTTAAAGCACATGAAAGGAAATTCATTTACGGAGGGAACCGTGTCAGGGATTTTTGTTTGCTCAATCAGCGACTTAATTATCTTTAATTACGTAATATGTATGGTGAAAAAAGTCGCATAAAATGTTTGACGTTACGTAATATTTTTTTGAGAAAAGATAGAAAAAATTTGAGACACGGTTCCCCAGATAATATAAGTAAGGTTATTTTCCAAAAGTTTGATGACAAAAAAATAAAAAATGACTTTGATATGACGATTTAAAATTTTAGGATTTTTATTCAAAATCAATCATTTACAAAAGCATTTTTTTCAAATATGTTATTTTTTATGCTGATCAGCGACATTTAATGCATAAAGATTAAATAAATAACAATTATTACTAAAATAACTTGGTTTAAATTACATTTATGTGAGTACCACGGAAAGTGTCTGTTGTCACCTTAAGTTAGGTTTTACATAGCACTTAACAAAGTAAAGATCAGGCTTTACTGGCTGAGGAAGACCTCAGGTGTCTGTTATATTTAGATTTTTTTACACATACATATAGCTACTTAGAAAAAGTGCTGCCAGAAGAGTTTTTTTGCACAAAAGAAAATTACCTGAAATTATCCGAGAAGGAATAATTTGTGCCAAGTTTGCTAAACGATATAAGTTTGAGATCAATCTCATTTTCAAGCTGTCTGGCCTGTTTTCTATAATCTGAAAACAATAAAGAATAAACATTACTGGAAACATATTAATTTTGTAAACGCACCTGATGTGTAAACAAGTTTTCAAATTCCATATTACCCTTTGTCATTATTTTCATTAGTAATTTAGTTGTGTTTAAATCACACTAACAATGTATAGCAATATTACATTTTTGCAAGTGGAAGCAAAGTCTTCCAAAATATAATACTTTTCCTCCTTTACTTAATATATAATGTTTCTTCCAATGTCAGACATTTTGCAGTCCCAGACTTCCAAAGTTTGGAACTTAATGGTATAGCCCCTGAGGAGAATATAAAGAAAACACTGACAGGCGATTCGTAGGAAGAGACCTGAATTATTGGCAGATGGTCCAATACTTTTACATGACAAAGCAACATTGGCATGTATGGTATGATGTCATTGCTAAAGCTTTATGAGTGGCAAACCATGTACCACCCCTCTTATTCCCCAGACATAAGTCATGTGACTTTGACCTTTGACTTTTTTTCCAAAACTGAAGGATGACATGAGGGGTATTTGTTATAACGGTTTAGAGGAACGTGAATTTGCTTGAGAGAATGCTTGCTAAGCAACAGACATAGATGACCTGCCAAAGAGGTGGAAATTTTCGAAGTCTGTCTGTGCCTGAAAGGGCAAATGGACCCTTATTAAACTTAGAACACACAAAAGTATGTCATTGATCACAAGGGAAGCCAAAGGCTGGGCTACAGACTACATGTGTATATTTAAAAGAAAATCAAATAAAAAAGAATGAAAAATATATAGAATTCTAAACCTATCAATTAAATTTTCAGTGTCAGTTCTAGTAAGGTGCCGCCATTTACAATGTAACTCAATGATAAAAGACGGTGTATTCTGATAACGGAACAAATCTCAACTTTTCAGATTAATAATAAACGTTGAGTGTTCCGAGGGAAGACAGAAGCAGTGCATGAAATGCCGAATGACACCTTTAAAACCGAAAAAAATGACAGGAATTTTTAACGACTTACACGTTCATATGCTTTGCTTAATTTCATATTATTTATAATCGTTACTATAATTCTTATCAATGAAATGCAGGTTTATTTTCTGATTTTGTACATCATTCTTTCACTGGAAGTGTTACTTCGCATGCGTCTGCTAGCAATAGTCTGAATTATGTAGATGCTCATTAAAAGCGCTCTGACTCAAAAGGATTTCAAAATGGCGGCACCCAGTTAACTAAGGATTTTTTCACAGCTCATTAGGTATACGATATATATTTTTTTTGAAATTTTCATGTAGTTTAAATTTGATTTCATTTGAATTGATACCCGCCATACATGTTATCTAATAGCGCCACAGCCCTCAGACTTTCCCCCTATTAAAGTAATACGGGGAAGTCAAAGGCCGGGACCGCGAAGCGGGCCCGGGCTTTGGCTTGCCCGGCTATAGACTACACGTGTATATTTAAAAGAAAAACAAATAAAAATCAATTAAAAAATATATAGAATTCTATACCTATCAATGAAATTTTCAGTGTCAGTTTTAGTTGGGCGCCGCCATTTACAATGTAACTCAACGATAAATGGTGAGGTATTCCAATAACAGGCAATCGCAACTTTTCGGATTAATAATAATCATCGAGTGTTCCGAGTGAAAACGGAAGTGGTGCATGAAATACCAAATGACACATTTAAAACGGAAAAATAAATGATTTTTTAACTGACTTCCCCATTCATAGGCTTTGCCTAATTTCATATTAAAGAGCTGATTTTCAATCAATCAAATTGAAAAAAAAAAGTTGATATCGACTAGACTTGTTTTTAAAGAAATTTTCATTGTGTCAATAACATTTCTTATCAAAGAAAAGCATATTAAAACATGTTGTGTATAAAATAATCGCATAACCACATTACTATATACATTAAACTCGACAAAAATATAGACAAGTCTATCCGAATATTTTTTATCCGAAAAAGGTGCAGTGACAAAAACAAAAGGCTGTCAAAATCAAAACGTTCAGGTAGACAATGGCACAGCGAATAACGGTTTGGTTTTCTCCTGCTTACAAGAAATGTTATCAGGGCATCAGATCAAAGCTTGGTTAATGACAGTTATGATTAGACAACCGTGTAATTACAAGAAATGTTTGTTTACCTTCCCATAGATTCCCCATGTCGGCCATATTAGAATACACGGTGTCAAAATCTCGTAACACGTTAATTGAACTGCCTGTATGTGATTTATTTAGCTAACGTGATCTAAAATTCAGTCATTTTAATTTTGTTATGCTAAAATCTATTACCGATTCATTTCTGTTTTTAAAATGAAAAAATAAAACCAATATTGAACTGGAAGCTTTTTTTCTTCACGACTACAATTTACAAGAATCGATGTCATCTCCATATATTTTTTGTCCGAGCATGAATAAACTCACCTCTCATTTTATTTTCGTCACCTATTGAGCTAATTACAATATTACGTGTCTCATGTTCCATCACTATGAATAGTTTACTTTTTTATATTGCGTGTTTTGTGATGTTAAATCGATAAAGAAAATCAAAAGAGAAAGCAACAGCTGTGTATAAAATCTATGAAAATTCAATCGATTTATTCAGGGTAAAATACATAAACACATAATATTGTCACATATCAACATGCACTTACATCTACATCATACTGCTTCTAAATCGTTAACGATTACACTTAGCAGGCGCGTTTTCTGGGAACAAATGTGTTTAAATGCAAATAATTTATTTATAGGTATAAGATAAAAGCAAGACTGAGATAAAAAGTTTAAAGCAGAACTGGTAAAAAGGATGCAGCTGCCCAGTAAAGAGGTCTAAACTTGGACTTGCTTGTAAGGACACGGGTAGGCCATTCCACAGACGAATACTTCTGGGGGAAAATGAATAGGAGTGGTATTATGTCCAAGTTGAGTATGGTATTACAGTAGTTCAGATTTCTAGTGGGTGTCAGATGGTGATGGTCGACCCTCGCAAGATTGTGTTGGATTTTGTAGAGTAGGTTAACAGAGCTGATGTTGCGCCTCTGCTCTAGAGTTTGCCAATTAAGTTCACTTAACATTTTAGATACACTAGCTACTGGTGTAATTATACTTAATAGTCGTTGTACACATATCTGGCAGCTTACCTTTGAACTTGTTCTATTTTGTAAATCAGATATTTAGCCAAGGATGCCAAACCGTGGAACAGTATTCTAACTGGGGCCTTTCATAGGTTTGAAGGCAGCTTCTTTAACCTTTTTGTTTGACGTTTTGACATTTCTTTTTATAAATCTGAGTGAATTATTTGCTTTTGCTGTTATGCTGTTTATATGATTGGTCCAAGATAGATCTTTACTAATTGTTACAAGCCTCAATGGATTTTAGTTGTTTATCATGTAAATTGGAAATTCCGAATGCTACTGGATATTTTTTGCGGCTGATATAAGGCCTTCACATTTATATGGGTTAAAATCCATGGACCAATCAGATTCCCAGTTTTCAAGACTGTTGAGATCTTTTCGGAGGTTTGTGCATCTGGGTTAGTTTAAACTTTATTGATTCAATAAATTGTACATAAATGACATTTACAAACATTGCACAACAATGTAATTCAGACTGGATTGGAAAACAAGTAAAACAATACTTATATCAATTCCTCTCCAGTAAAAGTAATTTTCAAGATAAAGATACAAAAATGTTGCGGTTAGATGTAAGCTCTTTGAATGTACAACAAAGAATAAGTGAATAATAGATTGTTGAATTATCACTATAGAAAATCTAAAGTAAATTATGGTGAAATGCTAAAAGAAAGGAAGAATATAAGGAAAGGTATGATTGAATATATATATCGGAGTTTAACAATTAAGACTAACATGTAAGGAAATATGAGCGTACGGAAAGACCAAGTTTATTCACACTGATAGTAATTCTTACAAAAAAAAAAAGCGCTTCGATTGTGTAATAAATTTTTGGACATTCTGAAAGAGGGTTTTGTTTTCATCAGAAGAGAGATGTTCGTTGCCGTAAAGAAGATTATACTGTAGCCGGACAATTTAAATTAGTGAGAAATCTTTCGCGTATATTTCTGTATTTGGTACATTGCAATAAGAAGTGAGATACAGTTTCTCTCATTCCACATGTGCATGTTGGACTTTCCACAATAGACCTTCTGAACAGATCCTCATTCAATGAACTACATCCTAATCTTAATCTTGTGTAAAGGATTTGATCTTTACGTGTGCCTGTATTATAGTAAGACGGTGGTCTTTTGATATTCGGGGTTATTTTGGACTTGAATATGTTTAAAGTTGGACTAGATCGAATAGTTTCAGGAAGAGAATTCCAGGTGCGAATAGTAGAAGGTAAAAATGATTTTGAGTATAAAAGTGTTCTGGTTGGAACTGGAGTTAAATCGTCAATATGTCTAAGGTTATATGTACTTTGTTGGGTGGGAGTTAAAAGATTTGAAAGATAAGAAGGTGATATATGGTTTTTCATTTTATACAATAAGATTAATTTGTGTTTATTTCTTCTATTTTCTAATGATTCCCACCCAAGTTCACTGATGAGTTTGTTAATATTACACAGTTTGGTAGCGCCTGCGACTATTCTAGCTGCTTCATTTTGAACGGATTCTATATCCTTATTTAGTTCGTCAGTTAAGTTATCCTAGACTACATCAGCATATTCAAGAAGTGGGCGGACGAATGAATAATACATGCGTTCTAAACTTATTCGTGATAAAAGAAATTTAAAACTTCTGAGTAGTCCGATTCTTTTCCAGGCCTTATCGAGTAATAGATGAATATGGGTTTTCCAACGGGCATCATGAGATAAAGTAACACCAAGATGTTTATGTGATGTGACCTGAGATATTGGAATAGAGTTATAACTAAGTGCAGGATGAGACGGTTTAGATAATTTCCTTGAAAAAGTAATTGTTTTTGTTTTTTTCTGGATTAAAAGAAACAAGCCAAATATTGGCCCAAGAATGTATCCGATCTAAGTCTGAGTTAAGACTGGTTGCTGCAGTAAGTGGGTTATCTACGACTATATACAAACTCGTGTCATCCGCAAAAAGTTTTATGTTAGAAGATATGTCATTTACGATATCATTGATGTAAACAAGAAACAAAAGGGGACCAAGAATTGAACCTTGAGGGACACCTGCGGAGATAGAAACCCATGCTGAGGATACATTATTGTACTGGACTCTTTGTCGCCTGCAAGACAAATAGGAGGAGAACCATTGGAGAAGCGATCCATTTAAACCCAATGAAGATAGTTTGTAGAGAAGGCCTTGATGCCATACTCGATCAAAGGCCTTGGAGATGTCACAAAAATACAGCCCTAACCTCTTTACCCTGATCGAGAGCTTGACAAATATCATTGTATAGATAAACTAATTGATTAACTGTTGAGTCACCTCTTATAAAACCTGATTGGTGAGGAGTAAGCAAATTATTAGTGACAAGATGATTATACAGATACTTATGAACACATCTTTCCATCAATTTTCCGATACAGCTTAACAATGAGATAGGACGGTAATTTTCGGGACGTGTTGGATCAGATTTTTTAAAAATAGGAGTTACATTAGCAAGTTTCCAGGGTGTAGGAAAGGAAGAAGAACGAATAAGCTTGTTAAAAAGGCTGCGAGTGGACTGGCTTAAACATGCGCGGCTTCTTGTAGTAATTTAGGGCTTACAAGGTGCTTTTGGGGGATCTATTAAGGATAATGAGTCAAGCACATCCTGCTGCGTTATGTTAATGTTTGATAGGCTAGGAATGTTTGTTTCAGTAAGGGGTGGAAGTATTGAATCCTTATCATCTACCTTTGATTGCGAACTAAAGAAATCGTTTAGAACTTCTACCTTCTTTTGATCGGATGATGCAATGATATTGTTGTAATTTAGTGAAGGTATTGAACTTGAGGATTGCTTCTTTGTTAATTTTTTACTACATTTGTACCATTCTTTAGGGTTTACATTATTTGAGTTGATTTTTTCAATTAGTTTATTTTGATACATTAATTTAGATTTTCGTATTAGTGTAGTGACATCGTTTCTAATTTTTCTAAATTTTGACCAATGAAAATCGGTATTGTTTTGTTTGGCTTTTTTGTGAAGTTTGGCTCGTTTTCTAATTAATTTACGGATATCGTTATTCATCCAAGGGATGTCACCAGGTCTTATTGTTACTTCTTTGTTAGGAATAGTTTCGGATGCTACTTGGATAATTGTTTTAGATAAAATGTCCGCTGACTCATCTACGTTGTCATTAGATAAAAGAGAATGCAAGTCTGATGACCTTAGTTTATCTCTGAAAGTGTCGTAATCCCCTTAATCGTATAGCCAAATACGTCTCTTAAAATTATTCTGCTTTGTTAAAATTATTCTGCTTTGGTTTACTTAATTTTAGGACTGCTACAACAGGACAATGAAAACGTATGAGATCAGGAATAAAGGGATCGGCTACAAAGCTAGTGATAACATTTTGGTGGTAATTAATAAATATGGGGTCTATCAAGGAAGAAGAATGTTCAGTGAAGTGCGTTGGAGAGGTTATAAGTTGTTCTGCATTATAGGATTCAATAAGTCTAGTCATCTTATTTGAGGATGATGTCTGAGTATTGATATTGAAATCACCTGCAACTATTGTGTCATATGTCTGTACAGAGAAAGCGCGGTCGACACTTTCTTCCAGGAGTTGCCAGTATTCATTGTTTGAGTCAGGTGGTCGATAAATACCGCCGACAAGAAGTTTTTTGGAGTGAATAATAATTTCAACCCAAACTGCCTCAAGCCTGTTAATATGGAGATCCTGTCGAAAGTCAACGTTTATCCCATCTCGAACATATATTGCGACGCCCCCACCCACTCTTGCAGTTCTATCACAATGATATGGGAGGCTAAAGTTCGCAATTCTGAGGTCTTCGTCGGGAGTATTAGGAGAAAGCCAGGTTTCCGTAAATACAAGAATATCATATTGTTGGGCCTCGATCTCAATAATATCTAACTTTGGCTTAAGACTTTGAACATTTAAATGCATAAGGCTAAGACCACAACTTGTGATTTGTTGGGAAGAGGAGTCAGAAAGTGATGACAGAGAGGAGTCGTCAGAAGGAACTGGACCAGGATTTTGATGTATATCACAAGACAATGTAAGCAACAGGGTTGATTTGATTGTTAGGCATACTATTGTATCGTCTGCAAATAGTCTAACCTTGCCTTTAACACTATCAGGGAGGCCATTTATGTTAGATAAGAAAAGGCAATGTC